CTATATACAAGGAGATCCCTATTCAGGTGTATTTCTGGCAGCATTTATATGAAATCAGAGTTTTTATTCACTCCTTTTCTCTATGCTCAGAGTTCCAATTTATTTTCGCTAGAAATCGAATTGTATTTTAAATGATTCCTTAAAGACGTTTTAATTAAGCAAAAACAAATGTCAGAGTAAACGAATAATAGGAATGGCCAAGACGGACAAAAATAAGCAGCATTCTAAGTATATATCTACGAGTTTGGATATGATTTACACGCGTTTGAATTTTGTATATATAGACTGTTTTGCTTTTCGTTGGCGCGTTTTAGTTACTGATTTATTTTTATTTTAAAACAAGCACGCTCTGTTGTGTTTTTTATTGGCTAATCACTGTATTATTTGTGGCCCGAACAAGTTTTGATTTTGCCCATTTCACAAATTTTTTGTTGATTCGACGGTTATGGCCTGTCTCCCGTTGGCGCATTGTCTTTTCTCCCCGTCTTCACTTTCTGCAAATATTATATATTTACGATTGTTGACGGGGTAACTCTCGCCGCCTTTCGAGCGAAACGCGCACGCGATTCAATTGCCGTCAAACGACTGGCGACGCGACAACCAGATCCGATCCGAGAAGTGGGAACCGACTGGCGGCGGTATGGAGATATGCCGATATGGTGAGATATAGCGTAGCGACCTGCGCATGCGAAATCGAAGAAGATACAACTCGGAGAGATGGAGAGAGAGCGAGAGCGGCAGCAAGAGAAATTTGGGTATTCGGACCACACTGCGAATACTTAATACTGCGTGCGGTAAATAAGATCATAAATTACAAACCGGCATTGGGCACTAGACCATGGTAAATGCAACATCTGGGTATTGCTAAAGGGAAATAGCAATTGGCAAACGTCAATCGATGCTTAGTCGGTCAAAGTCAAAAGTGCAAAACATATACAAATATTTATTTTAATGCAGAGCAAACAGTAAGTTCATATTTAAAGGGGTTTTAATACCCTTAAAGTTAAAAGAAACTTTCTTATACATAGTAATAAATGATATAAAAAGTACGAAGGGCATTACATTTATATACAAAGCCTTAAATTACAATAAAAATGAACAACCTTAATGCCAGAACAGCCAAAAATCTATTTTCCATGAAATTAATTGTCACCAAAAGATCAAAGTGGCCTTTCTCTTTCATTTATTAGCAAATGCAGATAATAAACTGAAACTAAATCAACTTTCCATTTAAATGCCAGTAGCAAACTAGAGCACTGACTATAAAATCAATTTGGCAAGCACAACGAAGAAGCCACCACCAACACACCGGCAGGGGACACAGGACAAAGGACCGACTCCAATCTAATCATGGAACAAAATGCTTCTTCCTTCCCCGATGTGCGACAAATTCAATTTGTTTACCGGGCTCGGCTTGCTTGCCAAGTTCATCCTGCAAACCGGATGGAGGGAATATTTTGCATGCAATTCGAGGAAATAAAAGTGGAACCCAATTATCGGGTGAGGAGAGGGATACTATGAAGGGAAGCGGAGGCTTTAAGTGTTCAATATTGGTTTCAAAGAGCTCTTTTCTGCAAAAGTGAACGGAAAAATTACAGGAAATTGTGCACAACCTGCAAAATTGTATGCATTCGGGCTTAAAAAATTGGGACTTATATTGAATATCACTTTACGGTCCTAGCTTTTTGGGTAACAATCTCTAGCTTTAGATGAGAAAAACTCCTGAGGTTCTTTCCATAACCATTTAGAAATAAAATTTGTTAACAAGAGTTTATAGTCACTAAATGCACAAACATAACGTACATTTACTGCTATTACTAGGGCATTAGTTGTATATTTAAAATAGCAAACAGCCATTTCGGAGGATATACACTCTGGGGACGCCCTTTCAGTGTGCATTATGTGGACACTTTAAGCGATTTCCTTCGAGCACCATGATATGGCAGCTTCAAAGGACTGCGAAATTGCCGACAGTTTGAAAGGTTGCCAACACACTCGATTAGTTTCCTTGTTGGCCCAACCGAGTTGTTGAGGCAGCTATGCCCAAGGACTGTTGATGGGTGGACCAGGTTTCTCACACTGCTTCGCCTTGAATTGGCCCCGTTCCATCACCCCACTGAGAGTCCTGTGCCGCACCATTACAGATCCTGCAGGAGGCGGACAGTACAGGCCCGAACTTTAAACAGGCAAATGGCAGCTCTGCGCCATGCGTCATTTAGCAAAGCACATGGCACGGATCCACCTGCTAATGATGCACAGGACCACGCTCTGGCCAGGACAATGTGCAGGTGGCGCTTCCAAGGCTTTAAATATTTACGAGCTTATGATGTTGTTTAAGTGCTGACGCCGACGGCACTGAATGGCGGACCACAGTTGCCCACAAAAGTGTGCCTCGCTTATCCGAATCCTTGCAATTAGCTTTATTTTTTCCCGCATTTTCCTAATGGCTTTCCCTTTTTTGTGTTTTTGTTCCTTGCTGCGAATGTAGAACGGGGGAAAAAGCGTTTATCTCAACGCCTAATGGCTTCAATTAGCGGCTCAATCAGCAGAACGTATCCGCCAGGTTGACGCTGACCACACTTGGCCAATTATGCTTTTCTTAGCTGGAAAAGCCTAATTAAAAAGACTGAATTGGCTTAAGTTGGAATGTTTTAAAATTTCATTAAGTTTATATGCAATCAAAATAAATTGTTAAATTTCGTACATTTCTCTCAAAGTTTAACTATACAAGAAAACAAACAAAAGACTAAACTGAGCAAACAAGAATGTATTATTAATTTTAAAAAATTTATCTGTGCATATCAATTTTTAGGTAATTTATTATAAGCTTTTATTTTATCTAGCGCTAGCAGTAGTATAATAGATTATAAAGTTTATAATATAAACATATTGGAGCGAGACTAAACAACAGAAAAACGTAAATTTGAAACAGACAGCAAGATAAAAATTCGTATTTATTATCCAATTATAATGTGCTTAGTATCATAATTTATATACATAGTGTTACATAAATCCTTGAATATTAAAAAAAAAGTATATGGTTCATCAATAAATTAAGCTTTCTTTCTTTTAAATCTTTGGGTTTGAAAACATTTATAATTATAAATATATATACATATGTATATATCTGCCCTCCTTCATGTAAATAAAAAAATTAAAATAAAATCTACAAGACTTGCTTAGGATGGAAGGAGGTTAAGAAAAATGCGACGGATAATTAAAGATTATACAAATTTTAACAAAATATTGTATCGAACTATTAAACATTACTTTTATGGGTGAGAGTGTTGGAGAGGTTTGGAGTTTGCCAACTTTAAAGTATAATTTAAAGGAGAGAAAATAGGAAAGTATAATTCATATATCCACAAACATTCATATGTACATACATATGTCTGCGTGTACACCGCTCATTGTATTAGACCTTAGCATGCTATCCAAAGTAGTAAAGCATTTAAGGCGACTAAAATGCGAACACTGACCCAGATATAGCGAAAATAAAGCTTGCTGGAAACTGAATGCAGGAGGCACAACTCAATAAAACTTCCGAGCAACGCCGGCTCACACCCACAAAACCGGCGGCTATCAACAACAATCGAGAGGCCAAGTCAACATCATGGCCGAAACGCAGGGCACAGTGAACTGTTTGAGCTTAAAACGCTTTTGACATGCAACGAGCAGCCAACAAAAACAACTTACAAAAACTACCAATTACGATGAAATTAAGTGGAAAGTCTCAATAAAAAAGCAAAGAGAAAATGTGAATTTAAATATAATTTAAGTTTAAAATCCCCAGAAATAACAGCCTTTAAAGTCTCTGGTACTGGCTAGAATATGCCAGATTTTACTATTTTTCTACAATATAATCCATATGATATATTTCTTAACTACCAAAGTCAAGAGAGCTAACACCCCAAATGAAAACGTCCATGAAATAGAAGCATACTTTGTTGTGCTTTTATTTCCATGCTTTGTTTTCCTAAAAGTTTTCGACCAAAAACTGACATTAAATTTTTCATCCCCATTGTTCGCCATCGAAGGGGCGTGACCACTTTTGGAAAAAGCGTAAAAGTGGATTTGTTTTTGGCCAGTTCACTCGGAGTAACTTTTTGCGTGTTTTTGGCTTACTTGCGGCCGAAGGTCAACGCAGGGGGTCCTAATTTAGTGGATTCTCGTCGAACACACCAACAATTTAGTTGCTTCTCTAGTTGCTGAACTGTTTTAATTAGAAATGCAAACGGAAGTCGATTTATGGCGTGCTGGGCGTCCAAACAATTCACAAGCCACTGGGGTTGTTTTCGTTACAGACATTGGAATATAACAGCCTGTATGGGTTCTCTGATAGCAAAAAGAGGTCATGATTTGGGCTAAATTCGTTAGTTACTATTTTTGGCAGACACAGCTCGGTTCAGGAGGAGTACTTTAGGGTAAAGTGTACAACCCTTCTCTAAATTAATTGTATTATAGCAATTAAAGGATTCCTTATCCTATAGCAACAGTCTAAAAATATTTTAGAAAACTTGTATTAGCCAAATTATCCCTATATTCACTCATTAAATATATATCTTTCTATAAAGAGATACCTTTCTATACATTTGAACCAAGTTAACTTGATGCAACCATTAAAAACATTTCCGTTGCCGGAGGTCGCTCCGCTCATTAAGCATTTCAAACTTATTATGCAGCGAACAAAGACCCACAAAATCCTTTTTGGCGCTTTTCCTGCACGTTCTGTGCAATTTAATCCAAGTAGTTTTTATATGGAACACTATTGTGTGGCAACTTTTCTAAACATTTCCATATGAAAGCATTTCAAAAGGCCACAAACTGTCCACACACACACACAAGCTTACTGGTTGGGGCTAGAATGGTTCAGTTTTCCCCTTAGAAATGACAGAGATTGTGAGAAAACGAACTGCCAGCGGACAGACATCTGACACAATGTTGGCCAAAACTGTCGACAACTTTTCCCATCCGTCTTCTGGGCGGGTCTCGGAACTCACCTCCTCTACGGCCTCGCACTCGAAGAGATAGATATGCAGCAGCGGATCCTTGGGGTCCTTCAGCAAGTAGACCAGTCCGGTGATGGGTCCCTGGAATTCCATGAAGTTCTGCGGCTGCTCCGCCGCAGCCTCCGCCGCCAGCTGCTGCTGCTGCTGATAAGCGGACGCCGCACTGGACGAGAGTGAGCCATAGGACGTGGATGCGGTCAGTGTGTGGCGAGGTCCGTTTCCGGTCAGCGAGCTGCTGGTGTTGCTCCCGCCGGACAAGGCTGTGGCGCCGGTGGAGGATACCGAGGAGTGGCTCGACTTGAGCTGCATAAACCCGTTCCCGATGCTCTTTGCCAGCGGCTTGTGGATGATGCGGCACATGCCGACGATATGCTTCAGGGGATGGCTGAACTGCAGCTCAAAGTCCGAGTTGTATGACTCCAATATGCCATGCTCGATGCCCACCGATAGCTGCAAGTAAAAAAAAACAAGATATAAATCAGTTGGTAACCAACAGAGGCAATTGAATGTAACTTATATTTATATTTAATATATGTAAGGTTATATTTGCCAATTTAACCTCATAAAATATGAATAATAAGGAATCATCCTATTACATTCAGCCAAAAAAAAAACCACAAGCATATAAATGCGCGTTGTTTGGTAATTTGCTAGATGTTTCCACTACGCGAAGCAGATTAACAGTATTAAATTCTTTTTAATCAGTTTACATACTTGCATGCACAAGCAGAAAGGAAGTGCGGCCTCAGAGCGAGATAGCACCAGGCAATGGTGACAACGACGACATGACATGCCTGCCAACATGGCGGCTGCTCCATTTCCGGTACCCGTCGCTTGACACCCTTCCTTCACCGCCACTGTTTTTGTATTTTTATTTTTTTTATTTTTACTTTTCCATTTTGTTCTTGGCCCTTTTTTATGCTAACAACTAAAGCTTGGTAACTAGGGAGTGGCGACACTATGTGCTGGGGGGGTTGGGACTGGTGTGGCAAGGCGGAAATTGGGTTGTGCTCACTGCAAGGGTGTGTCGTTGTTGTGGCTGCAGGAGCTGTAGTTGACAGGAAAGCAGGTCGTTGTGTTCTTAGCCCCATCGGAGCGGCATTTCTTGTACATAGAAAAGACACTTTAAATCGTAAGTCCTGAGAACTTTTTTTTTTTAATTAATGACATTTTATAAAGTTTAATTGATTATTTTTGAAACGAAAGATCTGTTTTTTTTGTTATCGGAAATGTATGAACGACACCTTATTTATGTAAATACATTCCGGTTTACGTTTCTATTATAAAAGGCTTTAAAAATATAAAAAAAATAGATATACTATATACGAAATACACTAAAACTAACGTTAATTGTAAGTAAAAGAAGTAAGGCAGGAAAACTCTAATTTTCAAGGAAACAGCCATAATATAGAATTAATTAAAGTCAACCCCTAAGTATCCAAGCCAAATACCAATCTTCCATTCAAACTATGTTGTTAACCCCACCCAATGATAGCCCCAAAAACTTTAATTTTGCAAATTGACGCTTCGAAAAAAATAAAAACAAACAACAAGTCACCTTCATGAAGGGTAAGCCAAGGGGGCAGCAAATGAAAGCGTTGATTATCGTCGAGCAAAATGAAAACTTTTCCTGCGCAAATTAAATTAAAATCAAAGTAAAGTGTGGCCCGAGTTTGAGAAGAGTGTGTGGGCGTGTGCGTCAGAGGGGCGGTAACTTATCCAACTAAAAACAGAACGAACAACTTGAGAGCCAAGTTGGGGAATACGAAAAATACGAAAAGTAAAACTTATAGTTTCCAGAACCCAGATACCCTCACGTGACATGTAATGAAACCATATTTATTTAAATGACACTCATATATTATATTATTTTTCTATTTCCCTAAAATAATGAAATTGCTGTTGCGGAATATCAACATTAGATGGAAAAAGTATAGGGATTAAAGAGTATTTCGGCAAAGTGCAGAAGGCAGACTAAGAAAGAACCTCTAATGATGCTGCCAGGCAACCGATAATTATAAAGGACGTCTTGACTTAGAAAAAACTCGTCGTTTCCCATTTAATTAAAGTTAAAAGGAAATACCTGACATATGGCCCGAATTGAAAGGCAACCAACAGGGCATGACAATAAAAATTTAATTAATTTTCCCTTGTCACTTGACGAAGGATCCCTGCTGTCCATTACAGACAGGGCCACTCTTTGTTCGCTGAGTATCGGATTGAGTGCCTCGCAGGCTACTGTTGCCAGGTAAACAGGGATTTAAATAATATCAAAGCATCGATTTCTTCGCAGGTTAGCTACTCAAGCCATCCAAGCTGTAATTCATCACATTGTTCAGAGTATCCATATTATAGTCGTAAGCAAGAGCAAGATAAAAGAGAGTTCATTTTAAACTTATAACGCTGGCCTAGTTAATTGTTTTTTACATTTATGAAAGCTAAAAGCATACTTTTCCTTTCGTTGCTATCCCCTTTACCCATATTTTTTCAGCTTTTGTTTCTGTTTGTATAAAATAACCGCAGAGTTCTTTTTAAAGAATGTAATGAAAAGGGCGCTATGACACGCTGCGTATACGTAATCTGATCCCTTCGCTGAGACAATTGCCTGCTTGACCCCTTTTGCTTTTGCTACTTTCTTTTTCCCCGCGTTTTCGAATTTAAATCAAGCTAAGCCGTAGGCGCCATCACGTTCCTAGGTGAGGGTACCAATTAGGGTGGCTCACCGATCAAGAAAATATGCTAGCTTTGCAATATTTGTAACATTAAATTACTAATATTAATATAATTTTACGGGGGTTCTGAAGAAATCAATAGGGAACCCTTAAAAAGGAGAAAGTGTTTAGAATTATTTTAATTAATATAATTAATTAATTTAGCAAATTCTTATCAGTATAGGTATAGGCTATCCTAAAAGAAACTTCAAATCAAATAAATAGTTCTACAACTAGGAAAACATTTTGGAAATATAAGAAAAATGCATATTTAATTTTAGTTAAGTTTATCCCATTCTTGAGGCAAATTAATTTAGTTGTGAACTTTATCAAAAACTACAGTAAAAAAGGTTCAAAGGTTCACCCTAATACTTGTGCACCTGTCTCGCTCCCACCTTCATGTGGGTTTGCCTACATGCACATTCATTTGCTTTGAAGTGCAGTTAGCGTCATGTCAAAAACAGCTGTGGGGCTGAAATTACTGTTTTTGTGCTTACATCTTATGTGGTTGTTGTTGTTTGTCCATTTTGTTGTTGTTATTATTGTTGTTGTCATTAGATTCACGACGTCGACGTGACGTTAGGCGTTAGCGTTCGCTGCCAGCGGCAGACGTCGCGTGTTATTGCCCAGTGATTTATGCATTTTAACTGTTTTTCCATTACGTTTTCATGCAGCAGCAGCAGCAGCTGCTGCTTTTTGTTGTTGCTGTTGTTTGTGTTGCCTAATAAATTGTCTACAATTGTTCATTGTACATTGTTTGCAGTTGCTGTTGTTGTTCTTGTTGCAGTCGTTGGTGCAGTAAAGTCATATAATTAGCATTAACTGCAGTTGCTTTTTCACATTGTCCCCCTGATGTCTTAACAACACGCATTGCAACCATTGAAAAATAGTCTTAAATAAAAAAGTATAGGGTACGCAAAAAGATCAAGACTATTATTAGCATTTTACATTTATATGAGCATATGTATAAGAAAATCGCAACCTAACAGAGTCATTAAAAATGTTAATAATACATATGTACGTTGAGATCGATTATTAACTTAAAAAATCAATATTTATTATTTTTAGATTGAGTTTTCTTAAAAAAACGAACTTCTATTTAGACTAAAACTAATCCAAGTATTGATAATTGATATAAAATATTTAACTTTTAAACGTATTAACACAATTCTGTGAAAAACTGTTTGTAGTTCTCTTGTTACCCAAAAAAGTATGCTATGCGCGTTTACATGCTTCCGTTTCCGTTTCTTGGAGTCACTGAAGTACATATCAAACATCGGTAAGAGCTATTTGTATTTGATTTTATAAAACAGTAACTAGCAGTCTAGTGGGTATTGACAAGTAATCATTTTTTAGGGACTTTAAGCAAATACAAAAACAAGAAAACTAAACTAAAAACTTTAGAATATATTTGATGATATGGAGGAGAAGCGGGATGAGGAAGCCAGACAGGCTGCCAAATTTTTTATAATATCCAATACAGAAGTCGCTTGCCGCATTCAAAGCACCTTGGACATCGATGTATGGCGGAGCTCGGAGGCCTTCTATAACTTAATCTCATACCTGAACGACGTCAGCACCGAGGTCCAGGGAGTCCTTAGCTCGGCCAGCTTTCCCGTTAGCGAGAACATACGCCGTTTGACGACCATATTTGACAAACTGGACGAGATAGTCACGTCGAGTCCGCCGGCTTTTCAAGTGGTAGATACCATGGCCAGTGCCTCGCTGGATCTGGGAAACAAGGGCTATCGACGGTTTTCACGGATCATGCTTAGGGACATCTACCAGATACTGGAAGAAGCGCTGCCTGTGAATAAGTGCAGCTACGTGAACGAGCTGGGACAGTACCTGTCAGGGGCCTTTGGCAGCTCCACTAAAATTGAGTACGGGACGGGGCACGAGCTCAGCTTCCTGTTCTTCATGTGCGGTCTGTTCGAGGCGAAGATTCTCCGTCGGGAGCAGGACCTTGCAGCCTCAGCTTTAATCCTGTTCGATCGATATCTGAAATTTGTGCGCCGGATGCAGGTCCTCTACTCAGTGGTGTCGGCGAACTGCCAGGGAGCCTATGGCTTGGACAAGTTTCAGTTCGTGCCGTACATCTGGGGAGCCGCTCAGCTGTGTCACGGGGCTCCGTTTTCCCCCCAGAAAATGCTTGACGAAAATATAGTGGAGGAGTATAAGACAGAGTACATGCTGATCGACTGTGTGCGCCATGTGTACGACACGGCAGGCGGATCTTTTGCCCGCCACTCCAGTCAGCTCTGGAGCTTGGCGGCCTTGTCCTCTTGGATGAAGATCCATCGCGGTCTTATGTTCATGTACATGGAGGACATCCTTCTGGATTTTGATTCGCTAAGTGCACTGCGTTTCGGTGAATTGATGCCGTTCGAGAAGGCTAAATCTGGTCGACAGCTGGGGAATGCCCGACTGGGTGCGATTTCTCCAGTGCGATGCCAATTGAGGACTTCCAGACTCGGCACCCCCATGAATTCAAAGTTGAAATTGTCCCCCAGAAAAGATAATGTCTACAGCGATGCCCTTTCGAACAGTGGATTGTCCTTGGGCAGCGAATGCTCATCGCTTAGCGGCGTCAGTGTCAACCTGCCGACTTGGATGGAAGAAGACTCGCCCAATACGAAATAGTTGTATTCAGTTTTTACAAATTACAAATAAAATTATGTTCTTAGCATGATTGGTTGTTGGGAATCCTCTGGCTTAGAAAAAGAAGGAGATGATAATAGTGACTATTCAAACTAGATTTTTGCAAGCAATACTTAGCTGCAATTAAGTAGACTATTTATCTATTTTATTTTAAATTTTCGTAATGTAAGATATAAGTTTTAATTCCCGGTAACCTATAATTTATAGAATGATTCCTCTAGGGGTCTTAGCCAAACCCTTTCAACGAGCAATCTCTATGTTACATGCAATATTACATATGTTTAAATAGAAAATATTTTTTTTTAATTACAAAATAACCCAAGTGATTGCCAGGTCTTTCAGCTTTCCGTTAGCAGTTTTCCCCCACGGACTGGGACAATTTATGTATGTCAGTTGCATAAATTTCCGGGGACGACATCTGCGACATGGCAACGATGTCAAGAGACCGGCCGACATGAGTCCAAAGATCAGCAGACCACAAAACCGGGTTCCATCAAATGCAAAACACCAGCCAACTGGAATCGAGTGGGTTTAAGCTGGGTGGCTCGTGGTCTTGGTCTTAGGGGGGCGAAGATGTGAATGTGAGTGCCCTAGGAATACAGCGTATATGCAGCGTGAGCCACCGGGGCACTCGAGAGCAGCGAGGATGAAGTGCGAGGAGTGGGTTCAAGTGACTCGACCGAAAGCGGATTACCACCGCGACTTGAGTGACTTCCCAAGCAGGCGATGGCGGCAAAAACACCCGAAGTGGCAACAATTCAAACAGCCGCAAAGGCAAAATGAGAAAATGGGAAAATGGAAATGAAAATGAAAATGAAACAAGCGGTGTATTGATTTTTCCCTTAACCCAACTCCCTGGCGCTGTGACGTCAATGGAGAAGCACGCGCCAACATCGCGGGTCGGCAAAAGCGTTTGGAAAATCGTTGGCAGTGGGAGGAAGTGGTGGCATGCCACCTGAAATCCTTGTCAGGCCTCATTCGTGTAATTCAAATTTATCAAACGAACGAGTACCGTGGGTGGGAGCATGGACATCCTTTTCATTGTTGCGAGATGAAAAGTCACCCATTCAGAATAAGTATGTGTTCGTTCGGTTTAATGTTTGGCCAAGTGCTCGTAAAACTTGATTTATATGCGAAATTAAGCTTACGAAAGTGAAATGTGAAGGATATTTTAGTCATTTTAGTCATGTATTTTACCAAATATAATAGTAAATAAGTAACTCGACTGCCACATACCCTGTTTCCAAAACTTTGTGCATTTTTTAAATGAACAATCCGTTTTTAAGAGGTTTGACTCTACTAACCATCTGAGAAGAGTCTTATTGACTAGAATATATTTATTTTCAAATATGTATTTCCCAGGTTTTTATACCCTTTCAAAAAGTAGTACAATTTAAGTCAGAAGTTCTGCAACGTAACGAGATATATGCAAGTTAAACTCCCAAGGATAAAAGCCTTTAAGGGATCGAATAAGTACGAGGCTCATCAATCGAATGTCTATAATTACACCACAAGTCCCTAACTAAAGATGAACTTGCTATTTTCCCAGAGAGGAGATACCAAAGCTGTAAAAAATAAACAGAAAGAAAGGAAAAACTAGCATGACTTTGTTGCCAACGCCGACAATGTCGCATATTCTTTTCGCCTTGTTTTGCGGTGGGCGTGGCGAGCCCATTCGTCCATCCATCCAAGAAGCTTGTTATAATTTTCATGCGCTATTTAACATAATAAAGCAATAAGCTGCCACACAACACTGAAGAATGAAAGAAGGGCGAGAGCGTCGGCAAACATTTTTATTTATGCCACTCTGCCCTGTCCCCTTCGCTCTGGGTGCGTGTTTGTTTTGTGTCAACTTAAATGCAAAAGAACACAGTGGTAGGGGAAATGAAACTAACTATGATAAACAAATGTGCAGGCTTAAGTAAATATTTAAACCAGAAAATATGAAGCGAATTACGTTCTCTTTTGAGCCACGAGTAGTGTCTGTTCCGTGGAGTACGGATGCTAAGTGGATTACTCAGAGTGTGGATAAAATGTCACAGAGCTTGAACTAATGGGTCCTGAAACTGATATCTGCTAAGGATAAATACTTGGCGAAATCACCATGGTGGGTCGGAACTGGATGACGTTATATTCATTGAGACTCAGAGCACACATAAAGACAACTTCTTGTCTTTACTAACTAACTAACTAGGAGGTGCAGCCATTTTATAAGTATTATTTTTATATAATATTTCTTTTAAAGCGCATAAGTTTATCGTACTTTTAATATTAAGTGTAAAGTTTTAATTATGAAAAAAAGTTATACTTTGTCCCCATTTAAAAGTAAATTGAAACAAATAAATTAACTCAAGTTGAGCAGTTCGAGTTAAATACTCTATGTTAAGTATGAGTGCCTTAAAATCAAAGAATTTTGAAAAATTTCTATGTGATTTTAATGTTTCAAGAATATAATGTATCCTAAAGTTGAGACACGATTGTCATCATGTTAACAAACGACGAAGCTCTTATATACCACGACCTCTATTTCCTCAAATGTGGCTATCTTAATCCACCAGCTCCCTTTTGTGTTCAGAAAACCTAAAATAAATAACTACTATAAAAGACTAATAAGTGCAACAGATAAGTATAACCGAAATTCACAAGATTATTTGTACGAGCATCCTAATAATCCCCATTGGTATTTCAAATAAAAGCTGTCTTTCTGGATTTCGGTTGATGCTAAACTAAGCAAGGACAGGAAAACTCTCTCTGGCCATCGGGCTATACATATATTCAATGAGCATCAGCAAAGATTGCCAGCAACCAGATCCGACTGCCCTCTGAAAAGATCCTTTGGGGCATCGACACTGGCACGTAGAAGGGATTCGTTTTAATGCGAGAACGGCCACCTGAGCTGTGAAAAAGGACACACATGCAAAAGGAAACCAAAAAGGATAATTAAAGGGTGATTCTTGCAGCAAAGGCTCTGGGCTTCGCATTTTAAACAGTGCGTCTCAGTAGGGTAAATGTTTCTGTTATGTTATTCTGCAATTTCAAATGGTTTTTAAAGTAAGAACACCTGAGTTCATCTACTACAAGTTATTGCTTTCCAACTTATGTGATTCAAATGGTAGTTTATTATATAAAATTCTTGACTTTCATAAACAAAAAAGACAGACATGTCTACTTATATGGCTTTGTTCATCTCTTTAAAATGCTTAGAATACTTGTATTTAATAATAGAATTTGTGCAATCTGAGATTTAAAATAAAATTTGGTGAGAATTCAGCTATTTTATGTGCGACGATTAATATTTATTAAGGAATTCCTAAATACAACAGCAATCCAGCTAAAAAACTGATATTTTTTAACCAGATATAAATATGAGACACAACTTGGTGCTATTTCTCTAACCGCAGCCGTGTGTGCGACAGATTGTCCTTAGGATAAACCCTCGGGGAGAAAGGACACTCGACACACGCGCAGACCGCTGATGACTGGCTAATTGCGGACTTTGCTAAAATTAATTTCCCAGCTTCTAATAATATTACCCAGAGGAACGGGTTGTGGGAAAAAGGGAAGTGATACTTGTTGTTGCACGTGTTCAACGTGGCGGATGGGTAATCTGTTTGGGTTACACCTTTCGCTCTGAGCCACGTAGTTGTTATTTTCATTCGTCATTAGGCATCCGTATTTTGTCATCGGTTGCCAAGACCCTATTTATAGATCCAAAGTCTCCGATGAACGGCTAATCGCCGTAATTATCCTTTATGAAGAACAAACTTACTAATTAAATTTCATTCGCTATTTGGGCAGGATCTCACTTGGCACATAATTGATTTAGCCAGCCGTAATAATTGCAAATTGCTTTTAATTGTTTTCCCCTGAGGCGGACAAAGTGTGTCCTAGGAAGCCCGTCATGTGCGATATGTGTGCTACTCGGTTTATTGCATATCGCATTTGATTGGATTAACAAGAAAGGATTTGGTCGTGTGCAGCAGATTGAATGGGACTTAAAAGCCAATCAAATTCAATATCTCCATTGCTAGTTCACAGTTCTATTGATGATTTAATCAATGAAATGGAAATAGATTCTGATAAACAGCTACACAGAAAAAATTATCGTGGGTAAATCCAACCATTTCGTGGGTTAAAAGGTAACAACCAAAATCTTGGGTTCCATGAACTGTACGCTGCAGTATAACGACGTAACGCGTTACGTAACATGTACTGCTCTACAGTACATGGAACCACGATTTTGCGGTTAAAAAGCGCCAAACCACGAAAATTGTGAAATACACTATTTTACTATTTTACTGTAGACTACCCCCGACTACAGTAATTGCAGTTCATATTACCACCAAAATAAAACCAAAAATTATTTTAAAATTTTAATAGTATTTTTTTAATTACGTATTCTTTAAAAATATTTACAGAGGGTCTTAATTAATATTTTTTTAATTACTTATTCTTTAAAAATATTTACAGAGGGTCTTAATTAATAATATTATGGACTTATATATATATATATTTCCTATATTATGAATAAATAAATTAAATATTATAATTGTAAATTTATTAATAAATAAATATTAAGTCAAACGATGATTATCAATACTCACAAATATATATTTGTCCATATTTCACATCCGAACTAGTACTTTTGTCTCGACTATAGCTTTTCTGAAATAAAAATTGATTTAAATAAATTTGTTTATTAAAATTAATAGAAAACGGCCAAATATTTTACTTACATTTTGTTGATTCCATTTACATAGTTATGTTTTATAGTTACATGTGAATACTCTCACCTGAAAACAAAATATAAAAGTATAAAAGATTTAATTATATATATCATAATAAGATATAAAACAAACGGTTCTTGGATGTCAGTGCCAGCTATCTTGCTCGCACTCGCCTGAGATGGTTGGCATCGCAAGTCAACAAGAAGCCAAAAAATACATTTGCATGCATGTACATGTCCGCTGATCGCTATTCAAATTGTAAAATAAAGAAAAGCAATCAAGGATCAGTGCCAAATATAAGTTTTTACATATATGTATATATTTTAATCTGTATACTAACTTTACTTTTAAAAGCGTTTCTTCTTGCGATCAGCAGCGTACGTGTACTTGCATATGTAAATACATACATATATGTATATATATGTATACATATGTATATATATATATACATATATGTATATGTACATATGCCAATTGCGGATCTAATTATACTTTAAATGATTGTTTGTGAACTTACCGAGAAATGTGGGCGATAGGTCTCTGAAATCCCACTCCTCCAGAAGATCCTCCAAGGTAGCCACTTCGTCAATATCACTCATAACTTTTACTTTTAACTTTTTCACTTCACTTTTTCGCTGCACAACTTCTCGAAACCGACGCCGCTTTTTAAGTGTGCCCGAAATCGTTTTTTCAAGAAACGCTTGCTATATACTAGAAGTTTGGAAATATATACCAGAATTATACCAGAAAGTATTTTAGTGGGCAGAAAAATCAATGGATTTTCATAAAATATTTAATAAAATTATAAAATGTTAATGTTACTTACCTTGGGAATGCAAAAATACATACACGATACCAAACAAGATAAAGAAACACATAAAACTTTTTACGTTAAACCTACAGTATTTTGACTGCAGCTGACAGTTACGACAGCTCGCAAAGCCAACAAGAAAAAACACAGAATCTCGTACGTAAGGGTGACTGTAATTGACTGTCATATAAACTGTCGTGCAGTCACCAAATCCAACAACAAAATACATTGACAGTAGCTTTACTGTTATTGAACCAAAAGAAATTGTTCATTTAACCCACCAGAATTTTTTCTGTGTAGGATTAAGAAGTGCGTACATACATCATACGAGTGTTTGGTAAAATTCTTTTAAGATATGGTACATTTAAGAGTTTACTTGCGAGAATATGAGTTATTTGGAATGATGTCGAAATGAGCAATGCTACTGATACAGTACGATTCGAACAGCTGCCTAGATAAGTCCTTAGCTGTATCTTCAATGACTAATATATTTATATTTAACGGCATCATTATCTTATTTGGCAAGAAAATAATTACTTTTGGAGCTTCTAACTTAACAGCTTAATTTTTATAATCTTCCTATACAGTTTTAAATTGTATCCAGAAGAAAACATTACTTTTAATAAGATAATAATTATAGTTAAAAATTATATTAATTATGTAGCTCCTTAATTTAAGATAACTAATATAAAATTCTCAAAGCAGCTATGCAATTGAAACTTTATACTATATCTCAGATCGAACCCATAGTTTCATTCTAAAACAAAAATGATAATACTTTTCAAGTGGGAGTAGAACAACTTCAAATGTATTCCAGTTAAGACTTAAAAGAATTCCAAAGTAGGGATATAATCGCGTAAGCTTTGAATGTATTTACCTTGGTGTAACTCTCTGTTGACCTGATGTCGTTTATGGTCCATGGCAGCATGGAGGCGGAGTAGCGTGGATCGACGGACGCACTGCCGCGATAAGTGAGCGAGACCAGGCGCGTTTTCATCTCGTCTGTCACCTTTTTTCGAACGGAAGTGTTTATTTGTTCGATTTTATTCACTACCGTGTACTCTATCTGTACGATAAACCGTTAAAATTGTGGGCCAAATTGAGTTACGGGCCATTTATTGACTTTTCATTTTATTTGCCGTTTCGCAAATAGCTTTTTAATCGTGTTTTCTGTTTTTTTTTTTTGTAGAGTGCTGTTGTAAAGAATCGAAATCAATATTAAGTGGACACGCGGCGAGGTTTTCGCATACCCTGCTAGAGAAGCGGGAGTTGCTGGTGGAATGCGGAGTTCGTGAGCTGAATGAGTCACCCCAAAAACAAAAAAAAGGAAGACGGAAAGGAAAGACAGCCCTTGAAGCGGACAATGACCACCTGACTGCGCCTTCTGCGGGAAAGGATCTAGTGGTGTTTCCCGGCCAAAGGAAGGCATCCGAGAAATTACTATCAGTATTGATTTTTTTGCGCAGCCGTCTTTGTTTTTTCACATATTTATGCACACACATTCGCGTACAGAGCACGCTCGTTACGAAGGACAGCGTTACTTTATGGTTGAAAAGGTTTTTAAATGCAATTTAAATTAATATGCTAGTCCATTAGTGAAAATTTTAAAAATTAAATATTTCAATAATAATTTCTAGTCGGGTTTTAGAACCGAAATGCATACTTTATCAAGCTGGAATAGCATTATTTATGGTTTTATTATCATAAAAAAGGGTTTTACAGGTTCTAAATAACTTAAAATTATGTAAAACCCTAATTCTAATCATGGAAAATTTTTTTTTTTTTTTAATTATTGAAAATACAGTTATAAATTTATGCATATATAGGGTGTTCACTGCTTAGAGCGTGCACTGTAAACATTTTTTCGCTTTTGCATTAGGAAAAAACATTGACAAAGAGGGTGGAAAAGGGGGGAGCAGGAGGATGAGGATGAGGATGCGGACGAGCAACCACCAGACCAAGTAGGCAACAACACGAGACGGCAAGTCACCCCAATGAAGGAATTTACTTTTGCATAAACTTTGTATTTTTTACTTTCTACTTTCCTAAGGTTTCCGCCTCCCCTCGCCAAACACACACACACACACACACACTAAGCCACAGACCAACACACGGATAGTTCGACACAACGTGTGTGTTGTGCGCTTCTTTATTTAGGAATTTTTGCAACCGAAAACACGTTGAAATGCCACCAAATTCCGTTGAGCACTGACTTAATTCGCGATGTCACAGCATTTCTCTATGTAGAGTCCTTCGTCCTGGCGCCCGATTGATTGTGTTTGCTGCGCACGCGCGTGCCTGCCAACGAATCTGGCCATAATCAAACGAGGAATTGTCCACATCACTGGCACTCTCGGGATTATTTGCCCGGATTAATGTCTGTGCCGGCTTAGTTTGTGCTTTTGGGGCGAAAACCAGGTGAGTTCAAAACAAATGCACAATTTTCAAATTGTTTACAGGCGAGTTAAGGCAGTGTGACCGTTGCACAGAAAACTGAATAACACCAAAATCCAACAGATTGCTGAACCAGATGGCAAACAGCTGACAGACCAAAAGCGTCAAATGAAAAGTTCGTTATTATTTGAATTATCTGCCTGTCTGAAACATTTTTTAAAGTGATATCTATGCAATGGTTTTTCGACGACTTTTTGAATTCGCCACTAACAATTTTAAACTTTAAAAATTATAACAAGGATTAATTGAAATATGAGGGGCCCCGAATCTAATGGAAGGATCTCTATGGCATGAAGCAGTAATCTTTATGTATACGCACGGGCCCACCCTATATTCTGATTTTTCGTCTTTTTGACTACCAGCTTGAAACTTAAATATTCACATTTGCTTTACAAATCTAGCTGCCTATTTTTGGTTATTATTTATAGGTCTAACTTTAACGACTGCATTTTCGGTTACTTTCGCATTTATAGAATAACATCCAAAATAATTTCTAGTCAAGGTGTTCCATAATCCAAAGTTCCCCTTCTAACGGTAATTGCAATGACGGAAATGCGGTCAATCTGAAAGGTTGTTGTCAAGGATAATCTGCAAATATTGGGAACCACTCAAATTATGTTAAGTTTTACCAAATTCAAAATAAATACCTAGGCTGTTCTCAAATATTTTTAAAAAGTAATCCGTTTAACACTTAATTATCCTTATATTTTTATACATGCTATAAGCTTTATTAAAACATAAATAATTGAATTAACAACTAAAATGGAAACAATATTTGTGCTTGTGGAAATGGCTGGTTTGGAGACATGCGGGAATAATGGCAATTATTAAATTCGATTATCTAATACTTGGTTCCCGTTTTTCTGCTCTTTTGTATTATTTGGCAGCGTGTTGGCGCAGCTTTAGCCCAAGGCATCCTTCATGCAGAGCTTATCCATTAGATCCGTGTAGAATCCGTTGTAGTTGATGCGATGTACGAGATTTATAAACCGATCGGCTGTGTTCTTTTTGGCCATAATGTTGATCTTTTGCAGGAAGGAAATAAGAATGCCGGTAAACTCGAGATCGAATCGTTTCACCCTCTCCGAAAAAGTATCGGCAGGATCCAGCGAGGTCTCCAGCTAAAAGGGCAGAAAACAAATATTAGTCCAATTTGGCACACATTTATAAATAATTATAAATACAAATTTATAAATTATAAATAAAATAAATACACAACAACGCAATCGATACAAATATTCTAAATCCTTGTACAATAATCAACTTTTAATCTGTATTTAAACGATTAATACTACTGCTCTTCGTAGTGTGGCTTTTACAGTGATACTTAAATACTTTTTTGCGTACTTTAATTCATGCTTACAACCAACAAAGTAAAAAATTAATAATTTAAAAAATACCAATTCGTTTCGGTAGAGAAAAATAAAAATATTATTCAAGGAATTGGTAATCGTACCAAAACCTCCAACGAGAGAACGAAAGCATACAGAACTACAACGGTAAAGGCAAGCACAAGCCCATAATACCTGTGGCCGGTGCAAGCACTCGGGATCAGATTCGTCGGAGCTGTCGTCGCTGCTATCACATACCATCGACTTGAGCTCGGCGTCCAGAAAAAAACGCTGGGAGCGCTGCATTACGTGGGCCAAGGAAATAAACATATGGAATTGGGTTCGGATTCAGATTCATAGTTGGTAGTGGTGGCAGGCGGGGCGAATGGAAGAGATTTAGAGTGTGTGACAGCAGAGCAAAGAACAAGGACAAAACGAGAATATAGTATATATGTACAGGAGAAGCACACGTTGCTGACAGCTCAACAATCCAACCACCAGTTGTGCCAAAGCTCACCTGGATAAAGTCACAGAACTTCAAGCATATCTTGCATAACTTGAATATGGCCCGATTAAGATGAGAAGACTCCGAGAGCATGCAGTTCTTCAGGCACGAGTCGATAAAGTCCTGGTGGAGCTGCAGCACATTGTCAACGTTCTCCACCGCCTGCATTTTTTCTATAAATATGTGCCAGTTGGGCTCAATAATTTCAATCATCATGTAGTACTCCAGATTTTGAATGGCGTTCATCATGCGCTGGCGGAGCGTAAATGCCGATCGGTACAGCTCTGCTGCCTGGGGCGAGAACTTCTTGGCAATGGAGTTCTCCTTCCAAATCCTGAGTAGTTGAGACCCAGTCAGAAATAAAGATTGCATATTAGAATACAGAGGATCGCACTCACTTGCAAAGCTGACGCTCCACGTGCTTGCAGTAGAATAACTGGCGGAATAGCATCTGGTACTTGGAGATGGCGAGATGATTAAGCACCAGGGATACAGGCCACTTCACCTCGTAAGAAAAAGCAAAGCACTCGAGGCCACTGAGATCCAGGCGATCCTGCGTCTGCCAGTACTCCTCCTTGTTGTCCTCCTTGATTATTTTGGACATTTGCGTGACCAAATCGTAGGGCAGCAGCTCGCAGTGAAGATGGTCCTTGTAGGGATCGTCGCGGGCAGAAGAAATGCGCAGCGTGAGGCCCAGAAGGTTCTCCAGCGTCATGGGCAGCACCAGGTCCACGTTCTTGGACAGTTCATCTTCGCAGGCGTCCATGAACTGCATGGTAAAGTCGCCCTGATTGAGCAGCAAATAGCGTTTCACCGACTGCAGGTGGCCCATTAGATCGTTCTCCGCCAGCAGCACATCCAGCAGCATTCGGGCCGCAAAGTAGTATGCTTCGTTTATAACGGACACGTGCTGCTCGCTGGTCGGGTCGTATTCGAGGTGCATCTGCTGGGTGGGCATCACACGCTTGCCACACTGCCGGACCACGTTCAGGTACTTCCCGGTGCGAAGGATTTTGTCAGAGTATTTCTCAAGGAACGAGGGGATGTGGTCGCGTCTCAGAGTATACCGCTTTTCCCAATAACCGTCCGAATAGTGCTCCGGCAGCTGGTTGCAATGTACCTCTTCGTAATCTTCCACCAGAAACTCTTGCTGGCGGTCAACGATCACACCCTTCTGGATCCATAACTGCAACATCCGCATGTACGGCTCAGCCGCCTTGCCCATCAGCCCAATAATTACTTTCTGGGCTTCACGATCCCCCTCCAGCCGCTTGATACGCCCGTGCAGGTGCGTTAGCACAGCGGCGCCCCGCAGCTCACCCTGCTGCAAGCCAAACATCGTTGTCCAGATCTCCTCCATCACCCAAAGAGTTGGCTGCATGTAGTAAACTAGCTTTTGCATGGTCAACTCATTCCTTTCCAGCTCGTCCTCCGCCTGCATGAGTAGAAGCTAGAGTTGGGAAGGAGAAGCGTTACCAGTTGTGCGGAAATGTTTCAACCAGTATTCTTGTAGCCCACTTACGTAAAAGTCGTGGCTGACATCAGTCAGTGCAGCGTTCAACGCATTGATCACCTGCCCCTGACCGTCCAAGTCAGCGACCATCCTCTGGATGCCCACGAAGTACGAGGCTAGCGGCAGGATTTTCCGAACAAGCTCTGCCAGCGAACGGTCTACCTGATTGTGAATGGCGAATTCCGTTTTATAGCTGGAGAGACCACCGGATGGATCGGGCGGTATGGGCACTATACACGGCACCCGAATACCCGTGAAACAATACAGCAGCTGAGTGAGCAACTCGTTCTGCTGGCTTTCAATAGGCAAAGCGGCAATCTCCGGGTCCAGAGCCGAGTTCCCGTCCACGTCGTTAAAGTCCCAAAGACTGTGGGTTCGACTCTCTTCTGGAACGCCTGTGGGAGGCGGCGCTGACGGCGGATTCACTAAGGTCTTTTGACTGCTGCTTTTGAGTGACTTTTCGGTTGGTGGTGGCCGAAAGGTGCTCAAGGATCTGTTGGATGCACCAAGCAGCAGGCGCTCTCTCATCTGTGAAGAGCCAAAAGTTAAGAGGCCAAGGACGACAGCACTGGTCTGTCACTTACCAAACTCAAATCACCAAGTTCTCTATCCTCCTCTCTATTTCCTTGGCTCCGACCGGCGGCATTGGCACCAGAGTCAGACTTCCGGTTAACTACTGGCGTCGACGTGGGAAGCCCCAGCGAATCGTGCGACCCCTCGGCCAGGCTTGTTCTGGGAACCGAAGATGCTCCAATAGAGGATTTGGTTTGTAAGGGCGTGGTGACGGTAGCCATCTCGCTGTTCTTTAGACTAGAACGCGGTGTTAGACAGTCTTCGGAGTATCGCTTGACAAACACGAGGAGCGCATACATAGGATCCTTGCTGCGAGAGGGAGACGAAAAGCTGCATATTGGACCTGCCCAATTAGGCCGAATCAGCGCACTCACCTCTTTAGGACCTGCTTGACCTCGGCGGCCACCTCGTCGCAGTTGGGCCGTTTCTGGCTTATGGTCTTCAGTATGCCAACCAGCTCATCAACAGACAGGCGCTTGTCGTCCGTGGCCCGAAACTCGCGAAGGATGCTGTCCGGCGTGTAGGGCGTCCTGGCAAAAGCAATAGATCAAGTTAGACGCGGGAACTTGCATTGACGGAGCAGCGGACCCATCAAAACGGAGCGCACAGCAGACAGACGCATACTGCGGGCAGCCGGCATCAGTGCAGCTGTGCACTCGGTACTTCTTAATGCACTCACTCGGACTCGGAGATGAGATCGCTGAGCACCTTGCGGGTCAGCTCGCCTTTACTCATCGCGGCGTATGTAAATTGTTGTTGCGTCTGCTGGAAACAACGGTGCAATTTACAGTTTAGCGCTTCGGGTTCGAGCAAAATCGAATTTGCCCGAGTGATTGTCAAAAGAAGATGACACTATCGGTATTATTTCAAAGTGTCACGAGCTGTTAAGTTTCGTTGCATTTAAATGAATGCATGTACATTTATTTGTTTCTCAAAAAACACAAAGATTGTTTAAGAAATATAGTACGGTATGGTGGCTGCAAAACTGATGTATTTGTTACCACTCTTAAAATATCTGGGTATTTCCTTGACGATTGAATGTATCTCAGCTGTTGAAAATATCGGTTTACTATACAATATATCACCGATATTTTCAGTACAGTAGTCCCTTATCATGGCACTTTATACATAAATTTATGATAGAAGGCTGCAATATAGTGTTCATGAAACTTTGAAATTTTGATGATAATCCTTGATAAAGGATACAATTTATTTGAACAATTCTATTAAAATTTGTTTAACATTTTTATAAAGTTTTATGTAATTGAAATAAGATGAACCTCTTACTTTTGTGAACAAAATTCTTAAATCTATAGTGAAAACTTTAATTAATAATGTTTTTATGCAGTGTCATACCCGCATCGTGAGTGGCGCTCATCTTGGTTATCGGTCACGGTGGGTCGCAGTACCATCTCTAAGCAATCGAGCCAATCGAAACAATCGATTTGCTACCAGCTCTCATATCCCCCATTCAAACCAAAAAAACGCGTCGATCAACAGGTGGGCTCAACAAATCGCGTTCCCGTTTCCCCTCTCTTCGCTCGTCAATTGGCGCCCTAGGAAAAAGCCAAGGCAAAAAGATATCGTGTGTGGCTAGACTTTCACTACGGGTCAATCCGAGATCCCAAGCTCCGCTTGCTTGTTCGTTGGCTCGGCTTTTTTTAATTAATGCGCTTCGCACGCGTTGTCGCCGTTGTTTTAGCTTCAATCTTAGTCTTTGTCGTTTGCCCATACAGAAGAGCTGCCGAGCAACAATCAACCCGTCTAAGCCGTGTTTACGATTTTCTGCAGATCGGGCTGTGCGAGATGTGAGCCGTGGCTTCGTGTTTCGCCAACTTCTTTTCGTTAATTTCTCACCCAGAAAGCACAGTCGCAGCAGTGAAAAAGGCCGTAAAAGAGCCAAGCTATGAAACAATATGGCCAAAGATAAAAACGGCGGAGTAGAAGGAGAGCAGCGCGCAGGCGACATTGTGCGATGTACCGTTAGTGCGCGAGTGACTCTGTTTAAGCATAATTTAAATAATGGGGAAATCCGTGCTCGTAATTGATTTAAGTAGCGCGGCACAGCATTTGCATAATTTTCCCTGGAAGCCTGGAAAATTCGCTCTTCCATGGCAGCAACAAGTGCCATTTCGTCTGTGTGTGCCTGTTTGATGGCTGTGTGTGCATCGGGTGCACGCGTGCGCATGTGTGTGTTCGTGTTGTGAACTTAAATGGACAAGTTAGAATCCACATTCCACAACAATGGCCAAGAAGGAGAAACGGCCGCTGATCTATTAGTTTCTGGGCAAATTTCAAAATAATTGCACTGTGCAACTGTTGAAATTGATGTGCAGAGCATTATATTTGTAATTAGGTTGTGCAGCATCTGATGCGTCCAAATACAAATGTACATACAGCAGCGGTCAAGTGATTAGTTGTAAACAAATGCTGGGAAAAATCCAAAGTTTGTACACCAAAGAAAATTAGTTGTCTTTGTTTATTAAGTTGATGGCTATTTTTAAAGTTTTTAATTTATTAAATTCTTTATTTAAATTCTAAATTTCAATTTAAATATACAAATCAAATAATAAAGTAATATTTGTAATAATATTTGTAATAACATTTGTAGTAATATTTGACTAATCAAAATAAATTTTCCATTCTTTTAAATCACTTGAGTTAATTTTGTGTATTATTTTGACAGCAAAAGTACAATATCTGCACATATCCCACACATTTACTATTGACATTTGATGTCAAGCTGTGCTTATTATTGTTGTTTTTGTTGTCGCCCCGTTGAACTAAATCTATAACCTTAATTATCATAACAATAAAACATAAAAACAACAACGAAAATAGCATATGAACCTTCTTCAAACGTAGACGAAGAAGCCAGAAGAACCAGAACGGGTTAAAGTTGAACTCTGGTATAAAAAGAATACAGAGGAAGAAGCACAGAAACTTAAGAACAAGCCAGACGAGGCATTAGCAATTACAGGAAATTGAAAAATACAAATCCGGTGTTACCTCTCCGATTAATTTAAAAAGTGTGGAATGCCGGTTTCGTCCAAAGATCAGAAGAAATCATGCTGAGACTTAATTAATTGCTTGTGTGTAGTATAACCTTGGACAGCAAAGATCACCGTTTTGTTTTTTTTTGGGTCAATGAAAGCTAAAAATGCTTGCTTCCATGCCAAAAAAAATATCTACATTGGTAACAAATTAAAAAAAAATATAAAATTGATCTCAGGGTGTATTAATAAGTACATTTTCGAATATTGTAATTAGAATGAATTCTCTATGTTCCCTTTCAAAACTGTTTGTTTCAGACTTTAACTTAAAAATGTTTCAGATATAAATAAATTTACTTAAAAACTCCTGTTTAAGCCGTCATAAACATAAAAAGAACGGAAAAGTTTATTTTAATACAAAATTCATTTTAAAAAGAAATTAAAGATTAAAAATAATAAGAACGGAAAAGTTTATTTTTATATAAATTCATTTTTAAAAGAAATTAAAGATCGATAATTAATTTTCAAGAAATAATAAAAAAATAATTCTGTTGAACTTAGTATTTAACTCAAAAACTTTTCTACTTTATTCTGAACACCCACGTTTATTCAAAGAATTTAAATAGCGATCCAGTTTAAATTTAAATTTGACCCAAATTTTGATATTAAACTTTTATTATACTATCGAAGGGGAACCCACAGTTTGCATTCTATTTCTGGAACCGTGGAGATCAACCAACTAATTTGCCTACAAAACGCATAACTCATCTGCAGAACAATTGGATTTAACGTCTCGCCATTGTTTGGTCAAATATATTAACACTCCACATGCTGCTAGCCAGTTCTTAGCCCACGTAGGCCACGCCGCCGCCCACGGAACCGCAGAGACCAGGGCAGATAGAAACTGTAAACAGTGGAAAGGCTAGAACACTTTTCAAAGAATTCATAAGCACGCGCTAATGCGAATACTAATGCCAGGCACTGGCCAATCTACGGCTCTCTTCCACTGACCACGACCACTGCCCAAGACCAAGTCCGAGAATACGAGGCAAGACCCCTTCCACCTGTCCCTCTCTACCCGTGTGCGTGAGGTGTGTGGAAGCACCTGTTGTCGGACAACGTAACCGTGCGTGTGTTTGGGTTGCGTCTTATTAGAAGCAGCATTCGGCTGCCGCGGGGCCAAGTCAGGAAAAATGAGAAAAACACAAAAAGCATAAAAAAAAGAAACTGCGCTGAAAACCGGTTGATGTGAATGTGAAAATGAAAGAAAACCTTTTACAGTAAAGCTTCTATAACTTGAACATCCAAAGTAGATTTGAAAACATTTTTGTTTGTTTTTAATTTAATTTATTTATTTTGGCATCAAACTTAGTTAGCGCCAGGTTTGGGCAACTTGTTTATTTGTTAGACCCAGTTTACCCATGACCTGTTACGCTTAAAACTTAGTACCAATTCAAAGACATCATGCTGTTTTTTATAGAAATTTCCAGTTCCTTCATTATATTTAAATTTAAATTATTTATTAGTAGGTAGAACAGAGAAATATGTAGCTAAAATTACATATTTACTACGATACGAAAAGATACTTAAATACTTCTGTGATGGGAAAATTTCTAGCTTAAAATGTTTATCGTTTGATCGAGTTGTACGAGGCTTGACTGTATTATTTATTTGTATCCTAAGTCTGAGATGTCGCTGAAGAGTTGGTTTTTCTTTTTCTGTTCCACAGTTCGAATTTGGTGAAATCAATGCGTAGAAAGTGAATCGCAAGGCTTACGCAAAAGTCGGGGGGAAAGTGAAAAGCTTCGGAAAAGTGGACTTACCAAAAAAAAACACCAAATCTACTTGGATACTGAGTTCGCAATTGCGTTTTTGACTGCAGTCTACCTGTTTCCTAAATCGCGTGCCTCTGCTACTGCAGTCAGCTGACCGACCGGAGGCAAAGCGAGAGCTGGAACGCACACCTGGGCGAACGTCGGCGCCCACCTGCCGGCTTAGATGCGTCTAATCCAAACGGCAACCGGCGGAGCTGCTGCGACCGTTCTGCAGTCGCACTCCCAGTCGCAGTACAACTACACCAACATGCGTGAAGATGATATCGAGCTGGCCATTAAAGTGGTAAGTTGCCTAGCCGGCTACGTGCATCTTCTCCATTAGGAATGATGATGAATGACTGGATCGAGTGAATGGCACTGGCACCTGAGAGATCAGATCTGAATTGGATTCGTCATGGATGATGCTAATGGCGAAACTGCACGGATTAAGATTCTAGTTCAATTAGGGTTTTCCTATCTCTTCTAATAGCTTTCTGGAATTGCTTCAAATGCTTTTATTCAACATACGTATCTAGAAATGTCTTTTGTCTAAGGCCAAGTAAAAATTTATTTGAATTTCACGACTATAGATTATTGTTAATTGAAAACAGTACTCGTTTTGTAAGTATAGAAACCAGAGAAAATATTTTTTTAAATGTTACTTATCGCTTAAATTTGTGAAGGAAAATAGCCACTTTAAAAAATCAAACTTTTCTTCACACAAAAATTAATTATAAACATTTTTACATGCATTCAATATCCGATTTTTGTTAGTTCATAAAGTTGATTAAACCTATTCAAAAGTTATCTTAGCTCTTTTATTATTTATTTAGAAAACTTTGAAAACCAAAACCCCTAAACCCCCCTTTGTATTTATTTACAGGTCATTGTGGGAAATGGCGGCGTGGGCAAATCGTCGATGATTCAGCGCTACTGCAAAGGCATATTCACCAAGGACTACAAAAAGACAATCGGTGTGGATTTCTTGGAACGACAGATCGAGATCGACGGCGAGGATGTGCGCATTATGCTGTGGGATACTGCCGGACAGGAGGAATTTGACTGCATCACCAAGGCCTACTATAGGGGTGCCCAGGCCTCCGTGCTCGTCTTCTCCACTACAGATCGAGCTTCGTTCGAGGCGATCAAGGACTGGAAACGCAAGGTGGAGAACGAGTGCAATGAAATACCCACGGTGATTGTCCAGAATAAGATCGATTTGATCGAGCAGGCAGTGGTCACCGCTGACGAGGTGGAGACACTGGCCAAACTGCTCAACTGCCGCCTGATACGCACCTCCGTCAAGGAGGACATCAATGTGGCGTCCGTTTTCCGCTACCTGGCCACCAAGTGCCATCAGCTAATGACACAAAGCTACGAGCAGGCTGCCGGAAACCAGCAAAACTCCAGCCATCCGCCCTACAGTAGCAGTACGCCCACAATCAGCGCCTTCAGTCCAACCTTCACCAAGTCCAGTAGCGGCACGATTGTGCTTCGCCCGGCCAAAAAGGGTCATGGATCTAGCGTGGCACGGAAGCGCAAAATAGTGCTAAAAAAATGCGGTATATTGTGAGGAAGGAGCATAGTTAACGGACCAGGTGGATGGATGGAAGCGACAGTGATGGCAAATTAATAACTGGAGCATATTTAACGCCTAATTATTTTGGAGCTTAATAAAGTCGTAACCGAGGTGGCCAGTCAACCGTTGGATGCAACCACAGCCATTCACTAGTCGTGCACAGACTCCGACTCCGCGTGATGTGGTTCAGACATGCTTACGGAGCCAGCAAATATAATATGAGAGGCAGCAAAGTGGATCTTCGAAGTGGACTACGATGAAGTGGGGATACTCTTGCACCGAGAGAAGCTTAATATATATTTTTATCTATATATACCGGATAAAATAATGTTTATCGTTCTCGTTTAGGGCAAAGACTGTTGTCGGGCCGGTTCCGATTTTAAATATTCTCAAAGCAATATCTCAAAATGTGGTTTGTCGTGGTTTGTTTTATTTATGTATATGAATAATGGTGTTTGATTATACAAAATTGCGTTGAACCTACAAGATGCCCATAAGATTGGCCAAAACCTGTTAATAGTTACCGATATTCTTTTTTCATAAAATCATGATAGTGCAGCTTTTGTATGTTTAAAATACTCATTAAAATACACTTCCAACAAGACATTCAGAGAAGTAAAAAAAATACAAGAGTCTATAGACTATTTACAAGCACAAGCAAGCACTAGCTTCTTAAATAAATTGGACTAATTAGATATAGATGTGAAATTAAAGATGCCCACTTTTGTATAACGGAGAATGATGCTGCAGCGTTGGCTTTTAGTCGAATATGTAGTATGTACAGGTATATAAACTATGTGGTTGTGCGGGCCTAAGCTTGCCCAACGAAGCACAAATTAAAAGGCTAATTTATCACGCTAACCAAAACCCAGCAGATATCCATGTGAAATCCCTTCGCCAATTTGCTTTTGGACAAATGTGCAATTAATTATGCAGCTTATATACATATATATATAATTATTAACTGCTTGCGAGAGTCATGTCAAAGCGCAATTTGACTCGATTTCAAGTATATAAAACAATATTCGCGTTCTATGCAAAGTTAAATGACGACAGCATTCTCATGCTTCTGAGATACATTCAAAAAGGTGTCCAAAACTTGCAATTATTTATTTTTATGTTGCTAATTACGGAAGACAACATTCATAACATCAGACTATTGGACAAATTTTTAGTGGATCTCATTGAGATTCCTGTAGCACCCTTGAATATCAGCTCATAGGAGAGTATATATAAATAATCCTAAGCACATAATTACTAAATACTCTATTTATAAATGTATTATTTTATTTAAATCAACTAATAAATTATTCGTGTATAAAGTAAATAAACTGACTGGTTCTTTCTTATTTTGTACTGTTTTTATAACTAAATGCCAACCAAAAATAAATTAAACAGTCACAAGAAGCATCTGCTAGTATTATATAAAAATTGGATATTTTTAGAGATACAGAAATCAATTAAAAATCGCAACTGTTTTTTGGGTTCGCCTGTTATAAAAATCGAGATTTAAGCTTATCTTGTGAAAGAGCGTCCAAATTGTAGCGGATTGGTATAATTCGTTTTTTTATCCGGCTTTTCCAAGTGGATGATTTTGATAATAATTATTTATTTATTTTCTTGCAAAGTTTGTCTAAATTATTGTGCTATTACCTTTACTGAGCCCATAAAAACCAAAATTCTAGTTTTGAAATCTTTACAATTTTTTTTATTTGTTTTTTTGATTTTACACTGTTTTTTTGTATTTGTTTTTGTTTTGTGTTGTAAGCTTGACAATTTTTGCGATCCGCTTTTGTTAAGCACTATCGTTTTACACGCGTTTCCTCCTTTTAACTTGTTTAAAGTATTTTTTAATGTTTTTTTGTTGTTGTTTGTTTGTTTGATTTTATTTACATTTGCGCTGAAAAGTGTAGCTTTTCATTGTCGCATTGTCATTAAATGTGTATATATATCTACTTTGTTGTTTGTAATTTTCAAGTGTGTTTCCTTGTTATGAATCAAAGGCGTAAATATAACTATTCGTTCTTATTTATTTACACGAAAGGTCAAAAAAGCAAAATTTCTTAGAGATACAGGGGACAGGGAAAGAGAGAAAAGAACCTTTTGATTTTCTTGGGATTTATGTGGTGAGGATGGGGGGTTGGGGAGGGGGTGGCGTAAGCTGAGCATAAAACTGTGTTTTTTTGCAGGCTGAGCCCCAAAAAGATTGTGTTTATGTGGGGTAGTGGTGGGTGTGTGTGTCTGTGAGTGTTATACGCATTTTTAAAAATTTCTATAAAAAATATATAATTTCGTTCACATTTTTGAAATTTTTTTACTTGCTACCAAATTAGTAAAGTGACTTGGAAATATATTTTTCTTGGCACCAAATGAAGAGAACAAATGAATTTTAACCGAAAACTATCAATGTATGTTAATTTGTTTTTGATTATAAAAGGTAAATTTGTTAAAGTACATTCTATATGTATTTTTATTTTAAATAAAAATTTTGAAAATTATTTCACTTAGAGTTTTGTGGTCTTGGTGTATGTGTGTGTGTGTGTGTGTACGATTCACTTTTGATAAGATTATATCATTTTGTAGACATAGATCCTACATTCATTAGAACAATTTTTAGTTTCTTCTTCGAATATATCCATATATTCTGCACTTGGTAAACTTTTAGATTTATTAAGTATATAACTCTTTCACATTGGTGTTGTTGCTGTGGTTGTTAGTGGTGTGGTTGCTGATGTCGCTGCGGCCCGACCTGTGGCTTACTTGCTGGGGATGTTGTCTATTTTCTGGTTCCTACATATAGTTAAAGAGATTTAGCCTAGAGATACACACGCCACTTATGTATATGTTTGCATGTATGCTTGTAGTTTTAAAATTTAAACGTTAGTCCCGTTATTCGGAGATGGGGAAGTCATCCGGGTCGGCATCGTCGTTCTTGCCCTCCAGTGATCGGTACTCATCAGAGTCCTCGCTTATGGCTGCCGAGGTGCCAATAATGGACATCGGTAGCATTGGTTCAACACTGAGGCTGGCCAGGACGCTCGTAGCACTTGTAGTGGGTGTTGTCGTTGTTGTCGCAGTTACTGGGGGATTGGGGGGCGGCACATAGATGGAAATGGTTTCCGGTTCCGGTTCCTCACCCTCCGACTGTCGGATGGCCTGATTTGGACTTCTTTCAGCCACAGGCGCCACACTCTTCAGCACTTCAACGTGTTGCTGCTTTAACTCCTGTTCCTGTTGCTGTGGTGGTTGTGGTGTTGGGGATTGTGTTATTATATCAGCAGAGGCCAACAGTAGATCCAATTTAAGTTTGCTCGATGCCGTTGGCTGCTCTGTTATCACAGACTGTGCTTGAGTTGCTGCCGTCGCTGCAATGGTCGTCGTCGACCCTGCCGCCGCCATTGATGTTGTGCCTGCTGACGGTGAAGTGACAGTTGGAGCTGCGCTGGCTATTGGCATGGGCAGTGTGCCTCCTCCGGCAGCATGCAACTCATCCTCCTCGCTGACGCTAATGTAGCGACAGCGCTCGCTGAGCAGCGAAGCCGACTCATCATCCTCCTCATTTACGCTGGTAATGCTCACAGTACGCTGCTTGAAGCTCTGGTAGACGCTACTGTTGCTGCTGCTGCTGTGGCCAGGGGCAGCGTCAATGACATCTCTGGGCGAGGCAGCAGTTGTGGCGGCAGAGGAGCTGGCTAAAAAACCAAAAGAAAATGATAATTTTGTTTTTTTGCCCTTGTGGAAGTTTACAAAGAGTGGCTACTTACACTCTAGACGCTCACGCCGCGCTGCATTTCGCGAGGGCAACGGCGCCAGCTTGATGCGATAGAACTTGGAGCCCCTGCTGACGCGATAGCGATTGTCATCCTGCAAAAAAGTGCCGCACGCACACACGGGTTAAGCAGCTGTCAGAGAAATTTGATTGAGAAAAGTATACCTTTCGCGCCTGGCAGTACTCCTTGTCGATGACCCGTCCAATGGCATAATAGGGCAGCGGGATTTGATTCAGTTCTGCCACAGCCATCGAGGATTCTCCGGCGGGAGTAGGCCCTGCGGCCGGAGCAGTAAGCTGCAGACCAGCCAAGCTATCGGCGTGGACGAAATACAGGGTGAGCGAATCCTGTACGACCATAAATTGGGCATGTCGCATGCTCCATACCACAAAGACCAGATCGCCACGCGCACAACCCTCCAGGGCAATGGCCCTGTGACTGGAAGTGCCGCTAGACTTGGAGCGGGTCAGGGCACCACCCACCATATTCATATCGTAGACAGAGCTAGGTGTAAACGAAACGAAATTAATCATTTGGTATCTTAATTTTTAAGTGCGTCCTTACCTCCTCATAGCCGCCACACTTGTCTCCATCTCCTGGCGCCGGTTCTTTTCCTGGCTGAGCTCCTCCTCGAGTCGACACTTATCCTTATTAAGGTAGTCAATTTTTTCTTTCAACCAACTGTTGCCGTCCTCGTTGGTGATCATCTCCAGACGCGTCTTCAGCTGGTACGTCTCCTGGGTGAGGATCTTGTTCTGCTCACGCAACTGATCCAGCTGCCGCTCCTTATCCGCCAGCATGTCCTTGAGAATGCCGACATTGGCCATCACAGATTCAGAGTTCAATGGCAGGAGACGCGACTGCCACAGCGATCGCTCCGACTCTACGGCCTCGGTAATGGCACGCTCCTTTTGGGCCGTGAGTTCTTGGCGCTGCTGCGTAAGCAGGTGATCAATGTCCACGCCGGCATTGGCACTAGCCACACTAGCACTACTCGTCGGCCGCTCCAACTTCTCGAGGCTGCTGTCCGACGGCGAACGCTCCATGGAGGTCATCAGCTTAAAGCGGCACCGCAGCGACTCCAGCTCTGTTTTGTGCTCATGGATCAGCTGCTCTCTGGCCTGGGTAACCGCCGCCTGTTTCTCCTGCTCTGCCAGCTGCAGCTTCAGTCGCATCTGCTCCAGCTGCTCGCTTGATCGCTGCTCGCGCTCCTGGCACTGCATTCTCAGTACATTAAACTTGTCCTGCATGAGATGCAACTCGGATTGCAGCTCATCCTGGTATCCAGCGGCATCACTGCGGAAGGCGCTCAAATTGGAGCGAGCTTCAGAGAGGCAGGCCCGCGCCAACTTGGACATGTCCTCCATGGCGTTGCGCATCCCCTGCAAGCTGCCGCCATTCTCCTCCGTCAAAGTGCCAGCACTCAGCATAAGCAGTTCTTCGGTAGCGGTGGAACGAGCAACCTGCTCCACCAAACTGGTGGACGTTGAGGTAGCCACACACTTCGACGTGGAGCTAAGCTTCTCAAATTCTGTTTCCGTGTCCGTCTCACAGTCAGACGCCGTTGCCAGCGCCTGAAGCTCAGCCAAACGCGGGGCTGCTATCAGTGGGCCATCCTGCTCTGGCTCCTGCTCTTGATCCGGCTCCTGCTGATCCTGTTGCTGGTTGCTGGTGCGAAGGACAAAGAACTCGATCACAGGCTTCATATCGGGCAACTGCAGCTGGCCGGCCAATTCCGGTAGCTGCGATGAAAGCAGCTCCATGTCCGATCGACTGAGCGGCGGCAGGCGAGTGTCAAAGCTCAGGGGATGTTCGTTCGCAAAGGCGGGCGGCATGTCACCCATGCCGGGGAATAGGATATTAAGGAAGTGGCCTTCGAAGCTAGCGTTAAATTCCGTCCTTCGGCGCAACTCTTCGCTGTGGATGCGGTCAAAGTCCACGGACAGGCGGGTGGCCCACTGACGAAACTCATCCGAAAATATCTTGCGGCGCACCACTTCCGCCACGGCAGCCACATAGGTGCTGGGTGCCCTGTGGATTTGCTCAATGATGCTAATGTGGCGCTCTGCACGCCGCAAACACCTATGATTGAACAGCAGCCGATTATCGAATTCGCTCATTCCATTCTCGATCCAAACAATCCGCCGCAGACGTGTGTGCAGATTCCATCCTAGCTCGTCCTTTGAGTTAGCTATGCAGCGGCAGTACTCTCGGATCTTGGTATGATTCTCCAGCATCACCTGCAGCTGGGAGCGATGCGACAGGCAGAGGTCCGGCAGGACGGAGTTGTCGCGAAGATTCTGCGCCCGAGCCTCGTTTTGCTGCAGAGCCAGGGCCTGTTCCTTCTGATCGTTCACCATCTTCTTGATGCGAAACTTGAACTCCTCCAGCTTGCACAGACGGTCACCGAGGCCTTTAATCTCTTTGACATCGCTTTGGTTGGCCATCTTGATGATCTGCTTGACCTCATCCTTGAGCTTCTCGTAGATTTCGGCACTGAAGATGTCCAGACCCTGCATGCACTCGTCGGACATGAGTTGCAAGGCACTGCGGTTGCCTTTCGAGCTAATCCACTGCAGCAGATTAAGGTTGGGGCGACGCGCCAACGAACTGCTGCTGGTCGAAGTTTGGGAAACGCGCTCCTGCTGCTGCTCACCAGTCTCCGCTTCATCATCGCCCATCTTGAGTTTCTTGTTGGGCGAATCCGCCTGTGAGGATTCGGATAGACCGCTTCCTGCCGGTTGTTCCGGCATCAGCTGCTGTTGTTGTTGCTGCCCCTGCTGCTGCTGCTGGGCGGAAAAGACATCATCGTTGTCCAGCAACTCGTCAAAGCCATGGAAATCAGCCTCTGCCAGAGACATGAGAGCCGGGAGTATAGGTATCCTGCCCAGCTGCTTGAGATCATCGGCAAAGTTGCGCAACAGCTCTAGCTGTTGGTCTCGCTTCTGAAGATGCCGATCGAAGGAAAAGCAAAAGTTATGGAAGCGCTCACGGAACTCATTCGTCAGATCCTCCATATTGGCCACTACAGCTGACCAGCCCTGCTGTTGGAGGTGCTGCTCATGGACCAATCGCTCGCAAAGCGCCTCTTCCTTTCTGGCCAGCTCACGCATATGCTGCGCCAATTGCGAACGCTGACGCACTGTTTCCAGAGCAGGCGGCAGGCGGTGGCTTTCCTCCACCTGGCGACGCAGCTCGGCATCTGCATCCGTGTTGGATATCGTAGGCGCCGGACGCTCATCGCCCGTGAGGAACATGTAGATGGGATTCGTGTCGGTGCCCGCCGAGTAGCATGACACTTGGGTGGAGTGCGTTAACATCTCGCCGCCGCTTACCAGCAGCACTATATTGGCGGAGGGGATGCCGTGCAGCTTCTGGATCGTCTCCTTTAGGTTCTCCACCGATTGCAGGGCCACGTTCATGTCGAAGCTCAGCATGCGGCCGACATCCACATGGAACACGTACAGCATCATGGAGCCTTTTTGGTGACGCCTCTAGCTTCTCGACTTGGCTCCCGATTTCTGGAGGGGATGCACCCGCTCCCGCTCCCACTGCCACTTCCACTCCTCCTCCTTTTCTTGCTCCTGTCGTCTCACTTATGGTTTGGCAGTGCTTTAGAAGGACTTAATAGTGTTCCCTCATCTGTACGTCTGCTTTTACTTGCGGTCGTTCTTGGGGTGCTGCCACTTGTAATCGGTTGTGTGTGTGTGTTTGTGTATGATAAAGCTGAAAGATACAAGACAAAGGAGGTAAATGTGTGACCAAAGCAAGGCAATTCATATCAAACTTTGTGACGATTAATTTTAATATTAATTATTATTATCGGTAAGGAGTAGAGGTTTACGCCGATGGTTAAAGGCATCGGCGGCGGCGTAGAGGTCAAAATGACTCGGCGGCGGCGGCGTAGTAGTCAGAAAGAACCGGCGGCGGCGGCGCGTCAAATAAGGCAAAAAGGCCATTTTAATGAGTTATTTATTTTTTTTAAGTTTTATAAAGAACAATGACACTGAAGGCCGCGCTGAAGCTGCGCCGATGCCGCACCAGCGGCGCGCCGCGGCGCGCCGTTATTTTCATAATTTGGCGGCGGCGCGTCAAATAAGGCAAAAATCGGCGGCGGCGGCGGCGTGGCGCGGCGGCGTATATGTCTAGTAAGGAGTAATAGAATTCCTGAAATTGTCATTTTAATCTAATCCAACGCGTGCAACTATTGAACACCCGCATGTTTCATAATTATTATGAATTACTAGCTCAGCTTTGTATATTTACGCTTTTGGACTCTTTGTGGCGCTCTCTTCAGATCCAACAAACAGCTGTTAGACAACGCGACGCTGCTCTCGCGGGAGACAAAAAGCGGTAGCCGACTGGGCGGGTGGGGGTACAGGTTCAAATGTTAATGACTAACTGGGCCATTTCCGAGTCGCAATAAAAAATAGCGAAGCAAGCGGACGGGTGACCATATGCACAGACGCTTATTCAATTTTATTTTTATAATTTTGTTTACAGTTTACGTCTAGCAGACGGCTTTCGGTTTTGGCGATAAGACGCACATTACAGGAAAAGCGGAAAAACGGAAGGAGAATGGGATCGCACTTAGCACACGCGCACTTAACTTTACTTAATTCTATTTTTGCAGGGCAGTAAACAACAACATCAACATCAACGTGGGACGTGTTATCAACGCACCTTTATTAAACAAGTCTAGACTAGCGGGCGGATCGAAAACAAATGAGCAAAGCGAACTGCGGAGAAGCGAAGAGATACCGTGAGCGGGCGAGAGAGCGCCGCACGTGTGCGCCGATCGTACCTGCTCAACGTGTGTGGGAGTGGGATGGAGCGAGGGAGGTAGACGCAGCTCCTGCTGCGCATGTGTCCAATGCCAACTCCGACGTCGACTGCGACGTTACCGCAGCAGTGTTGCTGCGTTATAGCGGGAAACAAGCTAATAAAGTGGAAACCCAACTCATAAAAGGTAGCAAAAATATATGTATCTATATGTACATATGTATGTATTCACATACATTTGTAATTTCTTAAGAGACGGATTTTATTTTGTTAAAAGCTACTTTCCGCTAAAAGTCGGACACCTCACATTCGCTTTACCTGACTGGGCGATCCTTCTTTTTTACCTAAGCGAATTTCATCATATTATTAAACGAAGACTTGTAAATGTTCAAGGCAATGGAATTTCTCAAAATTTTCCATCTTTATTGAATACGTAGAATAGTACACCGTTGTATATTTCATTTACATACATATGTATGTATACCAGAAACGATTAGCACAGAAGAGTATACATACATATAACAGTAAAGAAGAATTCGTCAACTACTCTTTAATAAACTGATGAAATAGCCCGGTGGAGCTAAGAGACACAAAGCAATTACTGCTGGCCGCTTAATCATCGATGACATCCCAAAGTGCAATAATCTCTGGCACGTCAGTCACAGGCTACATTACCTGAATGAGCAATCAAGCCCCATAACTGATATGGTCTTATCAATGGTTCGGCTTTGGATTACCCGAATAAATCTAGTATACCTGTTTAATAGCCGTGATCTCCGAACGAGGTGTGCGGGGAGGAGGGTGAACTCCGATAATTCAATAGATATTAGTAGATATTTTCGGTTAAAAACTCTTAATTCGGAATTTTGAAATATAATGTATTTATTTTAGTAAAAAATTAGGGGATCTTTGTTTCAACGGTGACGTCATGGCTGTTCAGACGACTTATACTGAGCTTGAAGTAAAAGAAGGAAAAGAAGAAACCCTGAACCAACGCAAAGCGAAGTGAACTCCTCTCCTGTTTCAGATGATTACAAAGTGTCGGCAGCGCTGATTCTGTTACTGTCAGAGTTTATCAGCCTCTTTTCGCCGTTGGGGGGGCCACAGCACAAAAACAAAACACTTTCACATGCTAAGAAAAGGAAAAAAAGACCTAAGAGAGAGAGAAGGACAAAGGGAGGGAAAACTAATTACAATTTTGAGAAATGTCACCATGATTTGAGGTCTGCATACATATGTAGTATGGTCATGAGTACATACATATGTACATATGTAAATGAAATTAAAATTGTTATAACCATTTCAAACCATTAAAAAACTAGAAAACGTACGATCAGCTGTTTTCCGTTGCAATATCGAAATTCGATAATCAAAATTGAGCTGCAACTCATTTCCTCATTTCCATTTTCACAACTGCTTCTTTTCTCCTTCTCACTCTGTCTTTCTCCAAGTCTGACTGCATCTCACTCACACACTCAGCTGTTGTTGAGTTGTTTTGGCTTCCACTCTTGTGTTATTTGCTTTCTTCTTTTGCACACTTTCTTGAAATTAACTATAAAAAGCTCACAGATACAATGATATTCTTGTAAAATATGTAAATTATGGCAATTAATTGCAATTTGGCTCAAACTGGTGCACACCACAACAACAATGCGCGAGGGTTGCTGACGTTCGAAAAAAGAAAATGGCAGCAGGTGTAGCTGCATTTGGTATAGCGTGTTGTCAAAAGGGGGAGGCGGGCTGGGAATTGGGAAAAATTTATGCAGTAAAAGGGCGTCATCATGTGTGCGCTGGTATGGGTGTGCATTAAACTATAACTAACGGTTAATTAAAACCATGCCCCACTCACATTCACACTCACCTTATAATCTTTAATCAATTTTCACAATGGTACGCCAGTGTGTGCTGTGTAAGTGTTATTGTTGTCTGCGCGTCTGTGTGTTTTGGTTTTAATCAATTGTAAACGGGCACTAACACAAGCGCTGCAAATTATTTTACATCAGCTGTGGCTGTATTTGTGTGAGTGTGCTTGTGCTTGTGTGTTTTTATTTGTGAGCAACAGCAACAACAACGGCAATTGCACAGACTCTTCCTCTTTATTTTTGCTCGTCTTCTGCTCCCTCTCTTTCAACGCCAGCGTGTCTGTGTGTGTTGTTTTATTTCCCTTATTGCCTTCCACGCTTTTCTTATTTATTTTGTATGGCTCTGCTTCTGCTGCTGCTTCTTTTTCCGCCTGCTTATTACTTATTACTTTAAAAGCTATTTTCGTTGCGTATCAAATGTGCAAGTGTGTAAAAACCATTTACTAGCGCTTCCTTAGTCTTAGATGTCCATCAATATTTTCCATTTAAATTCAGCCAGCTTGCCTTTTTCGCGTCGTTTCTTTTATATTTTCCGTGCTTTTTCGCTGCTTGCTTCCCTTCTTAGTCTATTTCTTTGTCTATCACAATTGCGTTGTTGTTGCTGCTGCTGTGGGTGTTGTTGTTGTTATTGTTGGGGGCTGCTTGCTTATGCCTTCTGTTTTATGCTGCTTGTTGTTGTTGGCAGTTTTTATTTCACGTCAGTTTTACGCCATTTACACGTAGCGGGCACGGGCGCCGTTTGGGTGTTTGGAGTCACAGAATTTCACCCGCGCATATTGTAGCTTTTCTTAGATTTCTAATTAAATTAAATGGTATAAAAATGAAATAACGCACTTCGTTTTTGCCTTTGCTTTTGCCTCGCGATGTGAGAATGACAACAGTTTTTCAAATCGATAACGATGACGGAGCTAGAGGCGAGCCGTGGTGGTCTTAAAACTGTGACTTTTACAACTTCCCGCAATTTTAATTTTAATTATTTTGGAGTTAGTTTGTGTTTTTCTTATGACGTCAAGCTACAACCTTCGGTAGCTTAATTTTGAATCTTTATTACGATCTTTTATTTCAAACCAAAACAATATTATATATTTTTAGTATTTTAAATGGACGGTTAAAGTAGACACTAGGAGTAGTTGAATAACATTTTTAATGGATTTGGTTTGGAAACAGGTCTGTCCAACTGAAAAACAAATAGTTTGTATTTCCTATTTTCCTGTTTAATAAATAACCCACACAAATGTCTTTTTAAAATCAAAAAAAATCTGAAAAAAGTCAAAAAGACTAAATTACTTAAAATATTTGGAAACTTAAATTTCGATATAGTAAGTCCATAAATATATTTAGTAAACTGGCGATAAACTACACCAAATCACATTACACAATTTTGTCATTGGTCCATCTCTACCGTAGTTCTGTTAGAAAACCTATCGAAAGTCGCGCATCTTTAGCGAAAAGTGCAAAAAAAAATATATATATTAATCCGCAGAAGTTTTCTTTTTTAGCAATTAGCGCAGCATCCATTCATAAAAAGTCAAAGCATTTATTACACTTAAGTAGTATTAGCAGAGATTAAAGGTTAAGGCGACCCACCAAACCCTCGCATACTCAGACAGACGCGTACAGAATTTCCCCTCGCTCACCAACACACACATAATACCTATCCAATGAAAGGGTCACGGGCGGCATTTCAGTTCTTTTTCATATTTTTGGGCGTTCTTTGAGGTTTTATCCTATAGCCGTAGTTTAAGTTTGTATATTTGATAAAAGAAACACATTATTACTTTCTGTATTTTGCCCTCCATTACATTGTTAAACCCGAATAAACAAACCAACCACACCTTTAACAAATGATCAACATTCAGAGCATAGAAAATGTGTCCGATTGCACTCCGCTTTACCTGCCACACAGCTTGTACCTCAAGCCGGTGGCCAAAATGCAAATCTCCGTATCGCTGCCGACGATCAAGTCCGGCAAATCCGTGTCCAATCTGGAGATAATGGACAAGCTGGGCGTCGAGCTCAAGCCGGACAAGTTTCTGCTTCTAAAGGTGTGTTATACATGAAGCCCTATCTCCATATTTTATATGATACATTCTTCGAAACTATTGCTTCTCCGATTTCTACATTCTACAAACAGGTTTCCAAGAGCACAGTTAACACCATACGCCTGGAAGCGGAACTGGATGACCGCAAACGCCTTCGATTGGCCATCCAACGCCTGGATGGCGTCTCCCTGCGCATCACCGGCTTCAGTGAATCATTCCGGGTGCGCTGCACCGAATCGAAAGATGAGTTTCCCACGCGACACGACTGGGACTCGTATTTTCGAGATGCCCGGAATATGGACGAAATGAAGGCTGGCGAAAGGCCGGACACCATTCACCTAAGTCACTTGCCTATGCGTTGGTTTTGTCCCCGGCACACGGAGCACGAGGAGCAGGTCAAGCCAAGCGAGAGCATCTTCAAGCGCATATTTGAGAAGTTTGGACGTGTTCGCGCCGTGGATATACCTATCTGTGATCCCTATCGGAAGAGCATGCAAGCGGATATTAATGGCATGCGAACTTTTAGCTTCGAGCAGGATGTTCTCTTTGAAGCGTGAGTTCTCGGCGAAACTATGTACATATATCTTCAAACAGGTTTTCATTTATATTTAAATTACTATTACAGATATGTCCAATTCGAGGAATACTCCAGCTTTGTACGAGCCATGGACGAGTTTAGGGGCACTAAGCTCGTCCGGAAGTTCGTTGACAAAACCCAGGCCATTAACATATGCGTCAACTTTGACAAGCAAAAGCATCTCAGCGACTCGCACGTGCAGCGACGAGAACGCATGCGAAAGAAGTGCATCGCCAAAGCTCAGGCAGAGGACGAGGAACGGGAAAAGTTAAAGAAGCAAAAAGCCGAACAGTTGGAACGCGAAAGGTTTGAAAATAGCTTTAGGTTTGAATGTGGGAACAGTGAACAATTACGATTTATGACAAAAAATGAAGGAATGTTGGACATTATTGCTCAACACTCCAGCATAGTTTGTCTTTGTTTATATCGAATTCATTTTTATTGTATACTGTTTTCCATGCCCTCACATCTTAAATTTATATTTATCATATGCTTCCCACCACCTGGCGAGGCGAGCCTTTTAGCCAACCGTTCTCTGTATCTTCTAGACGAACAGTTAACAAATATTTATTATGCATAATAACAAATACAAAATCAAATGCAAAACAAAACAAAACGCAACATTGCAAACAAAAATTACAGGCAAAAGCAAGAAGAATTGAAATTAGCTGAAGCGGAAAAACAACGTGAACGTGAGGAAAAGCGAAAAGAAAAGCATCTGAAAAAAATCCAGGAGCGCGGCCAGGTTGAGATATCGCAAAAGATACGCGTCGAGGAGCGCAAGCTGATGATAGCCCAACGCAAGCTCGAGAGCATTCGTACCCTAGAGAAGCTATTCGAGCGGATACAGGTAAGGTTATTTTTCTGATTCAATTATACATATTATGCCTTTGATATAACCAAAACTGAAAAATTTGGAAAATATTTAAAAGAAAAATAGTGCCAAAGCACAAGTCAAAGGGTATCTCAGCTTCGTCTCGTTTATACTAATGCAAGAAGCTGCTTCCCATTTAAACTTATCGTACAATTATTTAAGTAAGTGTAAATTGCTTCTTCCTTCTCAGCTAAAACAAAAAGACAAGAACCGTAGGGCGAAGCAAGATGACGCCAAGGACATCCAACGTGGTCGTCTGGTGGAAAAGTATAAGGCTGCCACAGAGAAACTCGTTTGTGATCAGCGCAAAATCGTTCAGGACATCAAGAGCAATACTCCCCTCATGGGTCTTCTGAAGAGCAAGTCCAAGAAAAGCTCGGCGCCTTTAGATGCCAGCAGTGATGAGGATGCGGCGTCCACCAAAAGGCACAAGGCGAGCAACGGCGTCACAGGCTCAAAACGTTCTGAGGACCCCAAAACCGAAACTTTGAATCCCCTCAAAGCTGTTGCCGCCATAGCGGCTGGCGCAGTGCCTGGGGGAGCAGGTGCATACAGTGCCGAGGCAGCCAGCGAATGGATGCAGTCTCTTTCAATGTTCGGTTACGGAATGCCCGGTGTCTTCCCCGGAGCATTGTATCGACCGCCGGCACCGTTTCCAGTCTCCAGCAATTACCGTGGATTCGCTCCACGAATGCGGGGTCGAGGAAGAGGTCGCGGCACCGGAATTCGAGGCAGCCGCAAACGATTCGATTCGTATTACAGTTACAACGATCGCTACACCGACGAGGAGGATAATGGCTACCATCACAAGTCAACGCGTGGCAGGTAAGATTTGGTTTGTTTATGGAAAACACAAATGTTGATTATTACCTTTCAATTCTAGGAATCGTTCACGTTCCAACTCATCATACTCTAGAAGCCGGAGCCGCTCTAGGGGTCGCCGGTAAGTAATGCGTGGCTATAGAATGGATTGGCGAGTGTTTTATATTTTAGTATTGTTTGTCGTTCCAGGCGCTCTCAGTCGCGCAGTCGGAGCCGCAGTCGCTCTCACTATCGAAAATCGTCGTACTCATCACGATCGAGGTAGTGATAGCAAGAAATATAAGAAATATAACATGATTTAATCGGAATTACCCTTCCAGACGCAGCCACAGTCGATCTCATTCGCGGAGCCGCAGCAAGACACCTTCACAGCGTAAAAACCGAAAGCTAGCCTCCACTCGCCGTTCTCGATCGATCAGTTACTCCCGATCGCGCTCTCGATCACGTTCTCACTCCCGCAGGTACTCTAGTACACGCCGCGAGAACCACAGCAGCCGGCATCGCAGTCGCAGTCGAAACCGCAATCGCAGTCGCAGCCGCACATCATCGAAAGATGTGAAACTGGAGGCGGACAAGCTGGTGGCTTCTGCTGAGAAAATACAGCGAACCATCGAGCAGGCCACGAAGGACCGAATGCGCGAAGAGGAGCGCGAGATTAAGCAAAACTTTCGACGGCAGACGCGCAGGGATAGTCACAATAGCCACGGGAATCACATAGACGTACAACTGCCACCAGCGGACTCCAATGACGAGGATAGACACGGCAGCAGCAGCAGCAGCAAGCGCCGCAACTCACTGGCTGCCTAAAGTATAATGTATTCATTAGCATAATTATTAAGGAGTTTGAGAAATAAAATGAGCAAAGTTGTCTCCAAAAATGTAGACCCTTCCCCTTAAGGGTCTGTGAATCAAACAAATAATCAAATTTCAGATTTCTATAAGTTTTTTCTTAAAAGAAAATATTTCTTAAGCAAAATTATACAATCTTTTTGTTTACTATTTACGATCGGGTTTTCTTAGATTTTGATATAAATCCTTTTATGCATTTCGAAAGACAGGTGATCGGCGGGGACAGGAAGTGTTAGAAGATGCCATATGAATCAGTATCGCCTGTTGTTGTTACGCCCTCGATTCCTGCCGCCAATGCCAACGCCGCCTCCTCCACCTCCGCCTCCACCAGAAGCGGAAGCGGAAGCGGAATTATTATTGCCACGCCGTCGACGCTGGCCACCATTATTTCCACCCTTCTGGAATTCCCGATCCCGATCGTTGAAGTTATCCGAGTTATTGTTGTTAAAGCCATTAGAGCCATTGCCATTATTTGGCCAGGGCGCATTGGAAGCCCAAGGATTGGGTCTGCCACCCCCAGGCTGTTCTCTGTCGCGGTCCCGTGACTCCGTTCTGTCGTGCTCTCTCTCCCGTTCCCTTTCCCTCTCCCGCTCCCTTTGCTCCGGCGGCACCTGCTCATCCACAAACTCTGTGTTGGGCTGCTGAGCCTTGAGAGCTACCAACGAGGACACGAAGGGTTTCTTAAGCAGCAGCATCTCCCGGACACTGACCAATTGGGCATTGTGCTGTCGTGGCTCAAATCGCGATTTCTTGGCAGGCGGGGAAATGCCATCACCACGGGCCTCCACCGTTGGGGAAACGGATCGGGACCGATCCGGCACTGGCACCACATCGTTCAGCTCCTCCAGCTTGCCGGCATCTATATACTTGTTGAGGAACTCTGCGCCCTGGCGTATAGCTGCCATCAGTCGAGAGTCTGGATGGACGCGTATGAAACGATTATAGACTAAGACGCCGACTATTGTCTGCGGATCCAGGCCATTAAGCATGCCACTGGCCACGATGCCCTCCATTGTGTTCTCGCTAATCTGCTGGTGGTTCAGACCACTCGTCGAGTCCTTGGCCTCGCGGGCGGCCAGCTCCTCGTGGATGCTAAGCACGCTGGGGTCGTCCGCTCGCCGGGGACCCGCCCAGTTCACCTGGAAGTTGCGTGGAATGGGCTTGCTGTAGGGCACCTTCTTCTCTCGATCACGATCGCTCAAGGCTCGACTCGGATCCAAATCCAGGCCGGGAATGAAGCCCTTGTCAGCGGTCAAGCTTTCGGTGAACTCGACCCTGTCCTCGGGTCCCATGCCGGGGATAACGGCGTCATCTGCAATGAAATCGTTATTAATCTAACTGAAATATCAAATAAACTGCTAAAACCCACCGTATTCACACTCGTCCAGCGCAGCCAAACTGGCGGGCAACGTGTTCAGATTGTATTTGTCCCTCATCAGATCTCCCGGCCGGTTTCTCGTCCAGAACTTGATGGTGTGATCGTTGGAGCCCGAGCAAAGTATGTGACCCAGCGGATGCCAGGCCAAAGTCCATACAATGCTGTCATGCGCAGTTTCCACGCAGCCAATCTCCTTATCCGTTCTTAGAGAGAAATATACGAAATAAAAATAAAAGTTTCAGCCAGTATTTATAGCCTTAATACCCACCCAACGTTCCAGAACAGAATAGAACCATCAGAGCCGCCGGAGCAAAAGAGACCCTCGTGTATGGGATGCCACGACACTGAGCTGGCCTCCTTTTTGTGGCCCCTAAACACCTGAACCTCTTCCCGCAGATTGCGGATATCGAAGAGCTTCAGTAAATGGTCTCTGGAGGCGGTGACCAACCAGTTGCCGTTGTCATTCCATTTCAGATCCATCACAGTAGATTTGTGGGCATGCCTGAAATAAATATGACATCAACTTGAATTTAATCCATGAAGAATTTAAAGCAACATTTTATACTTACAGTGTAGCCAAGGCAATGCCGCTTTTGGGATCCCAGATCTTGATGGGCTGCTGGTTATCCTTGCTGCCGCTCACGATCATTCCCTTGTGCGGATGCCAGTGCACACACTTTACGTCTGCTCCGTGTCCTTTAATGAGAACATAGTTAGTTAGCTGAAGGGGCTACTCAGTATCCGGCACTTACCCCGCAGCACTCGCTCCTCCTGGCAGCGCATAAAGTCCCAGATCCTTAGGGTTCCGTCGTCGCTGCCGCTGACGAATTTGCTGTCCGTCGGACTAAAACTGCGTTTGGTTTGGATTGCATTGGAGAATGTTTAGAAATACGTAACAAAACACGAGTTGCGACGGTGATTATGAAAATGGATGATGTTCAGCGATAAAGAGAAATAAAATAGAGTTAATGTTGTTGAAAACGACGTTTTGTAAACCCAGTTTTAATACCAACTATTATTTATAAGTTGCGTTTGTACAATTTATATCCTTATTTTGAAATGTAAAGTAAAAAAGTGAACTAAATCTTAGCTACTCACTGAATGATTTATAAAATAAAATTAAGGGATATTTTAATTAGTTGAAACAATATTCTGTTGATCGCAGTGTCAGCATAAACGCTCAATTTTATTTATTTAACGACATTGAAGTTCTTCCCGGTGACTTGTGTACTTTTCTGTCGATGGAAATACTTGGAGATACTCTCGCCAGATGAATATGCCCATAGATTGATCGCCTTGAGGCTTTTGAGAAAGAAAACACTTAAACCCCCGAATTTGAGAACCAACAAGGTGCAAGGTTTGCATTTTTATTATCATATTTCTGTTGATGTTTGTGGCGCCGCGGAAATAAAATTGTGCAAACGTTTCTTTTTTTTAATCTCAGTCAGTTGCTTTTATTGTGGTCTTTTGCATTTCAGTCTTTTTTTTACTTAATTTCATTTAATTGCTATCACAGATGACAGATCACAGATCACAGGGAAGAGTTCGAGGCTTACAACGATAGGTGTTTTAGTGGACCTGTTCAACTCTATAAGCCAAGTGGTGGCTAGAAGGAGAAACTAAGCTCTGATTTGGCATGTTGCTGAAATTGACGGCTTTATTGATATATATTTAATTGCAACAGCCCTGAAAGGAAACCGGATCCACTCTACGCTGATAGATAATGCAAACAATAACACCCAGGCGACCCGAACAGCTACGGAAACTAGGTAACGAACGCGGTTCTGGCTACAGCATTTTCTCTGACTTATTTGGCCAGCTGCTACAAAATGGTAAATACAGGCGACAATTACAATTAAATGGCTATACCTTATTCCCCTAATCGCCTCCTTGTGCGCCTGGTACATCTTCACGTTGTTCATGTTGGATTGCCAGTACTTAACATAGCCGCCGTGATCCCCGGTCACCATCCAGCTGTCGTTGTGTGACCACACCATGGTCCGCACCGAAATGTCGTGGGCCTAGGATTATTATATATTGGCAGTATATTAGCCTCGATTATATTTGTTATGCTTCTGGGTGTGACACCAACCTGCAGAATGGTCTCAAAATTGAAGGTCAGCCCGTTCCATAGCGTAAATTCGCCCGAGCTAGCCCCGGTAACCAGACGTCTGCCTTCCGGTGTCCAGGCCAGCGTAAAAATGGGACAGCGCATTTTGTTGGTGGCCGTTTTCACAAATCTTGTCGTCACCGCATTTGAGGGATTATCCAGGTAACTGGATGGTGGCAGCATATGCGGCACGTAGATACTGTCCGGCTGCAAAGCCAATCGATCCCGATGATCACGTTGCCACAGTCGATTCTGTGAGGCAAAGAAAAAAGATAGTCTTATTAAAAATTTTTTGGAAAACAAGTTTTTAACAAGATATATAATTTAAAAAATATTAAATTCTAAATGAGTTTTGGGATTTTATGAGATGAATCCTTAACCCATTTTAATTCGTTGGCAATCGTTAGCACAGTTTTCTTTGGCAAAATGTAAATTCCAGACTCTTTATAAACCACCCGAAGTCTGAGATCCATAGATATGGAATTCAATAGAGTATATTTACCTCCAGCGCCTTGATAATAGACGCATTGTAGTCCACAGTCTTTCGCATCACACTCTTTCGCAGCCGCTTGCCATCAAAGTCGTCTTGGGACATGCCGAACGGTCTCTGGAAGCCGCCCGGCATGAAAGGCTTGAACTGGTTGTACCCGTGTTTGTTGGAGCCATGATGCGGATGGTAGTGCCTGTAATGCTGGCCGCCCATCGATGGCGGCGGCAGCGATGTAAAGTTGGTGGCTAGCGCTGATGGCGCCGTCAGCAGCTGCGGCGGTGGCTGGGACACGTCCATGGCGACTGGGAACCGCTTTCGCTACGCGTGCAAAATTAATTTTCTTCGCACGCACACAGACGCACGAACACGGCGGCAAGCGCGATGCTCGAATTAGTTGGCTTTCTTGAAGGTCAATTATCCGCCGTACTTACTGGCTATCCTAGAGTTCTCGCATTTGCCTTGGTTGTCTGCTGAAAAAATCCTACGTTGAACTTAATTAAAAACTATTTGTAACAAGACGCGTTGAAAAATGACTGCTTTTGTGGAACAACGCGAATTTGGAGCAGTCACATCGAAACGCGTACATAGTGTCAATTTCAATACTCTGTTATCGGCGTGTCACTTTGTATTAGGGTTTTAATAGCCCATTCACACTAGCCTTAGTTACTTATCGATATTGAAGGCAGAATCAACGTTCAATAGCTGTTTTGAGCTAGGTATTCTAGGTATTTCCTTGAAGTATCGCAATAATTAGCCGATATTTTCCGCCGAACGACCCAAAAAAGTCAGATCAGAAGATATTCATTTTGTATTCTCCTATATACTATACATTATTTTAAACTAATGAACTCTATAACTAGCTTTTCAGTCATTCAGTCGATATTTTCAGCAAATGTGGAATCGCTAAATCACTGAAAATATCCCATAATACTGGCATGACACTGCCGCATTAATTAGAGACTTCATTAAAGATTTGACAGCGCTATAGCGTTTTACACAAGTGCGAGGAAGACGACTATATGGCGCTCTAATGCATTAGAATAATGCATTAGCTACTTCATTGGAGCGATAATCGATAGATGTACATATTATATACTAGATACTCGATAACAAAATACGGGTTTAATGAAGAAAATTGTAATTGAAAAATGTATTAGCCAGTTCATTGACAGTATGGTCTCACAATGAGAATTTTATTTTTATATTATTTCGCTTGTTTTTTGAACTGAAAATATATTAGAAAATTAGCAAAAATAATATGTTTTGCGGTAGCAAGGTTCTTGCGCTGTAAAATTAATTAAAATTATTTTTTTTGTAATAATTAAAAAAATTTTAAGCATTATAGGCTAAAAACATAAATTTAAAGGATTCTGCATTTATTTATGCAATAATACTTCGACGAGGAATTCAGAAATTCATAATAATACGCCGCGAAAGGCGGCCGTTTTTTTGTTTACCTTTTACGGTCGGTGTGACCGTAGTCGTATTACCAAAAAATCCAAGCAAAATTCAAGCAAAATTACACAAAATTACACATATAGTTGACTCTTTCAAGGTTCTAATGAAGTAGCTAATTAATGAAAACTGCATTACTGTATCATATGGGCATAAGCAGTTTGTATGGGAACAGCTGTTTTCAGCTGCCGATATTTTCAGTAAATTAGTCGTTAAGGGAATACCCAGTTTATATTTAAAGTTTTCGTTTTTAAAAAGAAATACATTTAAAAATTTAAATCATTTTCATCTTTTTAATTCTGGAGAGTAATCAAGTATCCTTTGATTCGATATTTTTGAAGTCGTGCTAAATGAATACCCTTACTAAAAGCAAGATGTGCACACTGAGCTTGAATCATTGATAGATCCGATCGCCTTACATAATTCTGGGTCATGAATTTTGCCGGCAAAGTTGTTCTTATTACAGGGGCCAGCTCTGGGATCGGGGCTGCCACCGCCGTGAAGTTCGCCAAGCTTGGAGCCTGCTTGGCTCTAAACGGACGCAATGTGGAGAACCTGAAGAAGGTGGCCGAGGAATGCGCCAAGGTGAGTGACTCGCAGCCAGCCTTGGTGGTGGGCGACATCGGCAAGGAGGAGGACACAAAGAGAGTCTGGACCGAGACCCTGGCCAAGTACGGCAAGCTGAACGTGCTGGTGAACAATGCTGGGATCATCGAGACCGGCACCATAGAAACGACCAGCTTGGAGCAGTACGATAGAGTGATGAACACTAACCTGAGAGCCATTTATCACCTCACCATGCTGGCCACCCCGGAGCTGATCAAGACCAAGGGAAACATCGTGAATGTGTCGAGCGTCAACGGAATCCGCTCCTTTCCCGGCGTCCTGGCCTACAACATCTCTAAAATGGGCGTCGATCAGTTCACTCGCTGCGTGGCTCTGGAGCTAGCTGCCAAGGGAGTTCGCGTAAACTGCGTGAATCCTGGCGTAACGGTGACAAATCTCCATGCCCGCGGCGGCATGGACGCCGAGACGTACAAGAAGTTCCTGGAGCACTCAAAGACGACCCATGCCCTCGGTCGTCCTGGCGATGTCAAGGAGGTAGCGGCGGCAATTGCGTTCCTGGCCAGCGACGAGGCTAGCTTCAGCACAGGTGTTAGTCTGCCCGTGGACGGAGGTCGCCATGCAATGTGCCCGCGCTGATGATTGTAATCCCAGTACGAATCAAGAAGACTCCTTCAGCTTGGATTTTTCCATGTGTAAATGCATTTATATCAATGTTTTTGATTGTTTTTCCTTTAATACATTTATTGTTTAGCAAACAGACTCTGCGATCCGTGAACTAAAGTTAACGTTCTTTATAGACCCCCTATCCCCCCAGCAAAGATCTAGTAATCTAGTAATATTTAGTAATTATTTAAACCAGACTTTGTTCTGGCTCCCCCAAAATTCCAACACTGTTCGATGGGCACCAAGGGCAAGGCGGGATTGGACTTCACCAGCAAGGTGGTCCTAATTACAGGCGCAGCCTCTGGCATTGGTGCCGCCACGGCTGAAATGTTTGCGAGGCTGGGCGCCAGCTTGGCGCTGGTGGATCGCGATGAGGAAGGCCTAATGGGCGTAATGAAAAGGTGCGTGTGCTTAGGTAACAATCCGTATGGCATAGCCGGGGACCTTCTCAAGTTACCCGAGATCGAGTGTATTGCGGAGAAAACCAAGGAGCGGTATGATGGTCAGTTGGATGTCCTAGTGAATGGAGCAGGCATTATGCCCACGGGGACCCTGCAAACCACCGAACTGACCTGTTTCTCCCATGTGCAAGATGCCAATGTGCGGTCCTTGTTTTACTTAACCAAACTGCTGCTCCCGCAGCTGCTCCATTGCAGGGGCAGCATCGTAAACGTGTCCTGCGTCTGTGGGATGCGCGCCTTACCGAATCAAGTGGCCTACAATATGTCGAAGGCAGCGGTGGATCAGTTCACCCGCTCTTTAGCCCTGGATCTGGGCCCGCAGGGCGTCCGCGTAAATGCAGTGAATCCTGGCGTGATACGAACCAATCTACAGAAAGCCGGAGGAATGGATGAGGATAGCTACTCGGAGTTTCTGGAGCGATCAAATCAGACTCACGCCCTGGGTCGGGTAGGAGATCCCGCCGAGGTGGCTTCGGCTATCTGCTTTCTGGCCAGCGAACTGGCTAGCTTTGTGACAGGCGTCACCCTGCCTGTGGATGGTGGCAAGCAACTTATGTGTCCTCCCTAAGTCCTCAGTTTCTTGATAAATTTCTCGCCACGGTTCAACTGCGTTCACGGAGTTGTTGTCATCAAATCAAATCCTCAGTTTATGTAGAAAAAAGAAAAAGAAAAAAAGTTCTAATATTTGGTTTAAATATTTCTAATCGTTGTTTATTTATTTTTAATTCATAGCCTTGAAAAGTTGTACATTTATAAATGTTTACTGGATAAGACACATTACAGCACCAGGAAAGAAGCGTATTAAGGGATCCTCATCTGGGGCACATGGCATGGCGACCGCCGTCCACAGGCAAGCTGATCCCAGTGCTAAAGCTTGCCTCATCGCTGGCCAGGAATGCAATGGCGGCCGCCACTTCATGGACTTCTCCAGGTCGGCCCAGAGCATGCGTGACCTTGGCATGCTCCAAAAACTTAGCATAAGCCTCATCATTTAAGCCGCCGCGCCGTTGGAGTTCGGTAATGATCACGCCGGGATTAACCGAGTTTACGCGAACACCTTTGGGTGCCAGCTCCAGGGCCACACAACGAGTGAACTGATCTACGGCTGCCTTGGACACATTGTAGGCTAGAACTCCCGGAAAAGATCGTATGCCATTGACACTAGAGACGTTCACAATGTTCCCCTTGGTCTTGATTAGCTCCGGAGTGACCAGAATGGTAAGCTGATAGAGCGCTCGGACATTGGTGTTCATCAACCGGTCAAACTGTTCCAGACTGGTGTTCTCAATACTGCCCAGTTCCAGAATTCCGGCATTGTTGACCAGTACATCGATGCGCCCGTGCTTGGCCAACGTCGCAGATACTATACCCTGAACGTCTGACTCGTTGTTCATGTCGGCCGCCACCTGCAGGGCAGGAGATCCTCCAGCTGCGACGATCTGCTGCGCAGTCTCCTGAAGCTTGTCTACATTTCTGCCTACAATGGTAAGGAGACCTCCCAGTTTGGCCAGGAGAATGGCGGTGCCTGCACCGATTCCTGAGCTGGCGCCCGTCACAATGATAACTTTATCTTTAAAACAGGGCATGTTGACGACGAAACTCCAGGTGATCTACTGAAATGGCAGGTGATAATGATACTACTGACATTGGAAGAAGTCAACAAGTTTTTGGGGACGCATGCCGATTACACCTATCGATAAAGTGGAACCCAAAGCTTCAAAGCTATTTCTAGCTGTTGTGAAATTCAAAATGTTTACAGATGGTTTCGTGCTTTTAGTGTTAATTAAATTTAATTTGCTATTGTTATTTTCGCTATTTTGTTATTAATAATTAATAATTATTATGTGTTAATGTGGATATTTACAGACTTATTAAGATTTCCTTATTTCGACTTTTGTTTTAATTGCTGCCAGCACTTGTCCAAGATACCCAAGAACTTGTCGATCTCTTCTTTTGTTATTCCTATGGCCGCCGCTACTGTTAAATAGGAGACTTTTAGATCCCTGCGATGTGAACCGAAACCTGAAAAATAGAAAGTTAGTTTAGGGATACAAAAATTATAATGTCCATATTGACCTTGAAACTCGTGACCATCGATGGTTTTGTTTTGGGCAGGTGTCACCACTCTCGTTCCCGAGACTCCACGCATGTGTAACATGGCTCCCAGCCGAGTGATGTTGCTGTTTTGACCCGCGTCGTCGAGTGTGCCCAAGGTTATGGCCAAGGATATAGAGTTGTCAGTGCTATCGATCACAATTTCACCATGACTCTCTGCGAACTTTTGTAATTTTTCTTTGAGGTAAATAAAGTTGTCGTTCCGTTGCTGGATGAGCGTTTGAAACCCACTGCTGCCAAGAGAAAGCAATGTCATGAAGACGTCGAGGGCCTGGGACCCACTTGCTCTGCCCGCATAAGTGCTGGCCACATCCTGCAGCCTTTTCTCCTCGAAACTGGCTACAATAGCACCGCCCACCGGCACCAAGAGATTCTTGTCGCTGCTCTGCACAAAGTAATCTACTCTTCCCACTCGATGGGCCTTTTCCAACTGACGAGCGATGTCTGGTGCCTGCAGTCCGTAGGCATTGTTCACCAGATGTGGGATTTGCCATTGCTGGGATAGCTTGCTCACCTCTACGATGTTGTCGCTATTACGTGGTGCAAAGCAACTGGTGGTGGTATACAGGCAAAGGATGCTTTCTGCTCCGAGTACCTCGATCCTTTCCCGGAACAACTCGATGTCTGTGTGCAGGGATTCTCCTTGCACCGCCTTGCAAGGAATAATCACCGGTTCCAGGCCAGCTGTTGTAATTGCTTTGAAGCAGGACTTTTGATCGATCCGTGACCATAGGACATACCTCGCCCTGGGCCGCCGCTTTCGTAAGCTCTGCAGGCACAGGCTTAAGGTCATACCGGTGCAAATAGGAACTAGAAAGCATCCGGCACAACTGGGCAGTTGTCCAACGGTCTTCATAAAGTCCAGGATCAGAGCGTTTGTAAGGCGGGCGAGCAGCGTCGAACCAGCTGCCTTGGGTTGTGCCTCCAACAAGTCTCCAGAGCGGCCGATGCCGTGGCCAAAGTTGTAGTGACGTCGGGCCACAAGTCCTACAATATACATTTTATATATTACGATGTGTATTATCTTATTTATTTTAGAGATACCCACTGCATGCTATCCGCGCCTCCCGTTCACCAAGTCCCAGCTTGTGAGGAAAGTTGTTGCTGTCCAAAGACGATAATTGATGCACTAGCTCCTCGATCTGCTCATCGGGCCACCCATTTACCGGTAGCTTCCTCTGAAATAAAATAATAATATTGTGTTTAGAGTTGTTAGATTTCGCATTTCTAGTTTACCTTTTCCAACAGCTCCTTGAAGCTGCGCTGCTTGGCGCGTTGGGCTGACAGACCAAGTTGTAAGTAGTTGTCAGGCACCAGTTTTCCTGGTATGTTTATGTCGTCGAAGTTCATATTCTTATAATGTTATGGCCCGGAAAAGCGCTTAATTTTTAGTCGGCTGAAATATCTTCAGATGGCGGGCTAGTGTGACCAAGTTTTCGTGTGTTGATCAGTTAAACTAAGCTATTCACACTAGGAACCAGCTGTGTTTGTTTGTTATCGAGACATCGAAAATGGATCTGAACTCATCGCGCTCTCATGGGTTGCTAAAATTTAGCGTTGCTAAAATTTCACAATGAGAAAGGTAGCTTGCTTTTGAAACAGCCAAGAGCGGAATGCGAAAGAGAATAAAAAAAAATAGGACTACCTTGTATAATTACGGGCATTTTGGCGCCTTCAGTGCATTTTCAGTGCGCCTGAAAGGAAAGCAATTTAAAAATTATTTATTTTAATATTGAATGTATATTTAAGGTTCGTTTCTTTAAAATGTATGTATTTTTTTGCCGATTTATTTAGTATTTTTTGCGCAATGAAAAACACAATCGATAGTGACTCGCACAATCGATAATATCAATGCTATGCCATAGTTTGGCCACACTAAAACGCACGGCTTGGACGCGGCCATTTAATTTTCGTTTGGCATTCTAAATATAGCGAAATTAGTCTTAAATTACTGTTGTTATATTTGTAAAGAATAAGTGAGCGGCTTCAAGATGTGAGTAGCAGCTCAGAGGCTTTCAAAACAAGTGGAGAATTGGTGAATCGGACGCCCAAAAACGAATAAAATAAAATCAAATGATGTCCTTAATTCTTTCTAATTCGGCAAGCGCCAAGCCAACAGTAGCAGTAGCAGTCGATGATTTACGTTTTCTGCTTGTTAATACATATGCGCCATTTCAGGTCGAAGCCGAAACCCAGGCAGGATACCACAATCGAGGAGATGGAGGAACTTATGAACCAGCCTGATGCAGATGAAGGGCAATTCGCGGCCTACTTGCAGCGCAAGCTGGCGGAGAAACAGCAGCCCATGAACAACGATCGCCTCTTCGGCAACGTCTCATTCGACTTTGACTTTGATGTGAATCTGGTCAAGAAGCCAAAGCCACAGCCACAGCCAGCAGTCTCAAGTGGGGATAATCCAGATGTTGTCGCCCCTCAAGAGTCAGAAGCGCCTCCTCCTGTCGCAGAAAATAATCAACCGACTTCGTTACCGGCTGCTCCAAAGTCTCCCAATTTGTCGCTTAATCGCAGGAGCATCAGAAATGTTCCAGGCTCAGACAAGCTGCGGCGTCGAGCTATTCGGCGGCGGTCACAAAGCTGCGGACGCCAATTGATTAAGGAATTCGAAGACATAAATGTGACTCGAAACTCCTCCAGTCCCAAAACCTTTGTGAGTTTTACCCAAAACACCCAAAAATACTTGAATCTAACAATGGCGTATTTGTTCTTTTCAGGAGCCCACAGTTAGCAGCACTCCATGTGCAGGTCAACCGCCGAAGAATATTAAGGATAAAGAACCTGAGGAGAATCCTCAGATCAAGAAATCAGAAATGCCAGAAGCGGAAAAGACAGCAGAGAAGTCACAGGTCCACACAGAGCCGAAGAAGTGCCTCACAGCATCGGAGTCCCTGACCGTTGACACGGCTGCCGAGGCCTCACTAATGTTGCGGGAGCGGCTAAGTTCCTTTCAGAAAAACATTATGCAATTGGATTATACCGGAAAGGCGCCGGCATCGGATGCTGTGGGTTGTACATATACCATCGAGAAGGGTCCAGCTCCCGGGCAGCTGCTGCTCTCACCTTCGCGGCGCAGTCTCAGCTGTACAGCCACTCAAAAGCGATTGATGCCGATCGTGAAGGTAAGGCGGGAAAAGGAACTTCTAATACCAGACACCCCACCGCGGGCTCATCCTAGGGGATCCGAACCGGAGCCGGAGTATGTTGTGCCGGAAACACAGCTCCAGGATCTGGGCGAGCTGGTGCAGAATTTGTCTCGAAATGCCAGCGGTCCAATTGTGGTGATAAACACTGCCAACTCAAAACCCACTACTGAGGTGGCGCATGTCCAGCCTGTGTCTGTGCTAGCGTCAGCCCCAGCGTTAACTCCTCTTCGTCGCACATCGACCATGGTACCTTCTGCTGCAAATAATAACTCATCGCCAGCGACAGTACCTACGTCCCCAGCTAAGCCCGAGGAGTCTCCTAAATCAAGTCGGAAGAGCTTGCTGGTCCCAAGCAATGTGGACGCCATAATGACTGACGACGAGAGCGATGAGCAGCCTAGCACGGTGGCTATGGATCTGGCACAGCGCGGAAGTGACAGAAGACAGCAGCGATGCCTACGGAATCAGAAAAACGGGGAACCTACACCGGATCCGGATAAGGAGAATGTTGTTCAATTGCTGAACCTCCATCAATCGATCAATGTCAAGAAGTCAAAACGGAGGACCAGACCGGCGAAGGTGCCGTTAAACAAGGCGCCTTGCGCCCCGATTAATGGTGAGCAATTCGCCCAGGAGCTGGCCCGCATGACCAACTACGAAATTTTGGATTTACGCAAGCGAAACTCACTGGGAAAGGTGTATCTAGTAAACGGGCACAGAAAGAGCAGCAATGATCTGGAGAGAAGCATTCAACTCGAGCTGAAGCGAAGGAATTTGGAGATCAAGGGAGATAGATTGACCGGTGCGGCCGAGTTGCCAGAGAGCGAGGAAATGTTGCCCTCACTTGACACGAAGACCAACAGAAGTAAGAGGCAGCGATCCCCCGCAAAAAATACAAGTCCTCGACAGGTGAGTTTGTTTATTTATTATTTATTTTGGTTAAGAATTATATATATATATAATATAGTTGGAAGAATCAGATGACGATGCAGTGTTACCGCCACCGCCTCCACTACTTTTTACGGACACAAAAAAAAGCACAGTGCCATCACCTAGTTCAAGACGCCAGCTTTCCGAAATGGTAAGCACTGGATTGTCCACGGACGTTCTCAGATGTCGTTGAAGCCTACTTTAAATAGCTTGTGATAAAGTTTTATTTTTAATCTATAACCAATACCCATATTATTATTTTACCTTTTTAATACCTTCATCTAAAGTGCCAGGAATGGTTAGATGACTGCGAATCGATGCCCCCGCCGGTTCCGCGTAACTTCGAGGACTCAAGAATGCGGCCACAGCGATCTAAGCGCTCCAATTATTCTCGAATTCCAGTAAGACATTTAATTAAAATTAAAATCAATTAATTTTTTTAAATTAATAATTATTCATAAAAATTTAAGTGTTTAAAGGGAAAAATAATAATTAATACAAATTAATTTGAATAAAAATTTATGTTAATTATTAATTTTTATTAACATTAATTATTATTATTATTTAAAGTGTTTTAAAGTGAATAATAATAATTAAAAATGAATGTTAATTAAATAATGAATGTTAATTATTAATTTTTATATAAAAGTATAAAAATTATAATAACCTTATTAATTATAATAAAACAAATAACTCCTTTTTTATAATTTGTATTAAAAAAATTATGAATCCTAACATTAATTTTGATTTAATTTGTGTTTCATTTTTATTTAATAAATTTATTTAATTTTTTAATTATTTACAGTCCGATGAATCGTCAGATGACAATATAGCACCGCAAGTTCCGTGTAATTTTCAGGATTCAACAAATCAGACACAGCCCGCTTTGCCCGCCAATCGCCAAAGCCGACGTATGGTGAGTTATAATACAGAACTAGGATTGGTCTTTCTGAATATCATCATGATTTTGTCTGCTTTTATATTATTATTGCTTAAAGTCCGAAAAGTTGAAAGATGAAACTAGCTGCATTCCTCCGCCGGTTCCCAATGCTTTTAAGGACTCAAGAAAGCGGCCACAGCGATCTAAGCGCTCCAATTATTCTCGAATTCCAGTAAGACATTTAATTAAAATTAAAATCAATTAATTTTTTTTCATTAATAATTATTCATAAACATTTAAGTGTTTTAAAGTGAATAATAATAATTATTAAAAATTAATGTTAATTATTAATTAATTATTAATAAAAAGTAATATTAATTATTAATTAATTATTAATAAAAATAATAATTAAAATTAATGTTAATTATTAATTAAAATTAATGTTAATTATTAATTTTTATATAAAAGTATAAAAAGAATTAATTATAATAAAAAAATAACTCTTATTTTATAATTTGTTTAAAAAAAATTATGAATCCTAACTTTAAGTTTGATTTTTCTGTTTTTCTTTTTAATTATTAAATTTATTTAATTTTTTAAATATTTACAGTCCGATGAATCGTCAGATGACAATATAGCACCGCCAGTTCCGCGTAATTTTCAGGATTCAAAAAATCAGACAGAGCACGCTTTGCCCGCCAATCGACAAAGCCGACATATGGTGAGTTGCTGAGAACTGGACTAGGCTTTGACTCTGTCTGGATATCTGGAAACTATCTTTAATTTATTACAATTTTATTGACCACATTATGTTTTTGTTCGCTTATTTATATTATTGCTTGAAGACCAGGAAATCGGAAGATGAACCTCCTCCTCCGCCGGCTCCCAATGGTTTCAAGGATAGAAGATCATCTCGATCCAACCATCGAAGTTCCCATGAAGTACGTTTTTTAAACCCTATTCTACCGTAGTCAGTGGGTCCTTGCTTATTAAAATGCTTTTATAATTTTATAAATTTCGCTATAATAGTTATAATTAATACCTGAATACCTTGCCATTCCTCGTTGCAGTCACAGGAACTAAGTAACTATATGATGATCTCAAAAACAATGGAAATGCGGCGTATGTCGAGACGTTCTGTCAAGCGCAAACTCTACACAAAGGGAGACTCAAATGCTGAATTGTCTGACTTGGAATCTCCTAAAAAACAAAAAAGATATAGTCGCAGTTATTATCACAGTGAAGTTCATAGCGAAGGGGATAACATTGCCATTGTTCCACCGCCGCCACATTCTCTGCGTTACTCTCAATCCCTACGCGATTTGAGGCCGAATAATCCAAGTGATTCGGAGAATGTCGAAAAAGGGGCGCCGCTAGAAGATTTCTATGCCAATACAGCAAATGCCACCATTGAGATTGCTCCACCGCCGCCAGAGAATATTGGACCAAATTCGGAGAACCCTTCACTTAGACACGAGAACAATGAGCAGGACATTTGTCCCCCTCCAACGGAGCCCGATAAAATTATGGAAGAAGCTATTCCACCTCCAACTGAATATAATGAACCTGAATCCAATGAAACAGCACCAGCACAAGCTCCAAGTCATGTGCCAGTGAATGAAAGTAGATTGGCATCTCCCACAACAAGCATTGCTAAGGCTTCCAAAGCATCACAAGAGCCAGAGATTCAGTGTGTTTCTAGTTCCCAGGATAAGTCGATTTCAGGACCAGAGATCGTGACCGACAATGAGCAACCCAGCACAAGTCTAGCGGCACAAAAGGCCAGGGAACGTTCGAAAAAGGAGAAAACCAAAAAAGATAAGGTGAACGACGATGCAATTTTCAAAAAACCCCTGTTACCAGCACCACGTGCTAAACGTAAGAACAAGGAGCTTGAAAAGTTGATGCATTCCGTCATCTATAGAGAGACCTCGCTGGATGATGGTTCAAGTAAGTGTTTTAAAGCAAAAATATCATAACCAAAAGAAGGTTTCTTAATATTTGTATCTCTTACACAGTTTCTTCTGATGGCGTGCGGCGTTCAAAACGCGGTCATGTGCCAATCAAAAACACTTGGTGTCATACGCAGGATATCATGGAGATGCCTTTTATGAATACCAAATCAATAATACAGAAGCCAAAGGCCAAGTCGGTTGCAAAGAAGAAGCCAACTGCTGCAAAGGAGATAAATAGCAAACCACAGTCGTCGAACAGGGGTCCAGTTTGCAGCAGTACTCCTCGAAATCCCGATATTATAGTAGAGCCATTCTCAGACTCTGCGTTACTATTACATTCTGCAATATCATCGAAGGAGCCCGAGCCCTCTGCCGAAAAGCATCCTGAGACTCAACCGAATTTTGAGACTGTTATGTCAGAAGGTCAGACGAACTGCAATAACGGAAACAGTCAGTTTAGAAACTGGCTGATGGGCACCAGCAATGTCCAACCTTCTGTCACGAATGACCAAGGCAGCGCTGCATGTAAGTTATACGTTTTTTATAGCCAGTTTACAAGTTAGTATCAACGGAGAATGAATAAAACAAGCAAGAGACAACTCCGACTCCATTAAGTATAAAAACACATGCATATATGTATGTATGTATTCCTGAACACTTTTCAACCCTTTGTCCGTATGAAACCACACTTAAGGGTTAATTCGATTTAAAATGGGTCACTTTTCAAAAATATTTTGTGGCGAAAAAGCTAAAGTTAGCTTATTAACGTAAATACCATATAAGAACCCAACATTTCTTTGTTTGTCTTACTTTTTACATCTACCTCTTTAACTTTGTTTTAAACAGCTCTTGCTGAAGAATTGAGATTCACCGAATTGGGTGGCATAGACTATGCCTTTTATGATACAAAGGAAACGGCTGCTTTGGGATACATGCGCTTTAAGCCGCATCAGGTTCGGAACAAAAAGAAGGTCAAGGAATCTCGTCTGGTAAGCGCTATAACGCTCGGGCTTTTGATTCCACTTAACACATTGACTGCATTTTACAGAAATTCATTGTGCAGATTGGGGAGTTTGCCGTGCAGTACGGAGCCATTGACAATGAGGAGGAGGAGGAAAGCTGTATATTACGTGAAGGTGATATGATTGAGATCGATATAGGTAAGGAATGCCACGGTAGTAGCGGCTAAAAACAATTAATAATAATTACAATTTCTATACATTTTTGTAGGCTTTCGATATTCCATACAAAATACTTTGGACGCTGTAGGTGTTCTCTTGGCCATTCGCAGTTAGTTTTGATTTTTGTTAATATTTTATAAATATAATTAAATAATCAAAGAGGAGAGGAGGAGAACATTTGTATATTACGGAAAGGTTTAATGGATGAGACCATTGAAGGTAAGCAATGTCACAGTAATAGCGCCAGATAACAATTAAAAATGATTAACATTTGTATACATTTTTATAGGTTTCCTCTTAGTCATACGCAGCTGGATGCCGAATAATCTTAATTTCTGTTAACATTGGAATAATTTATATGACTAATAATATATGTATGAGTTTTGTTAGTATAAAATACGAAATGTTGATATTTTACGTCTTTATATTTCACCGAATACACAAAGTTTAAAACATTAATAAATAAAAGGTTAATTTTCTTTTCAATTTGACCAATTAATTGTACATATTTTAACCAGTTCACCGTTCCAATCATTAAACATCTGTAAGCCCGCTGACTTTTCCTGAAAATTTCGGTACAAATTTATAAATGAAATGACCATATTTGTTGTAAAATATTGTTGTTGTAGGCTTCAAACTTCACAGTTTTTGTATAAATCCATTAATTGCCGAACTTGAAGCCAATAGGGGCTCAGAAGGCAGCAGTAGAGGGAGGATTATCTTTGATGGATAGCCATCTAGTGGACGGTTTAAGCACTACAAAATCGAACTCAACATTTGATGTTTAAATTAATGTATTTTCTTGTTCTGACTTGGGAGATTTAAATTTAAATAAAACAAAATAATATAAATATAATGCAAATTTTGATTTTTTAAACATTGTTGTTGTAAAAGATTGTTTTTGTGGGCCAAAGCAAGGCTTTAATCTTGACAATCTAGAATCTGAAAAATATAGAAAATCAGTGTTTTTCCCTTGGACAAATACCATTTGCATTATTTGTAATAGCATCTCATAATAAAGCATCTAAAATAAAGCTTTCAGTAAAAGGTGAAACCCATGTAATGTAATAAGTGGCCAATGAAGAATACTCTCAGTTTTTTTTAAAGAACAATCTTAGTTTTTACCGATTCAACATAAATCATGATTCGGGCTATTCGAATCGCCATTCGGCCACTTGCTCTCATTGCCTGAGGCTGCTGGCCAAATAGTGTCCCCCAACATCCTGCGGTTAATTGCAATTCCCAAGCATTTTGGGACCAGTAAAAATACCTTGAATGAAAACAAAGGCTTTTTATATTATATATGTATGTATATTAATTAAATAATTAAATTAAGTTTTGAGGGACATACATTTACATCCTAGCAAAATTATACACTAGTAACTACACGTTATATATATCCGATATCGAGATGCAGAGTTATATTTTTTGTTTGCAAACAACTACACGAATACACACGTATCAACAGCAGCACTTTTCTATTATCTTCTTTTTGCTCCGGATCTGTCGGCAGAACTAGAAGCCAGTATCGGGAGTTTGATCTCTCTCGATCTCGTATGTAGCACGACTTTATAATTATGCATGTGAGAAAGTTTAGTATACAAATTGGGGTGCACAGTGCACCCGATGCGATGTTTCGAATTCGAATTCCGAACATCAAGCTGCTCGATTTGGGGGGTGTTGTGTGGGGCGGAGGGGGAGTGTAGGTGTAGTGTATGTGGTAATATAGTCGGTTTGCGTGCTTCTCTACAGCTTTTAGTTCGATTTGCTTCGCTTTGTTTTTCTTTTTTTTTTGTTTGTAGCATTTATGTTGCTTTTGTTTGTTTGGATTTCGTTTTTCTTCTTGGTTTTTGTTTTATTTATTTAATATAATTTTAAATTAAGATTACGATAAAAACCTAATTATTTATCTTGTCATTTACGCCTTAAGTAAGTTCGATATATATATAAAAAATAAAGTGAAGTAGCAGCACTTCCAGCAAATAATACAATTAACATAAAACAAATTACAGCAATTACAGGGTGTTAGTGGTACCAGTTTTTCGTTTTCCAATCATGTTTTAATATATATATATGCATTATGTATATATATATATATATATATATATGCGCTATGTATATTTATATCACCTAATTTGATTTTATTTGTTAATTATTTTCTTTTCTTTCCTTGTGTGTACGTGTGCCGTGGGGGGGTTTTGCAATAAATTCGTCTCGAAATCGAGCCTGATTTTTCGAAAACCATCCAGGACGCACATACTTGAAATACAAAATTCGAAATACGAAATGCAGTGCTGCCACTTACATGTGTGTGTGTGCCTTGTAACATTGCATAAAAAACGAAAAAAAAATACAGTGAAAATTTACATAATAGTTAAGTATGTACAATATGGTATTAATGTTCGTTCCATTCTCATCATCATCGTTAATGTTACTCCCTTCTCTTCTTGCTGCGTAAAATCTGCGCATTTAACTGCAATTACAATCGGTATATATAGGTAAATCGTATGGGGGGCTTTACTGCTGTTTGAGTTTTGTTTGCTGCGCACATTGTTGTTGTAATATGTAGGGTATTTAATTAGTAAGTGGTAGATTTTGTTTAAAAACTATTCATCATACACAATTTTTGCATTCTCATGTAATATTAATGTTAATTTATGCATTTATTTCCTATATATATATATATATTTGTAATATACGATAAACCATAGCGTGCGTTATGCATATATGTATGTATGTTTTAGTTACTTATTCCTCCGCCGTTTCTCCATCATCAATTAGTTGTTAAATTTAATACAATAAGTATGCTGTGTGCTTGAATTTCGCATATCCTTTTTGTTTTCTTCGTTATGCCTGCTCCGTGTCTCGATAATATATATAATCAATAATCACCGTTCCGATCCGATCGATCGGTCAGTTTCCTCCCTTCTGTTTAATTGTTTTATCGTTATGCTTGTTGCTGCAATTGCTTAATGCTTAGTTTAGTTTAGGGTTTAGTTTAGTTCCTCGTATTTACTATTTTTAGATTTGAGTGTGAAAAAATATACAGTTGTTATTGTATAGACGTCTTGCCTCCCATTCCGGCAGTCGCTCTCGCCATCCTTGAAGCCTGGTTAGCAAATTCTCCTTCTCCCTCATGACTCCCTTTGCTACGTGGCGCCAGTTAAGTAAATTTACATCGACTCGGGGTTATCTCTAGCCTCCCAGGATTCCCCAGCTTCCGCTCCATATCCAGCTCAGTCGACTGCCCCTCGGGGGGTTCGTGGCCAGTAGTAGGACGCTGGCATCATTGTCGTATACTACGCAACGGCGGTCGTTGTTCCTGCATTAGTTGGTGGCGGCGCCGCTGGCTGGGCCACCGCTGCCGCAGCGGTGTTTGCCGGCGATGGAGGTGGTGGGGCAACCGAAGAAGCCGCCGCCGCTGCAGCTGCAGCAGCTGCTGCTGCCGCCGCTGCACTGGCATTGCTAAAAGCAGCAGCGGCAACGGCGGCAGCAGCCACCTTGTTGCTCACCTGCTGCTGCTGCTGCTGCTGATCACTGACCAACGCGGAGGAAGCTGCTGCTCCTGCGGCGGCCGACTGACTGCTGGTCGCACTACTGTGGCTGTGACTGTGACTGTGGCTGCTGCTGTTGGTGGTGCTGTTGTTGGTCTGGTTGCTGCTGACGGTGCCGCAGCTGTTGCTATTGGTGCTACTGTTGCTCACATCGTTGAAGGTGGCTGCCGGGGGCAGTTGTTGGCTGCTGTTGCTGTTCTCGTCGTTCACCACGGCCGTTGTGGCTGATGTCGGGGGGGCCGAAGAAAGGGGCTTTGTGGCCGCCGTTTCAGAGGAACTTGCTTCCGCAACCGAAGCTTCTGGTTCCGTTTTCACAGCCGCGTTGGCGGCGGCGGCTGCTTGCTTCTCGGCTCCGCCAGGCTGTAGCCTTTGTTGCAGGTGATGCTGCTGCTGGCGCTGCTGAAGCAGCCGGAACTCCACCGAGTGAATGGGCCCAGTGCCCCGAGACACTTGGTACAGCACTCGCGAAATGATCAGCGCCACCTGCTGGTCGAGGATGTGCGACATGACCAGACCGAGCAGCCTCTGCTCCTGCTGCATAAACAGCGACCTGTTGTCCGGATGCTTAGCCAAGTGAAGCAAAGTGCCGGCCGCCCGCCGCAGCATGTCCAGGCTAGTGCCCATCGAGTCGGGATTCTCGCGCAGATAGTTAATGCCATGCTGATTGGCCACGCCCAAGGCCGTCTGCTCGGCCTGTTCGATGAAGGCCACCAGATAGGAGATGCACGGCGACTGGAGCGCCACAGTGCGGGCCATGGCACTATCGGCGGCGGCCAGGTAGTGCAGCAGATTCACAGAAAACTCACGCAGCACCTGATCCTCGTTGCGACACAAATGCCGCGTGAGCACTGCGCACAGCTTCTCGAGGCGCGAGAATGGTGGCGTGGCAATGACCAGGTCCACATTGGCATCCGTCACGCACAGCTTGCAAAGCGCCTCGAGCGCCAGGCGCTGCGGCGAGAGAGCCGTGTTGGGGCCGCACGACGGGAACGGATCCTGACCATGGGCACTGGGACACACTGCCCAGTGCAGCAGGCCATCGATAAGGGGGCGGGCAATGAGCTCATCGTATCGCGACAGCTCCAAGTGTCCGGCTATGTTGGCCATGGCCACCAGCATATTCTCCCGGATGGTGATCAGATAGTCCCACCACCACTCCCGCTCTCCTTGCAGCGAGCTGCACGAGTCACTAAAGTCCGTGTCCTCCTCCCGATCGTAGTTCCTCGTCTTCGGCGTGCGCCGCAAGTGGTCATGGTTGAGGAGTAGCAGTCGTCCCAGCACCGCCAAGAATCGGGTTGACTTGGCCAGCACCGTCTCGTTGCCGGGCACGAAGGTCAGGTTGCGGAAGATGTTGGATAGGGCAATGCACCGGCGGGCCAGCGAGTCCTGGCTTTCGTTGACCAGATGCAGCGATGCCTCGTCCCGGGTGTAGCACTCGTCCTCGTAGCTGGAGTCACGCCTCCTCTGCAGCACCTGCGCGGCATCCTTAACAGTCTTCCGGGGATCAAAACCGACACCCGGCGGTGAGGTGGAGGTGGAGGAGGAAGAGGAGGACGAGGATGCAACGCCGTTGGTCAGACGCTGAGTTTGCTGCTGCTGTTGCTGCGGTGACTCGATTTCCATGTCAATGGCCCGACAATCACTGTCGTTGCTTGGCTCCTTCTTAACTTCAGCGCTGGGCGGCTGCGCGAACTCCTCCTCGGCCGACAGCTTGGATTTCTTGCCCTCAGCGGTAGCTCCGCAGCTGCTGTTGCTATTGCTGTTGTCGCCACTGACCAGTCGCCTCTTCTTGTTAAACGTCGACTGCGGCTGCTGTTCCTCCGTGCCGATCGGCTCCTGCTTGATCTCCGTCTTCTTGGCCAATGATTTCGCCGTTGATTTCTTTTCAGAGCGGACATAGCGTGCAAATGGAATGTTTACAATCTCCGACTTGAAGACATCAATGATCCCGTCAAGGGGGTCCGGTTCGGTGAATCCGTAGGTCCAGGCATCGCTGCCCACGGGCTCCAGCTGTTCGTACAGGCGATTGGTGTCAATGTCCCATGCCTTTTGACGCTCGTCCACGAAAATGTCATGGTCGGCCGTTTGGATCCGCACTGGAACGCCCTTTCGGGTAACCATCGTGTAGTTGGGCGTGAAGGAGAGCAGGAGAGAGCGCTCCTCGGGATTGGGTTGCACACGGACTTGGCCCAGATCGATGCCCTCGTCGGCGTCCTCCTCCGAGTCGCTGCCTTTGGTGCCTCGATCCATATTCTCGTAGTGCCGCCGACGGTTGTAGCTGCTGATGCTGCGCACACATCGCGACTGTCGCTGCCCGCTGGTTCGTCGCTGCTTATCGCACATGACGGTGCCGCTGTCCGCGTCATCGTCCGCAGCCGCCGCCTCCTCGGCGGATGGCAGCTCATCGCAGTCTCGTTCGTCAAACATCTCGGCGAGATTCTTTTGGAAGTGCTCCAGCAGCAGAGTCAGCAGACCGGGAAGGTTCGAGATGCCAAAGAACTGCACCGTCGAGTCGTCAAACAGGAGGACATTGAGCACATCCAAAGCCCAGGTGCACTCGGTAAGCAGGCCGGATCGCATGGCCATGAATATCCGCCATGGATCCACCGGGCACACGTCCGCCTTCGTCAGCCGCTTCCTTCGGTACAGCACAGGCGTGGTGGACTCGACGCTGTCGTGGGGAAAGATCAGTTCCTTCTTTACCAGCTGGGCGGCTCCGCTGCCGGGCGGTCCCTGTGGTCCGTAGCCACCGCCGGGGGCCTGTTGATTGGGCGGCATCTGGTGCGGATGCTGCGGGTGCTGATGTGGATGCTGATGCGGATGTTGATGAGGATGCTGATGGTGTTGATGCGGTGGCGGCTGCTGCGGGTGCTGTTGCAACGGTTGCTGCTGCATTCCCTGGCCCGGCAGCATCGGCGGCTGCTTCTGAGGCACCATCATGCCGCTGGGTGGTACTTGCTGGCCCACTTGCTGACCCGCCACCACCTGGGATGGCGGTGGTGGCATGGCGTACGGTTGCTTTACCATTCCACCGGGACCCACTTGGGGCATGCCTGGCGATGGAACGCCACCGTGGGTCGCCTGCTGCGGCGGCGGTGGTTGCTGAGCACCACCGACCGGCGGCTGTTGCTGTGGCTGCTGCTGCTGTGGCGGCATTCCGGGCATCCGTTGCTGCGGCTGACCCGGACCAGAGGGCGGGCGCAGTGGAGAGCCGGGCGGAGCAATGCCAGGCTGCGACGCCTGCCCTGCATTCATCTGAGCCCACTGTGGAGGCGCCTGCGGCTGGGGTTGTCCAGAAGGACCAGCCACCTGCTGGTACGGTGGCTGTTGCTGCTGTTGTTGTTGTTGCTGCTGCTGTTGCTGCGGTGGCGGCGGCGGACCCTGCTGAGGTGGATAGCGATGCTGATCCCACTGGGCCACGCCCGCCGGCGGCTGAAGGGGCGGGCCGTGAGGTGCACCAGGCGGTGGAGCTGCTCCGCGCGGTGGAGCACTTCCCCAGGTCTGCGGAGGTGCGGGTGAGGTCGGGTATTGGGGCCGATACTGCTGGTTACCGCCTTGCCAAGCACCTGATGGAGGAGAGAACAAGGTTTGAAGCTGTTCCGCTGTTTGTTTCAATAGGTCTTACCATAAATCTGAGGCCTAGTATTGTAGCCTGGATACGGCTGTGGCGAGTCTTTGATGAAGTCGGGATGCCTTCGTGGCTGTGGACTCTGCAAATAAATTTAAAAAAATCGTGAGAATAGGAGCGGCCAATAAAAACATGTTTTATCTTCGATATATCCGGTAACAAAGTTGAATAAATATTTAAATATTTATTTTTATTACAAAAATATCAATATATTGATATTGTGATATATGTATCTTTCACATTCCTAATCCACTTACTTGATCTGGTGGTGGTTGGTAATAGTCCTGCTGAGCCGGCCTGCCCGTTGGATAGGCGCTGCTGGGTGGCGCTCCTGGAGCTCCGCTTGTCGGCGGTCCACCCGCCACTGCCTGCGCCGGCGGCTGAGGTGCTCCCGGCGGTGGCTGGCTGTAGGGTCGATTACCATACGGACCATACTGATTGGCACCAGTGGGAGGACTGTGGGGAAGAGGCATAAGAAATAGAAATTAGCGAAGACATTCTGGAGTCTTGAAAAAGCACTGTCCAGTGATTCTAATTCGGGCAGTTACAGTACAGAGGATGTGAGGAGTTTGGTTTGTGGTGTGGTGGTGGTGGTGTCTTGTGTGGGGTAAATTGGGATGCACTCACGCTTCCCCCTCCGGCCCATAGGGAGGGTACATGCTGCGGTTCTGCGGCGGCGGATACTGTCCCGGACCCTGTCCAAATGGCTGGCCAGGTGGCCCAGTGGCGTTGTACTGATCGCTCGAGCCATACTGGCCGTAAGCTCCCGGCTGTGATGGATAGGGTGAGCCTGCAAAAAAAAAATAAAAAATATATAAAAACGCATAAGTAGGAAAGCCATGCGAGAGACAGTCTCCGAAGGTCAAAGGCAACTACTAAAATTAAAAAATTTATTTAAGAATAATTATTATTATGAGCTAAAATAATGATTAGTTTTTTAGCGTTATTTTTTGTATTATTATTTTTTAACGAATCAATAAATATAAAATTATACTTATTAATAGTAAGCAAAATATATTAAAATCAATATTCATAAAACATTGATTATTACTGTATTTACTTTATAATTACAGTCCCGTTTAGTAGTTTAGTTAAGTCAATAGTTAGTACCAGTAGCTTAAGGTGGTGCAGCATTATACCAATCATGCAGTTGTTATTCTAATGACATTACAACGAGATAGCACACATTAATCCTAGCAAAAGGCAACAGAAAAACGAACGAAAGACGATGGCGGCACAGAGGAAAGGAAATTATTTATGAAAATTAGAAGAAAGAAAGAGATGATGGAGGGAACAAAATAAAAGATGATTGTACCTGGCGTTCTAGACACAACAGGCGTTGGGTAACCGGAGCCACCTGGCGGATAAGGTGCTCCGGCGGCGTTTGGTCGCACATGCTGCTGCTGTGGCGAGGGCGGCGGCGCCACCGGACCAGGCCCATGTTGCTGTGGTGCTGGCGGTGGCTGCGGCCCCGGCTGCTGCTGTGGTGGCGGCGGCGCCAGGTGCGGCGGATGGGGATGCTGCTGCTGTTGTTGTTGTTGTTGACCTGCCGTGTGCGGTGAGTGGGGTGGTGGCGGTGGTATTAGTTGTGGGCCACCGACCACAGCAGCAGCAGTTCCAGCACCGGGACCGGAACCAGCAACCGAACCCTGTTGGCCACCGCCAGCAACGGGATCCTCAAAGGGATTGATCACGCTTATATTATCGCCGGTGGCAACAGCGGCTGCAACTGCGGCAGCGGAGCCTGAGAGGAGCGGCAAGCGGCGGTTTTTGGATGATTTGATTGGATTCGATTTGGTTTTTTATGGATGAATCGAAATTAATGAATGAGTCAATGAATCAATCACACAAAATGAATATGTTGTTGTTGTTGTTGTTTTAAGTTGTTGTTGGTGGTGAAGATGGATACATGGAAGCATCGTTGTGGTGATGGTTGGTTGGTGGTTGTGGAGTTTTATATATAATTTAGTAGTGCGCCCCACACAAAGGTTACAAAACATAAAAATGAATAAACAAAATAAACACACACATCAAAAATGAATAATAATAATAATAATAATAATAATAATAATAATAATAATAATGATCAATCAACAAAAAAAAGTGTAGTAAAATCGTATACTTATATATTAAACACGTTTTTTTTTTACATATATGTACAGAAAGATCGAAAGAAAAGCATATCTAACATCTATCTATCAGATAATAAAATTCAGAGATCGTTTTACAAAACAAAGGTTAAACAAAAAATGATTAGGACTATGATTTGACTGAGAGAGAGAGAGATACAAGATTTTTTTGTACTTTGATGCAAATTATTGCAGTGTAATTCGATTATATGACAAAGTAGTCAGAATTACTTTAAATATCAGTAACTAAAAATATCTGTTAGCTTATAAGATATTATTATTCATTTAGCGACTTCGAAGTCGCTGAATATATCGACTAAATGACTGAAAATATCCACTAAATAAATGTTTTCTCAAAAAGTTTTTTTTTTTCAAAATAATGTAACTATTAAAACCTTGAAGAGGACCTATTAAAAGAGTAATTTCAGCGAGAATCTATAAGGATACTAACTAGATTAGTAAACGAATTATCTACCTAAGCTACTTTTAAAGCCAGAAACTCAAACAAACTATCAAAAGTCAATAATACTTTACATATCATGACATTTACATTCTATATAATAATAATATCGGGCAGCTAAGCGAACTATATTGCATTCCGTTTGCAATAAAACTAAAAAGATCTTGAACACACTCTGTTTGAAATATACATAAAAGTTGTTTAAAGAGCGAGGAGAGAATGTCGCTTACCGGGATGAGGAGTCTGCTGCGGGTTATTCTGGGAGGGTGGACGCTGCATTTGGCCCGAGGTGGCATAGTCCGGCTGCGGCCCACTAGCTCCCGGATACGGACTACCGCCCGGATAGCCGGGATAGCCATCGATCGCTGCGTTAGGTGCGGAGCCGGGCGGTGCTGGAAACGAGTCCTGTGAATTCGACGAGCCTGTGGAGTTTGTGGTTCCAGCATCCAAATGACCACCACCGTTGGGTTGCAAGTTGTATTTGTCATCGTTTTCGGATAGTGAAAAAACGAAAGAAAAATTTAAGTTAAGCATCAAATGTATCCACAAAATTACTTGCAAATAAAACACTTACCCGGCGATGGAACTGACGCTGCCTTGGCCGTCTTCTTTTTGCTGCCAGCTTCCACCTGCTGGATGATCGGCAACGGATCAATGTCGCCGCGATCAAAGTGACACTCGAAGGTTAAAAGGTTTTTGGTGTAGTGCTTTCGCAGCGTATACGCGGCACTACTGCTTGCACCGATGCCCAAGAGTCCAGCGATATCCTTCCAGGTCTTGCTCTTGGTCACCTGGCGGCGGAACGGAAGAGAATCAGAGGTATATTAATTAATGGAGGCGACAGAAACAGACTCAAAAGTTCATGACGATTGAAAAAAGAGAATCAAAAGTTTTTTGCGAGCACAAAAACAGATTTCGTGTGGATGCAGTTTTAGCAATTTGGGAAGGAAAAACCAACATTCTAGATTCTAAGATAAAGAAAATGTTACTAACTACGTGGAAAATAGGGAAATAGGAAGATAAGGGGGAAAGGGGATAACTAAGAAATCAAAACCAAAATAATCAACAAGAAACATAATAAGAAAATCGTTAAAATACTCAATGTATCTTATAAATTTCAATGAATGAAAAAAATTATAAAAATGCATTAATCATTTTTCGAAATAGTAAAAAAAATATTTAGGGAATAGTCTCAAATAAAAAAAAGGAGGAGCAATCAATAAATTCATCATTCAATCCTTAGCACTATCAATGAGCTTGGATTCAGGCCTTGATTATAAAGTTTCTACAAAACCAAAACGATAAAATTCATCAAAAATGCTAGTTTTGCATTACAAATGAAATTTAGTGAGCATCTGACAACATGCCGGCACACATATATTTCTACAGATATTTGAGATGAAAAATAGGTAAGTAAATAGGTAGGAATCGAGTTGTGCTTGGCTGGATTCGGCTTAGAGCATGCTGTCTAGGGGGAAACCAAAGTTGAAGAACAAGGGATTGATTGCTTTTTTGCTTCCTCCTACGGAAAGCAGCCTGCCTGGATGCAGCTACACAATTTAGACACATGGATATCGGAGTGGCTGGAGGCTGGAGGGTCTAAATGGTTGGTGGCTTGACTTTAGTTTTTGCTGTTTACACAATCTATGTATATGGAACTCGTGTCTATGTGAATATATATCTTTCATTTGAATTTGGATTCTTTGTTTATGGCTTTTGTGTTAACTACGTTGGTGGTGATGGTGTTCTTTGGGTTGATTTGGTTTGGTTTTGTTGCTAGTAGTAGGTAAATCTATAAAAGAAGTTAGTAAAAGGAGTTACTACGGCACCTTGCATACCTCGACGAATCCGCCACGTTCTTTTACATAAATATATAACCTATATAAATCGAGTGGCTGTTTTGAGATGGTTGGGCAGGCGGTAATCGGTGTTCGCCGCTCCTCCATGAACGACCGCAGCTTGTCCAGCCAGCCGCGCCTATCCGGATTGTCATCCATCTCGTATAGCTTGCACAGCGAGTCCGACTTCTTGGTCGTGGTGATGGTGCTGCGGAAGGGCTCTTGGGGCACCTGGGGAACATGGTTGAACACCTGCTGTGGAAATAGACACACGTTAATACGTGATTTAGGAATAAATTTTAAGAGGTGATGCTTACTGGGCTACCAGTCGGACGTGGCCAATTGGGCGGTGAACTCATGTCGTATTCCTCGCCGGGACCACCGCCGCCGCCTGGATGCATGACAACCGGATGCGGCGATGTGCTAGGCGGAGCTAGGTGACTTTGGCTATATGGATCATTTTTGCGCGACTTTGGTGTGGTGCATTGTGGATCTTCGCCGGATGCTGTGGGAGATGCAAACACGTTAATCAAGTGATTCGTTCGAAGCGTCGTGGTGCACTCACCCGCTGAAGCATTCGATAGCGTGCTCTGCTGACTGACTTCGTCCATGGGCGTGCCATCCGGTCCAGTAGTGACCACTGCGGTGACCGCATGCATTCCCGCCGCACCACCCGTCGGCCCCGACGAACTTATGCCGTTATCCTGCGAAATATGCTCCGGACCACTATCCGGTCCTCCGACACCAGCACCTTGCCCCTGTCCCGGAGGCTGACCGCCCTGGAGAATCTGTGCCTGAGGTGGCGTGGTGGTGGGCGGACCCATGCTGGTGGGTCCGTGCGGCGGTCCCATGTGATGGGGTGGACCCATCGGCATGCCCGGATGCATGCCGGTCGGCCCGTTGCCATAGCCTTGTGGGCCCTGTGGCGGCGTTGGACTTCCTCCGTAGCCGCCCTTGTGCTGTAAATGCTGCTTCAGATAGGTGAGAGGACGCGGCGATCCACTTCCCTGAGGCGGTGGTGGCTGGCCACCCACAACTGACGGCGGCGGTGGTGTCCCCTTGCCTTGGACATGATTTCCGACCATTGCGCCACCACCGGGAGCACCTCCGCCGGGCACGGTTTGCTGCGGCGAGGGCGGCACCCACTGATACGGCGGATACTGGCCACTGTGGTTGGGCATGGCTCGACCGGGATAGCCGCCAGCCTGGGCGCCCGAGGGCATGCTGTTGGCTCCACCGGCTCCAGCTTGTTGGCTTGTTGGGGGCGGTGGTGGGCCGGGGGCGTAGGCGCCAGGCGGATATTGTGGGCGTGGCGGGTAGTTACCTGTAAAAATGTAAACGGTTAGACGTGACTTGAAGTTGTGTTTAAGGAAAACGAACTTAAAACACATCCTTAATACTCCAAAAATCTTACCTGGTGGATATTGCTGTGGCTGCTGTGGCGGATAGCTTTGACCACCAGGACTCTGGCCCGGTCCGCCCATCTTGTAGCCGCCGTGCATGTGCGGTGGCATTGGGTAGCCTCCTCCCGCCGCTCCTTGAGGCGGTGGCGTTGCCATGTTGTTCATTCCCTGTTGATTGGGCGGTGGCGGTCCTGGTGGCGGCGTCTGTTGTGGCGAATTGCTTGCCGACGAAGCCGAATTCGAGGCCTGTTGTTGCTGCTGAGATTGCTGCTGCTGCTGAGGTGGACCGCCTGGCATGCCGGGATGCGGGGGCATCGGCGGCGGTCCACCCACCGCTCCAACTGGAGGTTGCTGCATGGGTACGCCGCTGCTCGACTGGTTGCTCGCCGGACGCGAAATTGGATGGTTTTGGGCTGTGTGCAAGAATGAGAGTTTGTAATGCTTGGGCTTAGGAAGGTTCTGGAGTTGGCTACTCACCCACTGCCGGGGACATGGAACGTGAACCGGAGGAGCCAGTTGGCGAGGGTGTTGGTCGCATCACCTGTTGGGGATTGGGTGTGCCGGGCGGACCAGAGCCCATGCCACTGTGAGCCCCGCCGCTGGAGCTGTCGTTGCTATTTTGTCCAATTAGCTCCTGGAAGGCAATGAAATGGAATTGAGTTTAGTGTTAAGTCAAAAGACGGCTAGGCTAAGGCGGCAAATGCCGGCCGGCAGGTGGCATATTCCAGAGAAGGTTGGACGCTGTACTTGTTTATTTAAACGAAAGTGATAGCAAAACTATGAATTAACCAAGCGGCAACCGCAATTAACCCACTGCATACACACACACAGGAGAGCTGAGCATATGATTGAGTTGGTAATCCAGCGTAAACACACATTCAACGGCAATCAGATGTTTTTGGGGCCCAATCTCTCATGCCAACATGATGATGAGGGATGGGGAAAGCGGGCCAACAGTGGAGTCGCTCTCCCCCCCCGCGACCTTTTCCTGACATTGCCCGAGGAGGAATTTCGGGATTCCTTCTGCTCCCACTGCCGCCACTTACCCGAGCTCACAATTATAACCCGGTCAGAGGGGGAGGAATTCGGAATTCATAAACGCCAGCCCAGCAAGTCAAGTCAAGCTGCTCGGAACAATAACAACTCTTGAAAAAGTCTACAGGCAGGCACAGAACACCAGAAACTCGGTGCGATGCGACACGACTTTAACTTTTTTGCCGCCTATAACTTATAAGAAAATCAAGAAAAAGCTCAACAACACAAACAGGCACACTCATACACGCACACTCTATCTCGCACTGGTGGTAGTGAGTATTCGTGTTCGCAGCAGACGTGCACATAAAGCTTAAGTCGACAGCAATTCGAAACACTCTCATACACAGACACAGGGCCATGGTAAAAACCCCAGCGGACAGGGAGAGAGAGAGCTCAGCAGCTAATGGGGGGGACGTACCCAAAAGGGGGGGTTCGTTGAGGGCTTTCTTAAGTTTACTAGAAATTTGGTTATTTTATTATATTTATTTTAATTAGTTTTATTACCAATTATTATAATTTTTTTAATATAAACATATATTTCGCTTAATTTTTATATTATAAAAAAATTAATTGTAATTTTAATTAATTGTACAAGGACCTAATCAGTTGTGAGAGTCGCGCCATTGTGCCTCCCCCTTGTAATTAAAGACAGACTAAGCCACTGCACAGTCACAGAGGCAGCGGCAAGAAAAACACAACGAACGAACGAACGACGAAGCGAACGCTGTTCGTTTTGGTATCTGAGAAATTAAGTGAAGTGAAATGAAATGTACGACGACGAACTGACGGCACAAGGCGGCGGCATGGCATGGGATGGCAAAGCATGGGATGGGATGAGATGGGTGCGGGGCGGTATGGTGCGGAGTGGGGCATAAAAGCTATGTGGAACGAACCAACAAAACCAAGCAAGCAAGCAAGCAACGAACCAACCAGCGAACGAACGACGAACGAAGAGCAAAGAGCGACAACGGCGTCGGACGGCTGCAACTTGAAGCGTTCCAAAGGGGGGGTTACGAAGGGTCTTTGGCTATGGCGATGTCGATGGCTGTGGCTGGCTACCCGGGGACCGGGCAAGTGGCTGTGGTAGTTATGGCGCGCTCGAAGCGAACGAAAGGCAACGGCAACGATGACAAAGACGTAGATAAGGAACAGAAACAGGCACACACACACACTAGCACGGATACAGATACACGCACACGAACACTCTAAATGTTGGAATATAATAAAATTCGAACGTATTCGTATTCGTAATTCTCGTATCTGTGTATTTCGCATTTCGCATTCGTTCGCCGAACGACGGACGTAGAGTCGCTTTTTGCGAGGGGGTTCTGGGGGGGGGGCCAAGGGCGGTGGCAGCGTACACTTGAGTTGCGAGACGATGACGAGAATAGCAAGCAAGCAGCAAAAGCAAAAGCAACGGCAAAAGGCAAAGGCGGGAGCAGCAGGCAAGCAGAAGCGAGGAGCCGGGGGGAGCTGCTAAAGGCCAGGCCGGATAGAATGCTTTGTGCGGCGGCGAACCGGGGCGGCATTAAAGGGGGGTCGGTCGGCCCACGTTTGTATTTGGCGCTCTCTTTTGTGGTCGCGTAGAAAAATTACTTGGAAAAGAAAAACAACAAGCGCCGAGCGGGAACAACAACAATGAAATCATTTATAACGAAAATAATGCGAGGCAAGCACACAAAACATAAAAACAGAATTCGCGCACTCGAGGTTTGAGCAATACAAAGATATATAAATCAAAATAAATAAACAGACAACAAGAACAACAGCAAACTCCTGCGCAATCCATCAGATACAAATAGAAATCAGTCAAGATTTGCGCGCCAAAAGTGAGTTCGACATTCGGGATCGTGATCTCTGCAAGATCGCCCTTGGAGCCCACTTGAGGATGCGATCATCATCATCATCACTATCTCCTGCCTTCAAGATGCCACGATGATGCAGCACCATTTTGGCCACAAGTTTGGCTCTGGGCTCTCGAAGACGGCGCAGCACAGCACTTCACCTTTGCTGCGGCTTTCTGCCGTGTCATATATGTAGACACGTTCATTTAAATAAGAAGAAATATGTATGATATGGAATAGGTGTGCTTGCTTGTGGCCAGGTATGTTTATGTCTGGCTGTCAGCTGCTCTGCCGGTACAGGTACTGGGTACTCGGCTGGGACCTTTGTGGCTTATCACCTTAAAACCTTTAGCGATGAATGTGGCAAGCGGGCAAAAAACAAAAATAAAGAACAAGGTCTGTGGCATACTACATGTGCTTGTTATGCGGCGGGACCGAGAGATAAAAAAATAAGCGAATTAAAGGCACAAAGGAGCGGCACACATACGGTGGAGGAGCCCAGACGGGGCCAGGGAAATTATAAACACAGCCAGCAGCCAGCCAGCCAGCGAAAGAGAAAAAGTAATAAACTCGGGGATATCATAAAAATGAAAACAAGAGAAGAGGCTAGCTAATGCATTCGAATCGCAGCTTGAAATACCCTTGACAGGAGAACAATAATTATAAGTTCTTGATGGGACATAATGTCTCTTTCTAAACTGAAAGAAATACGATAAGAAAACTTACACAATGTCTGGGTCAAAGACAGTAGCGCTAACGGTTACAGAGATATAAACAAATATCCTGCTAGATTAATGATTTTCAGGTTGATTTTTGTTGTCGGACTCCGAACTTGACATTCTGTGTTTAATCGTGTCCTACTTATTAAAATAAGTTTATAGAAAACAACTTAAATCGTTAATAAATAGGCAAATGTATCTATAAGATACATTTCTTTTCTCTATAACAACATGACCAATTTTAATAATAAAGGAGTATCTATAAGATACATTTCCTTTCTCTATAACAATATTAATCTTATAGATATAATTCATATTTCAATAATTTTATGATTAGTCTCAACAGTCTATTATGCACAATTGAAAACTCCAAATGATAGGGTATAGAAACCTACCAGTGTGGTAGAATGGGAAGTGGGCAAAAAATATTTTACCACATCCAGCATTCTCTTGCTAGCCATCTCCACCCCCTAAAGTGCAGTGCTATTTTTTTTTACGGATCGAGAGGGGGTTTAGCCGCAGAGCCAGAGGAGCAGCTACAACATAGAGAAAGAACAGAGCCCAGCTGAGCGGCAGGCAGCAGTCACACTGTCGCTCATTAGACATCCTCAAAGTGTGGGACTCCGACCACGACTCCCCAATCTGAGTCTGAATCCGAGTCTGAATCTGAATCCGAGTTGTCCGTATGCTCATGCAATTTCTGTTTGTGCTTGCTTGGAAATTTTATGAGCGAATCGAAAGTTTGTGCGGTTGTATGCATGGCGCAAATGGCACAAGGGAACAACTCAGGCAGACACAGGTCGTAAATGAATATACAGTCTGACTTCTAAATTGATTGATCTTTTTATAAAAGTTGGATCCTCTCAGAAAACCTCTTAGGAGTTTTGAAATTTTATCCAAGACTATGTGAAAGCAATATTACTATCTAGCTTTAAAGAAAATTATAAACTGAAAGCCTAAAGTCAGTGTGATATAACCTACAAATGTATTTTCCCACCTCTGCCTAAACCAGATATATTAAATAATAATTTATAATAGGATTTAATATGTATATCGTCCCAGTTAAAGAAGTTCAACTGTATATAGAGGCAGACATTCTACTCGTATATTCGCTTAACAGCGAACAACAGCAGAAGTCGCTTTGGATCTGCTCGGTTCGGTTGGGTTTGGTTCGTTCGCTTCGTTTTGTTTCGCTTCGTATGTACGTTTATTCGTTCGCTGTGCCAGCAGAGCAGTCTCCTCCAATCCCCGCCTGCAACGCTCGCCCTCTCCCCCTGACCACTTGCTGGCGAACTGACTAAGCGTCGGACCGGCAGGCAGGCAGCCAGCCAGCAGTAAAAGCAAACGAAGCAGGCAGTCAACCACTCTAAGAGCTCAGACAAATGTCCCATGAATCGCACACTGGGCTCCACAACTAGAGAGTCGAGTCAGAGTCAGAGTCACAGTCAGCGTCAGAGCCAGAACCGGCAAGAGCCAGAGCCAGAGCCAGAGCAGGAGCTAAAGCAAAAGGCAAAGCCCAGAGCTCCGCTGCTGTCCGGACCGATCCAAATCCGACCCCGACTCGTTCGCAGCGTTTCGTTTCGTTTCGTTCGTGGTGTGTATCCAAACGAGTGAACTGAAAAACAAGCGAACACAAACACACAGCTCTCTCTATATATATGCATATATATATATATCTATATAAATATGTATGCATTTAAAACGAAGGCAGTACACAGAAACCAATAGCAGAATTATGCTTTTAAAGTACAATGTTTGCATATTTTTACATTATTTCCAAATAATAGCTAAAGGCTTATAATAGAATTACTTCTATGTCATGAGTCAACTTCAAAATCATTAGGGAATTATAAACATTTTCATTTATTGAGGCCTTAAACCTGATAAATTGGATAGTAAAAATCAAAGCAAAATTAATAGGGAGCAGAGTTTTCATTTAAACTATATAAGTTTCTCTCCATTTTAATCAAGCAGCTCACAGAACAAATAATATCCTCAGTACTTATTTTACAAATAGCCTCAAAACTTTGCGTGGCTTCCCGTCGAATTCGTACTTGAGAATTTTATTTGCAATGGCACCAAATTAGGCCTAATACCTTAGATTTTTAAGTTTTAATCCAAATTCCCAATAACGTATGGCCACGAAAATATACAATTTTATGGCACTCAGAGCCCTTTTAATATAAGTTAAAACATAATTTTGCCAAAGATTCTTTAAGTTTCACTATCTTTTTCTTTCGGTCCAACATCAGCCAGCGACTGAAATGAACGTTCGTTCTTTTTATTTATACTTTTATTTTTTGCCTTTTTTCCTGGCTGCGCCTGTTAAAATGAAAAACGATGATGATGCCGCCGCCGCCGCTGCCAAGAACAACAACAATAACAAAGCCAGAGCCAGAGCCCGGCGGTGCTGCAGAATCGTCGAGCACTGAGTGGAGCGGCAGAGCGGAGCACTAAAATCCCAGTAACAGCGGACAGAGTAAAAAACCGGCAAAATTGTTCATTGGCAGGCAGTTGTTGGCAGGCACAGAGAGGCAAACACAGGCAAACTGGCAGACAGAACAGACAGTCCGGGCCATGTGGCACTTGGGGGCTTTTGGGTTCGCATTCGCATTCGCCGTCGCAGTCGGATACGATACGAATTCTGGCCCAAAAACCCCAACCGTGTACTGCGGGCGAAGGCATTAAATGAATGCAGCAGCAGCAGTTTCAGCAGTTGGCCCGTAAAATTTCAGATGCTGATATAGGCGGCATGCAGCAGAGATAGTCATGGCAATTGCCCAAAGAGAATATGATGCAGAATAATCTTGAAATAAGTTTTTGAAGTGGGACACCACGATGAATGGTCAATCATCATCGTGTTGGCTCTTGAAAATCAATAAAAATGTCACTGGAAACTGAAATCATAAGCAATATATATGTATTTATGTAAAACCATATCTATGTATGTATATGTACATATGTGTGGACGGCAGTTTTGCAAATTATTTCAACCATTTGGCTTTTGCTCTGCTGCGCACACTGTGAATTTAAAGCGGCTTATACGAAATGCAATATGAAATCGACCAGTTTAAACACAGGCGGGGACTCCCCCACTAGGAGGATGGCTTAAATTGAGTGTTGGCAGCCGCTGCTGCTGCTGGCTGCTGCTGCTGATTACTGTTGGCTGTTCGCTGTTCGTTTTTCGGCTGGCTGGCTTTTTATTTCCAGTGGCAAGCAGCGGGATTTAACCTTGCAACACCCAATTATAAATTCAAATCGGTTGGTTAGTTTCCATGAGGCAATGGGGTTTCCATTGAAATCGATTCTGATTTCTATTGGAATCGAGTCAGTCTTTCGCTTTGAATAAGGATAGCTTTTGGTTAATATTCATAGATACTGAATATGATTGGCTATCTTTTGAAAAACTGAATGTGCAAGAGAACTGCGTGACCAGATCTGTGCTTCTTAGTTTCAATCAAGCTGATGTTTTTAAGATATTAATTGCATAGCTGAAGCCTGGACTATAATTATCCTAAAACCATAAATGAAAATCAACACGAAAGGCAAGCCTGGAGTTGAGGGATTGTAAAAACAAACCAAAATGATTTGTAAGGAGAATATATAACCATAAAATGTAAACAACCCGCTAAACAACAACTACGGGGACATAAAGGAGATGGAGGAAAAAAAAGGCAAAGAACAAGAACAACAATGACCTTGGCATTGACCCAAATATATATACGTATATATGGTAACAGACGCTTTGTGTGTGATCTTGAGTGTAGCCATGCGAGTGTGCTGGTGCATATATATGTATGTATGTATGTATGTATCAAATATAAAGGGAATGAGGGGTACAAAAAAAACCAAAATACAACATAAAGAAATGGTATGAGGCACCGGAGGATTGTCGAGACGGCGCAGGGTAGGAGGTGGAGCAGAAAAGGAGGAGGCGGAGGCCACGGCGGCCGCGGACAAGCTGAATGAATAAATGGGGTACAAAACACAAACGCACACACATCCGCAGGCGCATCATACTGGCACAGACAGTTGCTATATAAATACAAGTACTAGCCAGCTTAAAGTACCTTTCTTCCCCTATGTTTAATTAACATCTTGGCTCAAATTTAAAGAGTGATGTCTAAAGCCCTAAGATGGTAGTCGGAAAATTTGACTGCACATTTACCTTCGGCATCCGCAAATACTGATGACACGTGCATACAACAAACTGGAGATGGAAGGCAGACAACGGTTGGCAAAGGGGAAAGAAGGCAGACGACTGCCGGCGATGCGAAAAATAAAACAAAAGACAAAACAGGGGAAGAAAATGCCGCGGCAGAAAGAAATAGTAATCAAAACAAAATAAAAATCATTAAAATTCATAAAAACAAATCAAGACGACGACAACGGTGACAACAACAAACAACAACAACAACGATAAGGCTAAAAGCAATTTAAAAGACATGGGAAAGAAGGGTGAACACGGGGGTCTTGAGAATGGGATGCGATAGCGGTTCAAGTTCAAGCGATAGACATACATAAAAACTGCGTTTATGCGATGGAAATAATATCAAGAATAATGTCAAGAAATGCATGCTTAAGCATCACAAAAAAATTGAGTATAAAGTTCAAATTTTCTGGTAAATACCTGGAAAATTTGACTTAAAATTATTCTATTAAAATACTAGAAAGTAAATGACTAGTTTAACCCTTTAATGGAGTTTAAACCTTTAATTAAGGGATGCCAGCTTAGTTGACTTTAATACACCAGAAATTCATAAGTATTCATATTCATTCGTTAAGGAAAATCTGAGAGGAGTCTCAAAAATAAGTGCCAATGCAAAGCATGAGTAAGAGTACAAATATGAGTACCAGTTTGAGTACAATTACGGATACGGGTGCGAGTGCCATGGCCAGGCATAAACATTTGACCTGAACAACTTTTGTAGACTGCCTACTACCGCTGCCTCTTGTTGCTATTGCTGTGTTTTGTTGGGTAAGGTGTCGGTGGATGGGGGGAAGCATCAGGATTGTGGAGAGGGGGAGCCGGCGTGGTTAACGCAGGTAAAGAGTGCGCTGTGCCAAACGTAGACGTGAATGGTTGTGTGACGTCACGAGTCAAGTTCACGTGCTGTTCACGCAGCACAGTTTATTGACCCACTTTCGATGTGTGTATTATCTAGAAAAGCTGCCAGCCAGCCAACAATACAGAGTCGTCGTGAATGGAACGAAGAACTGGGGGTTGGATGGGGGCCGGGTGCCGGTGTCGAATGCTCCTCTATGGCAAAACATCCAAATGAATGTACAAGTACTTGGCCATTTCGATCTGATATATCCTGGGTATGGGGTGAGCTGTAGGAGCACCACTTATACAACCGGCCACGATTACGCGTTATTTATTATTCATTTGCAGCTCAAGAAGAAGCCTATTTACCTTTCTTTTCAAAAGATAACATTGCAATTATTCTATTTACAAACCAGTTCCTCAAAACATCTAAGAGTGAATGATTGGATAACATTTACTAATAATTGAAAAATTGGTTTCCTACTTCAATAGATCCTTCTCCCTTCTTCGAAATAATTTTGTTATACTTTTTTTTTTTAAGTCGACGGAAGTAGCATTATTATACGACTTTCGCTTACCTGGTGCGGTGAGGGCGATGCCTGCGATGGTTGCGGCGATGGACTCGGTGCATGACCCGGACTACTACTGGGCGGCGGTCCGCCTGCGGTGACATGTGGCGGTGGCGGCTGCTGTTGCTGTTGCAGCGGCGGCACGTGGTGCGGTGAGGCGGGCGGCAAGGGATGTCCGGGTCCGGGGCTGGGCGAAGAGCCGCCTGGCCAAGGCCGATTAGGTTCGGGATACTGCAAATGGTTTCAAATCGAAAGTTGATCGATTAAAGCAATCTCTTACAGCAAGCTGCTCTCCCTAGGCCCTTAGACAGTTCACTTACCTGGTGCGTCGAGTAGGCAGTTCGATGGTTGGGTCCACTTGCCGGCAGACCCGGCGGTGTCGGATAGCGTTGCGGGTACGGCGAATATTGAGATGTTGGCGGTGTATTTTGCTGCGGCGGCTGCTGCTGCTGCCCGGCGCCTGGTGGAGGTCCGCCAGGCACAGGGCCACCGGGCTGCTGTCCCGCCTGTTGTTGTTGCTGCTGCTGCTGTTGCTGTTGTTGCTGCTGCGGCGAACTAGGATAGGAACCAGAATTTTGACCGTGAGCCGGCGGATAGGGTGACTGACCCCTGGAAGTGTTTGTCTGCGGATGGAAAAGCGAAATTGGATCAATAAGAGTCAAAGGATGGCGGCTCCGCCAGTTTCCCCCAAAATAAATATATAATCAGTGTTGAATGAGTTATTAACCCTATAAATATAATCTAAAATGTTCTCTAATTAGTTTTCAAATACTTAAGTCCAAAAATAAATATCAATTTATTCTAAGATCATTAATAAAACAAGTTAACATATTTTTAAAAAGATTCGAAACAAACAGCTTTAAAAGATTAAAACGTTTCACATAATTAAAACCCATTTTATGAATAGGTGCCGATATGTCGCGTGGGAATTTAGAGGGTTAAACAGCAGCCTGACGGAGACAGCGCATTGGTTTTTAATTACAGACATCTCTTCGCTCTATCTCTTTCTCTCTATTTATATCCTCCCGCACTCTTTCAGCATGCAATTCATCAATTATTTGCGTTTGGCTTCGCCAATGCTGTGCGTCTGTGTGCAATGCACATTCCATTTTATTGTATATACATTCATATATATATATATCATTTTAATCGATATTCCAACAACCAATTCCCGTAAATGCGCGCACAAATACGCACACAGAGACACCCTCGTATATCCTCGTACAGTGGATGTCCTCGGATTAGAACTCTCTCTTTCTCTCTCTGTCACTCTATACATTGGAAATTTCCAGCAATTAATGTTTGAAAGCCCCCCCCGAGCCACAAGAACTGAAGCCGAGTGCAACGATAATTGGAATTGACCCGGGCACCAAGTGTCCCTAATTATTTGGCGCCCACTGTGGCTCGATGCGTGAGTGTGTGTATACCGAACACACATCGAAGTAGAGGAGGGGGAGGAGGGAGAGACAGCGACGCACCCTCTGGCGGGTGAGTTGTCACTTGACAGTCACAAATGTGCAGATTAAAAAAGAGACAATTCAAAAAATATGCTGTGCGAAAGGATCCTAAATGCTGGCAATAAAAAGTTGAAATATTTACCGCTATAACGGCAAATACACCCGCACATGCGATTACAAACAGTTGAGGGTTAAAATGATAGCATTTTCTTATATATATATATTTTTGGTTTTTTAGGGTAAACTTAAAATATTACCCAGGCATTTAAGAATTTAAATGTTGACAAATTCTATTAAGTTTTCTTTTTATTTTGACAATTATTCTAAATTTGTCTATCAAGTTCCAAATTAGAATTAGAATTTCACAGACCTACAATTGTATTCTAAACTGTGCCAGTCCTATCCAATCAGTTCAAATTACGGAGCTCTGTCCTGAAGGAAGAGACGCATAACTTAGGGCAGGGACACGAGTAAACGGGGCCAGAGCAGGGGGGTTCGTCCGTCCGTCTGACAGTCGATTGCCAGCCGTTTCTGGCTCTTGGTTCCGTACTCCGTGACCCGTCACAGCGCCAGAAGAAATCCACTTGAGTGGAATATAAAGTGAAACTTATGAACACACACAAGCACACACAAGGAGCGGGCGGCCAACCAACGACAAAGTTGCAACACAAAGCCGGGGAAAAGGAGCTCCGAGACGGAGACGACACCTTGCCTAGGAACGTAACATGGCTTGTGCTGCTCCGTGTTCTGTGCTGCGGTAGACAACTGGAGCAGGACGATGAGCAAAAAACAAGCATGCATGTGGTTGTATATATAAGTGTGTGTGTGGGAAAGAGCTTTGGATGCCATTAATGAAAGGATTTTCAACTTGACGTGGTGCGACAAGGCGGACCGAGTCGCAAACAGCGCACCCCGTCTGACATAGCAAGTGGAGAGGCGCTTGCCAAGCTTGCACAGACGAGCACTGTTCGCCCTCGTCCTCGCAAACACCGACCAAAACCCAAACCCATACCCAAAAACCCCCCTCAGCGGCATACACACACAAATGTTGCTGGCAACATCACTGCGAATGCCACAGCCCGGAGTAAAATGTGGCAATAAATCTAATGGAAACTCACAGCCAAGGAGGGAACGAATAAAAGAGTCCCAGTGCATCCAGCTTAGCTTCTTTAATGGTATCTCTGGCTTTTTCTGAGGTTCTGACTATCATCAGATTTCGAGAATTTTTTAAGGAAAATCACACAACAAAAACATAAAAAATAATTCATAAAAACATATTTGAATGGCTCAATAGTTTATCAAATCTTTAAAAATAATAAATTCCTAGTTACATTTTTTGTTAATCATTTTAAAAGATATACATATATGTACGTTTAAGGTTGAGGGTCTTGTCTCTTTCTATTCAAAAATATATTTTCCTTTTTTTCATAATGGTACTAAATTAAAAGGTTATAAATATATTTTAACTTATTTTCCGCTAGAAACCTACTACAAAACACTGCCATCACTGCACCAGGCCACCGTACATATCATAGTTAGCCTGACCAAAGGAAAGGAATTGCAATGCAAGGAAAGGAAGCCAGAGTCGTAGCAAGAACCAAAGCCAGAGGACAGAACCATATAGCCAAAGCCAGATCCCGTCGTTCGGGCAACGAGCACAAGAACAACAATCGACAGCAACGACGACGACGGTCGGTCCACTGCAGGGTGACAGGAAACATGAATGGATGGTTTTCATACTCGGTGTGCGTGTGTATCTGTGTGAGGAGCGACCGAACGATCCAGCAAAGGAAACGAAACGAAACGAGCCAGGCGCACCAACGAAGCCAGGCAACGAGAAATAAAGTAAAACTGAAACGAGAAAGGGGCTAAATGCGGCAATCCCAAGTCTTTATACCCTAACTTTTATTTCACTTTTCTATATCAAAAATATCGTATCTTAATCATACATTTAATTTAAACTCTGTACAAGTTACACGTAATATCAGACATAAATATATTAAAATTCGAAGCGCGTCACAAAGGGCTTACCAAGTCTAAAATACTCTTTTGTGACAAAGGGTATAAAAAGGGAAAACTCATCATGGATGAAAATCAAAAGCAGAAACGGCAACGGCAACAACGGGCGGGGTAGAAGCTGAAGTGGAATTTGAATTAATGCAGCAAGGGTCGTACGGTGGCACAAACACACACACATACACATTTCACAGCCAGGCGTACAATGAGTGTAACGAACGAGCGAACGAACGAATGACGGTTGGAACGTCGGTCGGAATTACGTTCAAGAGTTCATGGAATGGAGAGGCACAAGCGGAGGACCAGGAGCTGAAAGCAGGGACTGCGGCAGGGGCTGGAGAAACAACTGCCTGATGGTGGTTCGGCTCTGGTGATGGCGAGAGATGGTGGTGGGTTTTCCAGCTAAAAGCCGGCTACATGTATTAAAATATCGCGGGAACAAAAACAAAGCGCAGCGCACACACAGCAGCCAAGGGAGTGGTCTTCTGCTTCTTCTCCTGCTCCCTGCTCCTGTTCCTGGCTTTATAATTTCATAACCAACAGACACAGATATATACACACACAGAGAAACACACCCACGGACTGACGTACGGGAGGACAGACAGGCAAGGCCTGCATATAAATTGTGCGAAGGGAGAAAAACGTGGCAAATGCGATTTCGAGGCAGAAAGGTAAAGCCGGCAGTTGTAAGGGTTGTGTGTGCTGTGCGGATGAGGAGGTGGCTGTGGCACTGGCAGCGTCAGTAGAGGAGGAGGAGGAGGAGGGTGGCAATCAGGAGGGTTCAGGGACGTCCCTGCCCTGCAGGCTCTGCCGGGAATGGAATTATGTACGTGCACAACTCGAACGAGCGTAATTTTTAATACAATGTCGCACACTCTCCACGCGCCCATTCACAGCAGTTGCGGAAAGATAAACAACTGAAAATGCAATCATGCCAGCACCGGCAACTGTCGCAAAATAAGCGATTATTTAGTTTTGCTTTTTTTTTATGAAACTAATTAAATTGAATATTTTGCAATACAAATGCTTGTTATTATCAAGCTTGAATTAGTAATAATTTTAATTTTTTTTCAAGGGATACAAGATATAGGAAAAGATATTGTAAAAGAAAGCAAACAAAGATTTTTGGGGAGGTATGAAAAAAATAAAAGCCCTGATTGATTGAATGCAAAGAAAGGCTCAAGACTCAAATAAGTTTTAGGAAAGCCAAGAACCAAGGAACTTTGAGAGCGAGAAAAGTAAAACGAAAGATGGAGAGGAGGCAGAGCAGCGCCAGGGACAATAACAGTTAAGGCAACGGTTTTGTGTGCTCCAGATTTTGTAGGTCAAACTTTAAAGGCACTCCAATACAAGCTACACCCAACACACACACATACGAATAAACAGCATAAACAAGCCGGCTCACAGACACCACTCTCTCGGAAAAAAATATAAATAAAAACAACAACAGGAGAAGGTAGACCAGGAAGAAGGCCAAAGGGAACACACAAAGACACAAACAGAGAAAGAGTGGTTAATGCAATGAAGAAGTGGAGGTACGGCCTTTTCCCTTTTTCACTCATCGCCGCATAAATGGCAACCCAAAAAAGAAGCCTCTCTTTTTGGACTCTTTAAGGTCTTTAATGTATGCAAAAGTGATGTTTTTGTTCTTGTTCTTGTTGCTCTTCAGCTTGCTTGCACCTGTTGACCTCAAAGGAGAATCCAACGGTTTGTCGAACCGTTCGTCAAGGAGTCTGAGCATAACAAGGATGTGTCACCGATGCGAAAGAGGTGAGAGGAGGAGATGAGCACCAAAAGAATGATAGGGATACGAGGGGAGTGAGCACAGCGCAAAGGCATATCATCATCATAGTCGAGCCCTCCTCTTTTGACTGTGCGCGGTTTCACTTGATTTTCATTTTTATTTTGTTTTGGTTTCTGCTTCCTCCACAGCTTGCCGGCTAACCCCCTCCTCCTCTGCCTCTTCATTCACCTCCTCCTCCTCCTACCCAAAAGAATGAGTGCGAGTGGGAGAGGAAGGCGGCAGAGTCAGCTGTGACAACAACAAGTTTCTCTGTTATTGCCTTTGATTACGGTGCCTACTTGGCCATTGTTGTTGTTGCTGCCATTGCCGTTTCGGTTGTACCTATTGTGGATGTACGTACATGACGTACATACATATGTATGAATGTATTTATTGCATGCACGCGTAAGTCACACTCAGCCGGCAATTTGATTTCTTTGTTTATGCACACAAACAAACACATGCCGGGGCATAGCAAGAGTGGGAGCGGGAGGTAGTAGATAAATCAAACACATGACATTGGATAGGAGCTGCTGCTGTTTTTACTCTTTTTATCTCGCACTACAAATACTTATACACCCATTCACCGGTATATATGTATGTGCATATGCCCCTAAACAAAAGCTCTCAAAGGTCGCATCGCATCCCAGATGTCTCTAACCTTAGCGGATCACTTTTGATTTGTGTGTATTTTCACATATACTGCGTTTATGGGAGATCCGATTCATGCAAACATTTACAATGCAGTCAAGGGCTACATGGATTTTAGATTCCATTCAAAAAGTTAACATAAAATCTATGAAGTGCAAGCAGTGTGAAAAACTTTAAATTGCATATATAGGATGCTATAATGCTTTACGTAGTCCCAATGAGAACTGTGAATTACCGTGGCAACAACTACTGCAATCACGAATTCATGCTCTAAAAATATCGTGAATTTATCGCATAAACTTGGAAATAGATTTGTTTATATATTTCCCTTGGCTAATCGTCGGCATCAAAGTTCGTTGACTCGCAGCGAGACGAGACATCTGATTTGATCATCTCATTTCTCCTTCTTGATTTGATTGGACGACTGTGCATAAAGTGTGCCAAGAGATATCGAATACACGGAATCGGGCCACTGATATCAAAGCGATTGCTAAGGTAGCGCGGAAAAAACACTTCACTACCCCAACTAATAAAGCAATTAACCGGTTTCCATATAAATCGAAACGTGAAATCACATCACGTGCATCGTGGACAAGGGGCAATAAACCAAACATTTAATACAGCAAAAAAAAAAAAACCTCACAGTCGCATTATTGCTTCATTTTATTATTACTGATAGCAAATCTTGGCGGCATTTGAGGGATTACAATGGGAACTTAGGAGTAATACTAGATAAGTTCCAAATTTAAAATGGTTTTCAGTCCAAATTTAAAAATAAGCTTAATAACAAGTATCTCAACAATTTTCCAATCATTAAAAGCTACATTTTAATTGTAAAAAAAAACTCCTCCTCCTCTTTCCCCTTTTAAAAACCCCCTAATGTTAATGGAAAACTAACAATCTCAAACATTTGCAAATAATTTATTTTTTAACTTATTCCAATCAGATTCAACCAACAATGGCCTCGATAATGTGAAGAAAGGGAGAAGCGAAAACCCTTAAAAATGTGAATGAAATGCCTCAACATTTTGTGTGTACGAAACTCTTTCTGGTTCTTGTTCTTCTTCCTCTTCTACATTTTACCGTTGCGGTGCGGCCTTTTGTTGTTATTATTGTTTTGCTGCGGCAAGTGCCGGCTCTTGCTGTCCGTCTCCCTCACACAGCCGGCGGCTCACCCAACAACACCCGGCACTTAAACAGCTAAATGTCAAGGGGGTGGGGTTGAGAAAGAGGATGGGGAGGAGGGGGAGGAGCAGGAGGGGCAATGGCGATGGCGAAAAAGGCGCGGAATCTCACAGTACAATGTTTTTATGTGTGTCAGTGTGCCTGTCTGCTGTTTGTGTCTTTTTTTTCCGCCTTCGACTTGGCAAATCTTTAGTGAACTGAATGAAGTGCGACCAAGACGAAACCCTAAAAAGTAACAGTAAATATTGCAGCCTCCCTCCCACACACTCACACAGCCAGCCATACATGGCCACGAAACGTGACGAGCCCCCGTCGCAGGAATGGGTGTGGGGTAAAGGAGATAGCTAGCATAAAGGCACCAACAACAACAAGAGGCCTGCACATGAAAATGTCTGGTTGTGTGTGTGTGTGTGGGGTCGATGGAATCAAAATCAGTGTCAATGTCAAAAAAGCTTTAAAAAAAAGAGGGAAACAAACCCATAGGAATAAAGACTACGATAAGATCCGCGGGTATTTAGTTCTTAATTTATGATGTAAGTAGGAGGGAGTATTGACTCCCGGCACTGAGCTATTAAATTGTGTCAGACACTTAGGCGTTTTGAGTTCAGTGTTCAGATAAATGATACAATTGTCACAAAAGTTACTTTCCCAGTAATGCAGATACTTTATCCCATAGATATTTAAATTTGAGTAGCCTATATATAACACCACCTAAGAAGTTATACATCCGAAATGCTCGGATGTATCCATTCAGAGACAATACCCCAAGTGTCTGCTTAACCAAAAAGTAGGAAGGCGAATTAAATGCTTTAAGTAACAACTTTATATGGAATTTGACCAAGACAAAAGCTAGCCCATCTTGGAAGGCACTGCCTTATTGTCCTGTGACCCCTTGTAGTCCCAGCTTTGTTGACTTACCGGTGGTGGTGTCCTATACTGCTGCGACGGTCCCAGCTGTGGACTGTAGGGTCGTGGTGGCGGAGCCCATCCTCCCTGTTGCGCACCGTACGGCGATGGTTGGTGCTGCGGTGGCGGCGGTCCGTGTCCTGGCGGAGGCGGTGGCCCGCCTGCCTGCTGCTGAGCCGCTGAAGCGGCGGCCTGCTGTGGATCATAGCTATTGGCGTACCGGTGCTGCGGCGGAGGCGGCGGATTCGAGGATTGCAGCAGTGAGTTTAGTGTGGGCGTCGGTCCTTGTGGTGGCTGACCGGGAATATAGCGCTGCTGCTGGGGCGGACGATTCGGAGAGCCACCCGGTCCCGGTTGCTGTTGTTGTTGCGGAGGCGGCGGCTGTTGCTGTTGCGGATGGGGCTGCTGCTGGGGCTTGCCACCTGGCAAAGGCTGGCCGTAGCGGTAGGGGTCCATGTTGGGATCGGCGTGGTAGCGACCGTACGCCGGATGCGGGTGCGGAGGCGGTGGCAGGTGGGCGTACTCCTCCTTGACGCCGGGCGCATGCTCAGGTGCTCCTCCTGGCGGCGGTGGTGCCGGTCCGCCGTGGTGCTGCTGTTGCATGTGAGGCGGTGGCGGATGTTGTTGCTGCTGGTGCAGGTGATGATAGTGCATGACCGCCGCCGGATCCGGCCCAGGTGGACCACCCGGTGCCGAGCCAGGTGGCGGTGGTCCGCCGTACGGGTGTGGGGCAACACTTTGCTGCTGTTGCTGCTGTATGCTTGGGTCACCGCCATTGTTGCTGTTATTGTTGGGCGTGGGCGGGCCAGAGGTGGGCGGTGTGTTACCCGGTCCACCGCCTGGAGCTGCTCCAGCCGTTGGGGGCGTGGCCGCTGGGGCGGGGGCTCCGCCAGCAGCGCCTCCCTGCTGCTGCTGCGTTTGCGGCGACTTTATTTTTTCATTCATGGCTGCTGTTGCTCATCGGCTGCTCCCGATCTCCCAGATGTCCCAGATGTGGTGTCGGTTGAGTGGCGGCCGGGGGAGCACCAGGAACCACCAACAACGCTGATGATGACGACGACGACTGCGGCGGCGATTTTGAGGTTATGTTAGCTGCAAGTTATCAAAGACTGGGATTAGCATTATGCATTCGCGGAGCCCCAACTGTTTGCCTTTGCCCCTAATGAGGCAGCAAGCGCACCACTGGGCTTAGAAGTCGGGCGGGGGAAACATAAATAATTTGTATTCGTTCATGGCGCTGCGCTGTTGTGTATTGAAAAGTCCGCTACTAACACTAACACTAACACACACACAAACACTCGCTCGCTCGCTCACTCGCTGGCTGGCTCGAACGGCAAACACCAACACCACAACAATTTATTTCTGCCCGCGTACTTCGGCGAGCATTGGCAACCCTGTTCGGCTCTCTCAACTCGCTCTCGCTAGCGCGCCCTCTCTATTTCTCTCTCTTTTCACATTTGGCGGCTATACACGCACACGCCGTATCCGTCTCCGTCTCACTTGCACTTGCTCGCTAACCGGGCTGCAGGCATACGCCGTTCTCGCTCGCTCTCACGCCTGGGAAACGAACGAAACGGACAGTAATGATTTTTCGTAATTATTTTCTTTCTATGCCGATTTTTCGCGTTTACACGATACGAAAGGGGCATATATCACAATTCAATTTTTCAGACGATGCGGCATAGCGATTTGGCGTCAATTGTTAACTTGTCCGGTTTCGGGTTGCTTTTGGGGCTAACCTAACGATTTATAAATAATTGCCAGCCGAGACGAGAGTCCGAGCCGAGCCGTTTGTTGCGCGTTCACTTTAACGCTGCCGTACCGCTGCCTTTGCCGACGATAGCTATTGGCTTGGGAGGTTTTCCGTTTTGGGTTTTTGGTTTTGCGTTTCTGCTTTCAGCGCTTTTCTGTGGTTTTTCGCCAAGATGATGCAAGGATCTGCTCCGACATCCAATCATTTGCATATGCATACACAAACACACACACTCACACATATACAGCCTCCGCGACTGCACCGAGAGAGACAACTGAATTTTTCACTCGCCCTCGGGCGAAAGTCCGGCGTCCGATTTTTGTTGACGCATTTCTCGAGCGGCGGTGCGGCGCGGGGCTTTGTTTCGGTGGCGTTGAATTCGCTTTGCGCCGTGGCTTTTTCTCCACAAAAATCTACATACACGCACACTTACACATAGAAGAATATTCAAACTTTGACAAAACCGTCCGCAGACGAACTCGCGTGTATACCAAAATCAATGTTACCAGATGCAGGTCACCTTAAATATCTCAAGGCAAATAAAAGGTGCAGAAATTCAGCTTTCGCGGCATCTGGGCACACTAAAAGCCCAATTTCAGTCTGGTACCTTTGGTCGTTTTTCGTGACCAACATTGCCAGATCATCGGTCTGGCCAATTTTCTCATGTAGAATGTCAAATGTAAGTAAAATGAGTAAGCTAACATAGAAATGCTCTCGATCACAGAATAAAGCGTAAAGTATCATGTATCCGTTCATTAACTGATGAAAATTATGCTCTCCCCTAAAAAACCGAACAAAAAAAATGAAATTTCACCATAAAAAATATACACCTGGTATTCGAACCACACCTGATATTCGAACCTCATCTGATACTCGAACCGCATCTGATACTACAACCTCTGTTCACCAGAATGAGTTAACAGAGTTTTGCTAACAGAATTTTGAGTACGGAATTTCCAGAATGAGAGTAACAGAGTTCGATATTATCCATATATTTTTATTAAAAATAAAAATTTTTATTGTGATATTTTTTTAAACTTTATAAATAAATTACAAATAATAATTTAAGAGAAATTATAATATCTGTTTTTTTTTTGTTTTTATGTGATCATAAAAAATTTTTAAAAAATATTTAAAATTAAATTAATTTTAATGATAATTGTGGACAAAAATTCATAGAAAAAGTATTTTGCATCCTATTGTTTCTTCTTAACCTTATCACATTTCCGTAATTCTTTGACTTTGAAATATACCTTATAAAGCACCAACCCAACCAGGAGAGGTATAACCACAAGTACGGCCAAAGTGTCCAGGCTGTGGAGTTGCACAAAGTTGAGGTCCCTGCTGGCTGCGCTTAGGTAAGGAGCTCCATTGTGCCGGATTATGTATTCCGTCCACCAGACTGCACGATCGAGAGAAGTCTCCTGTTGGTCCCGAAATCGCTCCGAGATGGCAGCCGATGCCTCGGCGAAGCTGGCCGAAGTGAGCAGTGCCTGGATGGCCCTTTCCAGATCCGACTGCTTCAGATTTTTCACATTCAAGCCTAGGCCGAATCCCAATTTCTGGGCTCGAAGCACATTTCTAAACTGATCGAAGAAGCAGGGAAGCCCCAAAAAGGGCTTGCCGAAATACACACTCTCCGTGATGCTCAGCTGCCCTCCATGGGAAATGAACAACTTGACATTGGGATGGGCCAGGATGTCCGACTGTGGATACCAATTTTTGATCAAGACATTATCTGGCTTTCCCGGCAATTGATCCTCGAATTTCCACAGCACTCGCTGTTTGAGACTAGCAAACGTTTTCACCAGCACGTCAAGAGTTTCCTGGGAAAGATCGGTGCTCTTCATATTCGATCCCATGGAGAAGTAGATAACGCCATCGGGTGAATCCTCGATAAATTGTCTAATATCGTCTGGCAGGGGCTCCGGCTGGTGGGAGATGTGCATTCCGCCGACCTCGATCATGTTGGGCAAATAGGGTCGCGAGTGGCTCAGGGAGAAGTGATCACCCAGCAGAACCAACGAAATGCTGTTTATTGCTTCGCTCATGGTTTGCTTTGCCTCCGGAAAGTACTTGTCGTACAACTTCTGCATCGCTGGCAGGTGTATGAAATGCCGATGAGCTTTCTCAACAAGGTATTCGTAGTGATTGGCCAAACGTTGAGTGAAACTCATCCGATCAGTGCAGGAGGACGTCACCAAGGGATTATAGCTGATCGGCGATACATTGCCCATAGCCTCGTCAACCGTATAGTGTGTTCCGAAGCTGAGGAATCCTGCAAGGCTGGCGTTAAAGTGCTGGGCAAGCCCATAAAGTGTTTCCACCAGTTCCATCTCCACCAGCACAAGATCGAAAGTCTCCCCTGATTTGAGAAGCTCCTGGACACCGTCGTCTTCCAGTGTAATCACCACCAATTTGGGTAATATTTTATCCCAGGAGAAATTCACTTTCATTTCTAGGAATTAAAGCGGATAGATAATTATTTAATCTTAAGTGTTATGTGATAGTTGAAACCTTATTGTGTGCATAATCTCTTTTAAATCTAATCAGAAAACTTTGAATTGTTCCCTAAAATAGCCTATCTTCTCTCTTATTATAAATGCTGACCTACCTTATCATTTAGCTAACTTAACAACCTGACCATTTTTATTCGAAAAAACGTACCTTCATGACACTCAATCAGTTTTGGTATCTCAATAAAACGTATATTGGGTGTGGGAGTATTTGCAAATGCATTTATCACTGTCACCTGGTGACCCCTGGAGGCCAGGGTCTTCAAATATGTCTTCATAAATCTACATATATTGTGATGGACCCGGAAAGGGCAGAGTGGCCAAGATCCTGGCACTGTCCGTTTTAGGTGGACACGCGACCAAAACGAAAACCGCTAACGCAAAAGAGGCTAATGATCTCATCATATCCGAACAAGTTCCCGGTGACGACTGATTTGCTATCGCTGGAAATAAGCCAAGTCTCGTAGAATTAGTGAGAGCGAGAAAGCTTTTGGAGAACAAGGAAAGAAATTACTACCAAAACAATTTTTACAAAGAACAACATAAAAGTATATGGTTTAAAAAAATAATTTAAAAGAAATTTATTTTCGTTTATTTTTAAATAAAATGTAATTGTTTTCTATTTTAAATTGGAATATTAGAAATTTTATAGAAGCAGGCGAAGCAGTTCAGTATAATAATAATTAACTATAAAAATAGACAAAATATATGTTTTTAAAATTCAAGAACTTGAAGAAAATTAAAGGAATGATTTCAAAATTTAATTAATAGCAATAACAATTGCTATTATTAGTGCTATAATTATCATTATTAATTATTGTAAATTTATTTTATATTATTTTTTAAAATATTTATATACATATATATATTTCTTATAAAATAAATCATGAATGCAATTATTTCTTGAATATACTAGATTAATATTAAAATAAGCTACAAGTTAGTTGCATATTTCAAAAGCTTTTCCATTTTCAAATATCTAGATCTAGCCTGAAGTAAGCTAAACTGGCAACACATTTCGATTTGAAAAGCTCTAAGAGTATTTAAATCTTATCTTTCAATTTGAAAAGTTATCCCGCTCTAAGCTCTATGCTTATTTAATTCCTATCTCCGATTTGAAAAGTATTATCCCCGCTCTAATGCTTAATTAATTCCTAATATGAATCGCCTTTTGTGTATTTCGCTGCTGTGTTGTCAGATTTTAATTGCAACACAATTGCGCGAATCCGAAGCAGCGGCATTTTCCGTGCGCCAAAACCGATTTAACGAAGATGTCGACGACCAGCAGACACCAGCGCCAGTGACCACTTCTCCAAGAACCACAAAGAAACCCGAACCAGGTGAGGGAACATTAAGTAAAGTAGCAAAAACTACAGTTATCTTTGACAAAGCTGGACAGAAAACGGATCTTTTCTGGTCTCTCCTTTGCTTGCACTTGTCCCATGCTAACGGTTTCCGGCTCTATGCTTGACTCGCTCTAGCCACCAGCGCTTTGCTGAAAAAATGTCAACCGTGCGTCGGTGTGAAATGCGTACCCAAAATCCAGTGCCCGGCTCATGTTCGCATGGAAAGCCATGAAAAGCCACAGATTTGCGATCTGCCAGCCGGGCAATTGGGCTACTGCTGCCAGACGGGCCAGAACCACACGGCTGCGGTTAGGGAGCGGACAGTCAGCAGCTTTCCCGCCATCCTCTCGCCCGCCATTTTGGAAGAGGCAAGGCGCAATTTCGAGCACCTGATGCACGGAGTGGCGCAGATTCCCGTGCGAAGAGGCTTCCCCGACTTTGCGCACGGCCTGGTCTTCCATTCGACGGCCAACGATGATCTGCAGAACTTTGCCATCTCGAACACTGCCATCCAGCAGGTGATCACAACCCAGCTGTTTGGGAAGAAGGAGCAAGTGCCCGTCGACGATTTCATCACTAACAATGTGCCCGTCCAGTTCACGGAGACGCCGCTGGCCCAGCACTGCCAGCCGCCGCCTGTGTGCCGGCAAGTGAGCTCGCCTTATCGCAGTTTGGATGGCACCTGTAACAATCCTCTGCCGCGGCGATCCCTGTGGGGCGCCGCTGGTCAGCCTATGGAGCGATTGCTGCCCCCCGCCTACGAGGACGGCATTTGGACGCCGCGTGCTCACTCCCAATCCGATGGCAGCCCGCTGCTGGGAGCTCGCCAGATATCCCGCACGCTGCTCGCAGACGTAGATCGTCCGCATCCGAGGTATAATCTTCTAGTGATGCAGTTCGGACAGGTTTTGGTAAGTGATTTTGTGTGGGATTAGAGACCTGCAGCTCCTCTTCTCATACATCATTTGTAAATGATGACACGTTTGCAGGCCCATGACGTTACGCAATCATCCTCGGTGCGTCTGGAGGACGGAAGTCTGGTGCAGTGCTGCTCGCCGCAGGGAAAAGCCCCTCTGAGCCCGCAAGAAAGCCACTTTGCCTGCATGCCCATCATGGTTGAGCCGGATGATGAGTTTTTCTCGGCCTTTGGAGTACGTTGCTTGAACTTTGTACGCTTGTCATTGGTGCCCAGTCCCGACTGCCAACTTGGCTATGGCAAGCAGATGAGTAAGGTCACGCATTTTGTGGACGCCTCACCGGTTTATGGATCAAGCGAGGAGGCATCTCGCGGCCTGAGATCCTTCCGAGGCGGCCGTCTGCGAATGCTAAATGATTTTGGAAGGGACCTGTTGCCATTGACCAACGACAAGACTGCATGTCCCAGCGAGGAAGCCGGCAAGTCCTGCTTCAACTCGGGTTAGTTGTAAATTTTAGAAATTTATGGTTTTATAGTTTGTAATGCTTATGTTTATAATCAATTTTTAGGCGATGGAAGGACAAATCAAATCATTTCGCTAATCACACTTCAGATTCTGCTGGCTCGCGAGCACAATCGTGTGGCGGATTCTCTGAACCAGATAAACCCATCGGCCAGCGATGAATGGCTCTTCCAGGAGGCTCGACGCATCGTCATTGCCGAAATGCAGCACATTACGTACAGCGAGTTCCTGCCCATAATCATTGGGCCACAGCAGATGAAACGCTTCCGTTTAGTGCCATTGGATAAGGGCTATGCCCGTGACTACAATATTGATGTGAATCCAGCTATAACCAACGAGTTCTCAGGCGCTGCCTATCGCATGGGTCACTCCAGGTGGGAATTAAGTGTTATGAAAATGTATGTTTTACAGTTTCTCTTACTGTTTCTGCAGTGTCGATGGCAAGTTTCACATCCGTCAGGAGCAGGGTCACATCGATGAAGTGGTCAATATACCGGATGTAATGTTCAATCCTTCACGAATGCGCAAACGCGAGTTCTACGATGACATGCTGCGGACTCTCTATAGCCAGCCGATGCAACAGGTCGACAGCTCCATTAGCCAGGGTGTAAGCATTGCTTTTATAATTTTCTAAATACTTTTTAAACATTTAATTACTCCCGAGCAGCTTAGTCGGTTTTTGTTCCGTGGTGATAGTCCCTTTGGCTTGGACCTGGCTGCCATAAATATTCAGCGAGGACGCGACCAAGGTCTGCGCAGCTACAACGATTACCTGGAGTTGATGGGCGCAGCCAAGTTGCATAGCTTTCAGCAGTTTCCCAGTGAGGTGAGTTTTTCTTAATCAACTCTTTTTAATTAATTTTTTTAATCATTATATTTTCAAATAGATTGGCCAGAAGTTGGCTAGCGTTTATCGCACACCCGATGACATTGACTTGTGGGTGGGCGGCCTCCTGGAAAAGGCCGTCGATGGTGGTGTTGTGGGCGTAACCTTTGCCGAGATCATTGGCGACCAGTTTGCGCGTTTCAAGCAGGGTGATCGCTACTATTACGAATACGACGAAACGATTAATCCAGGAGCCTTCACCCCTGCTCAGTTGCAGGAGCTGCGTAAGGTGACGCTGGCCCGCCTGATCTGTGACAATTCCGATCGCCTCACACTGCACGAGGTCCCACTGGCCGCCTTCGTACGAGCCGATCATCCTGGGTAAGCGAAAAATAAAAAGCAAAAGCTGAGCACAGCACTTTCTTTACAGCATCTTCCGTTTATCTTTATAGCAATCAAATTATAGGCTGTGATGATCCCAACCTGCCGGCTGTTAACTTGAATGCCTGGCGCACTTAGGTTAATTTTTTAAATTCATTTTTAATTTATTTATCGAGCTTTTAAACTGTATTTAAATTCCGCCAAATTGTATATCCCCGTTTTATGTAACTGCTACTGCGGCTTAACAAAGAAACCAAAATAAAAGCAGTTTGGAATTGGAACCATCTCCGCCGTCCGGCGATGAAGCTGATTTCCATTGCTAATAATACGCAAATTGAGAACGCTTTTTATTATTATATGTATGTGTATTTGTTATTTTCTCTTACCACTGACTCCATCTGTTTGTATATTATATATTACATTGTTGCTGTCCGGTGACAAATATTTTGCCAGATAACCCAAAAGTTGTCATTTATTTTCGGACACTCACTAATTTCTTAATTCAATGGACTAATTTGTGTCTTTTTTGCGCTTCTGTTACTGTTATGATATATGTATGTAAAGTTTACAGCTGAGGGGAAAGTAGTAGTACTAACAATAATATAACGGATTGTACAGTAAACTATACTTACCGTTTTCGATTGGGGCTACAAACAGGTTGATGGTGTTTTTGTAAACTTATTACGTCGCATACCAAATATTTCCAATAATAATTTCAACAACTTTAACAAACCGTACAATTATTTCAACAACAACCATGAACGAGCCCGGGAATACTTGAAAAATATACAATATTTTAACAAATTCCCCAAATAACAAAGTCTTTGCAATTCCAACAATTTCAACAATACTTTTAATTACTACAATTTCAACGTTTCAACAATACGTTTCAACCTATCACAAACGAAACTCTTAAACAAAAAAATTTTATTTTAATACATAAAGTTTCTTACTATTTTACTGCTATTATTTTGACCGCAACTGTATTGATATTCGGTTTGGATTATCTAGTCAATTAGTAGCTGGTTCGCATTTGTAAATAACATGATATGCAAATCGTAAGCTAAATTAAAATGTATAACACAGAATATTATCAAATGTCTATAACAATTTCGCTAGATTTCACAGTCAGCTGTTGTGTGATGATGTCTTGTTTAAGTTAGATATTTTAATATTTGATTTTCTATTTTTAAATTTCTTACGTATGTAAGTCAAGTGCACTTTTAAGTAACGCGAATTGCTCTCCTTGTAATCCGTGCTGTTGAACTAGTTGTTTGATTATTGGTGTACTTTTTACCTTTAGAACATGTTTACTTACTTTTTTGAGTTAAAATTTTTCCAATATATTTAGTATTATATTATATTAGGATTAAAAATATAAAAAAAAAACACCACAAAAATCATATTGACAGAATATGAGAGCTTGGACATGTAAATAAATATTATAAATAGATGACAGAATGTGAGCATGAATCTGGTGTGGGTTGTGGGTGGTCAATAGTGGAATAGTACCTAGTACTATCCCTACGATTCTAAAAACATTTTCGCTTAAAAGTTTCCTTTGCTAATCCAAGCGTGTCAATTAGTTTGTCAAATAACTTTGTTTTGAATGCAATATCTAATTCAAAGCCAATCGAAATCCCACCCAACCACCATCGCTGGTCGAGTGCCTTCCGCCGAGATTTTATTGCATGCTTTCAGAGCACAGAACGGCAGCACACTTTTGGCCGATTTAAACTGGTTTTATGGCTCATATTTTCACCAATTAGTGAACTTGGGCAAACCATCATAACAACAAAATGCGCTGCGATGCCTCTGTTTAATTTGTCGCAGCTCTAAATGAATGAGACGGGCCATCGATTTCTGAATTATAATTAAGCTGTGAGTTCAGTGCTAGCTTCTTTTTTTTTTTTTGAGCGAGCGCTTCAATTAATTTCTGTTTTTTCCACCGACCAGCGACCAGGGGCAAGGGATTAGCCAGCCCCTTCCCAGAAAGGGGAAGCACATACTGTGATGATTATTTAACCCAGCACGAGTCGTCGGGGATGACGAAGCCACTGACGACGCTAGGGACAGTCGAGTCACTTTATTGATGAACTTGGCAAAAGGCGTAAAAGTAACTCAACAAGGCAAACGATTTTGGCGGGTTAAACCCGAGGGTCTATTGACGTCCGTAGACGTTCTCATCGGAATAGGAGATATAGAGGAAGTCGTCCTTGTCCTTGTGCTCCAGGTAAAGGGCTCCCATGGTGGCCGATGTTGGCGGTATCACGTTGTTCACGAAGAAGAATAAAGCCATGTCAGGCTTCAAATTGATCCGCTTGCGTATTAGGAAGTAGAACTGGCCCAGAGTCAGATCGGTGGGCACCAGATACTTCTTCTTGTCCAGGTCTGGATGACGGGTCTTGGGCGCCTTCTCAACGATAACGGGCACCCGGTCCGGATATTTGCGCCGGATCTTGTCGCCCTCGTTGCGGCGCCTCTCGAAGGTGTGGTCCTTCTTGTACTGAAAGATCATATCCATTTGGACAGGTTTATGGTTTGAATCGGAGCGAAAGAATATATTTAGTTTTGGATTTGGTTTTTGGCTTCGAACTATTATTCCTGGCTGAATATTTTCCAATGACAAGGCAGCTCGGTCTCTGAACGCACGAGTGTAAAGGCAAGGCCTCCTGGATAGCAGCAGTTCAAGGCTTTGTTTTGCAGGCCAACAGGTGGTCTCATGAAAGGGAAATCTTTCACCTGAAACAACCGCAACAGCAGCACAAATCAGTGCCCACACAAGCACACCCAGTCGCCCTGTACAGTCCATATACATACATTGGCTGCTCGGAGCTCGGCCGCAGCTCGTGGACGAGCTCTCATTTCGCTATCGCCACTTGAGCTGCTCGGTCGTCGTCGCGCTCGGCAGGCAGTTCGTTTGCTCGTTTCTGACAATAGAGTTCCTACAGTTCGGTGGTCGAGTGGCTTCCGCTTGGGTGTTAATCCCTAACTGGTCCTCGGCGCAACAACGCAACAAGTAAAGACGTCGTAAAAAAAAAATAAACTCAATTCCGGTGAGCAACATCATGTGTTCAGAAAATTGTTTACAGAGGAAAAGCGGAAAATAACCTACATATATATGTGTGTGCATGTGCGTGTGTGTGCTAAACATTACCAAACAAACCTCCTGACCAAATTTACCTCCAAAAGCCAGAAAACCCATCATATTTCCTGTGATATATAATTTATTGCATGATCCCGAGTGCTGCAGAATTAGCCATAAAATTAACAAAAAGTCTACTTTCGATTTTAGTGGCGATAAGCTATGTATAAATATTGGGCAGCTAATCTATGGTGTCTGTGTCTGGCATATAGCAGCAATTACTAATTAAACCCGTGGGGTGTGAAACAAATGGCAGATTGTATTCCGTAATCTCGGAGGTAATCGCCTTAAAAGCTGTATTGTTGTTGGCAGTGTAGAGTGCACTGAAAAGTCTAAAATCGCTGGGAAATTACACTGCATTGCCTACACTGTGATTTGTGCTGTGAAGTGTAATCGAAAATGAATGATTTTGTGTGATGTCGAAGGCATTACCATGTGTCCGCTAATGCGTAGATATTAATAGACTTCGAGAGTTGTTGCTAGCTTCACAGATATTTCGATCTTTTTACACATTTTGATGAATAACAACTTGGCCAGGAATTTACCGAAATGATAATAAAATGAAATTAACCATTAACATTAGAGCAGTGAGACAGAAAGTTGTTTTAATTTATTTTTGGGCCACTCAACTATAACATTCTAATTTGATTTATGGGCTACTAACTTGTTTTTATAATGTTGTTAATGCGGCAATTAACAATAATTCGTTAAAAACGACACCAGCAGGGACCAGAGAGTATCCAGAATGTCGCTGAAATCGTGTTCATTAAAAGAGAATCGCTTGGAAGATATATCCTTTTATGTGCTCATCTTATGTGCCTCCCCGCAGAAAATTCAAGGAACTGGAAAATCTAGCAATTAGGGAAATTAACTTCGTTTTCCAAGTGCAAAAAATCATTGATTCGACTTGTGTGTGTGTGTGTGCTTTGATCTAGATTAAATTAAATCCGAAAACTGCTAACTATTCGCTCTTGATTTAAATGCAAACAATCAGGCGAGCTGCCAATCAAGCAAAATATTGTGTAAATAATTGGCTTAACTCATTTTCTTGGCTTTGTTGGTGAAACTCAACACACACAATGATTTTATTATTGTTTCTGTAAACGGGTTACGTCATGGCCACCAGATTTTTGTCACTCAATCCGTTTAATCGGCGGAAAATCTGGTCTTCAGAGCAGGGTTCACGGCAATACGCGCATTCCGCGGCAAAGGCAAAGGTGTGAATTAATTAAAATTGTTCCCTTCGCAGAGTGGGGGAGTCGATAGTCAGATTGTGCACTTGTTCCGGCCGAAAGAAAAAGATCGAGGCAATAAAGCTATGTAGATGGAGCAGAGAACACATGCGAGAACAAATATTTGTTAATTAAGCCGCAGGAACCCACCAGCCACCAGTACACCTGTCGGCGACCGTCTTTTGAGGTCTCTCTGTCGCCATCTCTGTCTCTGCTGGAGATAAGCGAATAGTAGTTGGGGCCTGGAGTCTCCTAGGAACTGCTGCGGCCAGATCCCAGCTCCCAATCTCTCTGTTTATGGGATCACTAATTACACGCAACTGAATGTTTCAATTAGCTGGTGAGAACTAAAATTAAGCACAAACAGAGCTGTAAAGCGACTCGACGGCTCGTGGGGGGCATTTATAAATTAAAAATAAATATCTGTATGTCTGGAAACGTGATATGTGATATGATACTGATACTGTGTCTAAAAATAATGCAATAGCTTAAATATGAGTTTTATGCCTGTGATAACATATGTTAATTAACAACCCAACCGACTCTCAATGATATTTGCTCTTTTGCCTGCTCTGTTTGCTCGCCTTTTCCCTTCCCGAGTCAGTGTCCTCACTGTGTCACAGGCTTCACTGTGCTGCCATGGTCTTGTCCAAAAATGATTGCTTAAGAAATTCACCGCAAATACCTACCTGTTGTGTGTGTGATTTCGGTTTTACGATTGATTTTGTCGTTCGCTTTTGTGCGGATTTGAAAATCAATCAAACACGCGTAAGGCAGCACAGAACGTGACCGGCCAATTCACAGGCTGCCAAATATCTTGGGATCGGATTGGATCGGCTTGGACTTGATGCTATTTAGACTTATCATTAGGCAGCCTGTCGTCGTCCAGCTTGATGGCTTTATTAGGCCGTTAGTGACGCACACAGAAATTGAATCCTTTCTTCCTTTGCTCCTTCTAGGCTTCTCCTCCTCCTCGGCGTTCAAGATGAGCAATTGAAACGAAACCAATTAGAAGTGATACTTCATAGAGGCAAAGCAGACGGATATCTCTGAGCAAATGGGCCGCCCATTATGTGCTTAGGATCGTTGGACGGAAAGTGCTGCTGACAGAGTTCAATGGGTAGAAGACAAACAAACTGGGTCCGGAGGAAGGGCCGTGGGCAGCCAAAGACAGCCCTAACGTGCTTGTCAATCGGCTTTCTATTCCGTTTTCTCTTTGTCTACCACTTGTTGCTCGCCCCGCTTTGTGGCCCGCATTGCGTATACGCCATGCTGGCTGCCGAGGGGCCCAGCGACGGAAGTAACTGTCACGACATCCACCACGGCTTCGATGTACCCAGCAGTCTCAATGCAGTGACAGAGGCTCAGGGAGGAGACGCACCTATGGCCGTGACATTGACGCCTGCCCCCTCCGGCTGGAAGTGCTGCTGCTGGAAAGCACCCAATCAAGTAAGTGCAGTCACCTATATGTGTGTTTATAAATACATGTATGTCATGCAGTGCCCTTTGTGTTCGCGTGCAAGGACAGCGCTATCACTTAGCTGTGAGATTTAATAAAATGGAAGGGTTGAAAGGCTAATACAAAGCTGGGTTTTATGTTTATAAATAGGGATACAAATTAAAATGGCTTTGAAATGCATCTAAAAGTATACAACTAAAGATATAAATATAAGTAAAATATTTAATTTTAAGGCCGTAGATTGCAAATCTCTAAAGTTTTTTCTTATCTTCGTTGAAGCTTTAGTTCTCAAAGTTCAATGATTTATTTATTCGAGAAAGCGACAAAAACCTTGTGTATGTTTTTAGAATCCCTTTTAAATGCGTCTAAAAGTATGCAACAACACGTGTTAGATATAAAATTCTTTGTAAATTAGTTTATTATACGCTTTAAGATCAGCAATTTGCAAATCTCTAGTGATTTGTGATTATATTTCTCTTATATTCCTTGAAGCTTTAGTTTTTAAAGTTACCTTTTTAATACTATTTGCCTGCAAATTCTCTGTAAAAGCTTTTGACAAACTTTTGTGAAAACGCCAGGAACCCCGGCAGATTCCACTTAGGAATTAAGTGGGAAATGAAGTTAATAAAACAAACCGCTTCCACTACCTATCCACAGGGCGAGGAGGTCGAGTGTCGTTGCGAGGGCGATGCGCTCACCCGAGTGCCACAAACGCTGCAGTTGCCCATCCAGAGATTGACCATTGCGTCGGCGGGACTGCCTCGCCTTCGCTTCACAGGATTGAAGGTCTATGGGCCCACATTGCTGGATGTGTGAGTACATTAGGGATATCCCGCCCACACATACATATTGATAGCCACTTTGATTTCGAAAGGGCCTTCACCGACTGTCTGAAGCTCGAACTGATACAGGACGGCGCTTTTGCTAATTTAACGCTGCTGCGCACAATGTAAGGCCTGATTGTAATTGTGCCTAAGTGGCTGTTTCCATCACACAGGGTCCCTTTTTACCTCCTTTTCCTTTGCAGCTACATCAGCAATGCACCCAAGCTGACCTTTCTGTCGAAGGACGTCTTTGCCGGCATTTCGGAAACCGTGGAAATAATGTAAGTTCCCCCTTTTGACAATTGCCGAAATCTGGCCTTAGATTAGGGTCCCATATGGGGACACATCTGTGCGATTTTATGCCTTGAGGCAGCAGAAGGGGGCATAGCATGTGCCATTAATAAATAATAAATAATAAAGTAAAAAGAGTTCGTTATTTAGTAGAGGCTAATGGTTACGGGAAAGTTTGTTTTACATTAGGGAAATCATTTTGAATAAAAAACAATAATATAACTGAGTAGGAAAATTCTCCATTTATGTTAAAATATTGATAAAATGTACTACAATTGAGATAATTTAAAACAGTAATACTTTTTTTCTGCTGTACATTTCATGTTTTAATTAAATTTAAAGTCTAGCAAAACTTTAATTAAGCTTGCTCTAAAGCCCAATGTATTTGCCAAAGAGCTGCAGTTAATAATAAAATTCCAAAAAATATAATAGAGTGCCTGCAGCTTGTTTACCATTACAAAGAAGTTTACCATTTTTTAGAAGTACAAACCTGTATGGTGGGCGAGGTGTACATTTCAGGGAGGCATACGTGTGTTGACTTATCATTGCATATTTTTTATTTTTAGACGCATCATAAACAGCGGACTAACCAGTGTCCCGGACCTGGGCCACCTGCCGCCGCATAATATTCTGCAAATGATGTGAGTTACTGGAAATTGCAAAACTTTAAAAACGGCTAACTGAATTCTCTCCCCAGAGATCTCGATAATAATCAAATCACTCGAATAGATACTAAATCCATAAACGTAAAGACTGCCCAATTGTACGTATTGTATAAATTGTTTGCCCCGAAATTTCTCAGTAATCTTTTGAGAACCTTCTCCTAATCTTTATAGTATTTTGGCAAACAATGACATAAGCTACGTTGATGATTCAGCCTTCTTTGGCTCGAAGATAGCCAAACTGTAGGTATATGCATGTGAGATGATTTTAATGATAATAACCTGTTGTTGTTTTAGCTCCTTGAAGGATAATCGAAAGCTCACAGATATGCATCCAAATGCCTTCAATGGCATTATAGATATAGCTGAACTGTAAGTGTTTCTACTTGAATTTAAAGCCTCTTAACCTTTGTTTTTCTTTTTTAAGCGATCTCTCCAGCACCTCGCTTGTTGGCCTGCCTTCAGTGGGTCTTCAGACCATCGAAGCTTTGTACATAATGAACACTCACACCCTTAAGACCATTCCTTCTATATACAACTTCAGGGTGAGTAGAAGCAATAATCCTGATGAGGACTAAGGTTAATTTTGAATTCCCTAAATAGAATCTACAGCGTGCCTATCTCACGCACTCCTTCCACTGCTGCGCCTTCCAGTTCCCATCCCGGCACGATCCCCGGCGACATGCCCAGCGGATGCTGGAGATTGAGAAATGGCGGGAGCAGTGCAACAAAGGCAGCCGCAAGGAGAGGTCCCTTCTGGATAACTTTGAAGCGTAAATTAAATATAAATTTGTTTAAATTAAATAAGATACTAAAGCTAATCTCCGCAGTCAGCCGGAGGATTTTGGAAGTTTCGGTAGCACCGAACCTTCGGTGACAGAGATAACCCCCTATCCCTACGCTTCCGTTGATTATATGGCCGATTCCACCAATCTGGGCTACTTTCATGAACAGATCACCATTAATCCAGATGATGACCAGTCAGCTGAGTTTTGTGGCAACTTTACATTCAGGTGAGAAGGGTCATACTTAATGATTTTGATGATTAATTTCTATGAAACATTTTACAGAAAACCAAATATTGAATGTTATCCCATGCCCAATGATTTGAATCCCTGCGAAGACGTCATGGGTTACCAATGGCTACGCATTTCCGTGTGGATAGTAGTTGCTCTGGCTGTGGTGGGCAACGTGGCAGTGTTGACAGTCATTCTATCGATAAGGTAATTGGTTTAATTAAAAATTTGAATAAGAGAAACTAGTGGGAACCTGAAAAAATGCTGCTAAAATAAGAGAAACTAGTGAAAACATGAAAAAATGCAGCTGGAAATAACGGTATTCTCTTTTAAATTCAAGCATTTTTTACAACTTTTATTAATTTTAAAATACCCTTGAAAGTTATCTCTTTTTATTTATTTATCATTCAATTTTGAAAACAATTTTCAATGCTTTCCTGTTGCAGACCCGAGTCGACGCCAGTACCTCGCTTTCTCATGTGCCATTTGGCCTTTGCTGACCTTTGCCTGGGCGTGTATCTGCTGCTGGTGGCCTCCATCGATGCACATTCCATGGGGGAGTACTTCAACTATGCCTACGACTGGCAATACGGTGGGTTTCTAATTATGGTTGCGGTTTTCCTTTATTAACTCTGTGTTGTATTCATGCAGGTCTGGGGTGCAAAGCTGCTGGATTCCTCACTGTGTTTGCAAGTCATCTGTCGGTATTCACGCTGACTGTGATTACCATCGAACGCTGGCTGGCGATTACGCAGGCCATGTATCTAAACCATCGTATTAAGTTGCGACAGGCGGCGCTCATCATGCTTGGGGGCTGGCTTTACTCCATGTTCATGTCCTCGCTGCCGCTTTTTGGTATCAGCAATTATTCCTCGACCAGGTGAGTCCTCGAGCTTATAACAGTTTATACTGGTGCTGAGCCTTGCCATTGTAGCATCTGCTTGCCGATGGAGAACCGAGACGCATTCGACACCATGTATCTGATTGCCATTCTGGGCTGCAATGGGGTGGCCTTTTCCATCATAGCTGTGTGCTATGCCCAGATTTATCTCTCGCTCGGCCGGGAGACGCGTCAGGCACGTCAGAACAATCCGGGCGAGCTGAGTGTGGCCAAGAAGATGGCGCTTTTGGTGAGTGTTTACTTAAAATAAGTACTTAAAATATCTCATAATCCCTTCCCCGTATTTTTTCAGGTATTTACCAACTTTGCCTGCTGGTCTCCCATTGCATTCTTTGGACTCACCGCCCTGGCTGGCTTTCCCTTGATAAACGTGACAAAGTCCAAAATATTACTTGTATTCTTTTATCCGTTGAACTCGTGTGCGGATCCCTACTTGTATGCCATACTGACGTCCCAGTATCGCCAGGACTTGTTTACCTTGTTGTCGAAGTAAGTGGCTTAAAAATATTATTCCCTTACAATGTTACTTATTAAAAGGAAACCTTTTTCTTTCAGAATTGGTCTGTGCCGGCAAAATGCTTTGAATTACAAGCACAGCTCCTCGGCTCAGGCCACCACCCGCTTCACCATCCATCGGCACAGCTCCCTCACCTGCAAGATGCAGACAGGCATAAGCGTCGAGGCGCAGAAAATGCTGAAGAATGGCGAGGACTATGTTTAAGAACGGAAGCTTGGGTATTCCAAATACACCTCCTTCCTCCCTGTTGTGATATATACTTGTGTATACTATTGGCGTACGCTCTCTCTTTCCATCCCCTTCTTACGTTAACTGTTCCAGTATTGTTAGCATCCCTAATTGATGATATTTTAATGATATATGTAAGTTTGTTAGTCATTTTGTGTTATTTATATCTAAGGAGAGTTAAGAACTATAATTCTTTGATTGCAAATCGGTAATATCTACAAATTCGTGTAGTTAAGCAAACTATAAATGTCAAGCCTGCAAATAATACCTATATTTCTCAGATTTCAAATCTAGAGTCCAGTTTGTAAATGTTTAGATGTGAGATAAATGTATAAGTGCCCAGTATTCGGTATATGATATTGATGGATTCGCATTATAAATAAAAAAACATACATTCATATATTGATGTCAAAAATATAAAATTAAAGGTCTTTGAATTGCATTATTATTATTATTATTACATTTATTAGAAAAAACGTTCACTAAATATTTTACCTAAAATATTTTATTCCTTAGTTTTTGGGAGATTTCGAAGTGATTTTAAACTAAAAGTGGGTCTTTAGGGTTAGTACAAAAATTTAAATTAGTTTAAAAATTAATATTGAAAAGCAAACAACGTGATTTTTATTAATAAAGAACAGTATTTGCACTAAAAAAGTTAATTTAAAATTATATTAGACACAATTTTACACCCATTTTACTTAGTATTTCACACAGGCTCGTTAGCGCCATCTGGATTTGATTGTCAGAAAATGACTCTCAAACTGTCTGTTTTACGAAGGCAAATGTCCCAGGACATTCTCGCTATCCACCCCTGGTGAACAGCTGATTCTGAAAAGGACCAAACAACTAACAACGGTTATAATGCCGCGTCCTGCAATATTCGTTCTTTTCTGTTCAATAATTTTACTAAAAGCCGCTTATGGCTACAAGGAGTTGCACGGCCTGAATGGAAAGATTTTTCCGAAGGCCGCCACTTTTAACTTTCCCGAGTACGCCTACAAGGAGACCAGCAAGAATGTGAGTCCTGCGAATATATTGATTTTTCTGCCTCACTTATTGCCTTAAAAACCTACAAAAAAAAAAAAAAAAAACTAAACACAAACAGGAAATAACATACCATGAACTGGAAGTGTCCTGTGACCAGCATGTCAAATGCGTGAACCTTAGTCCTGTGGGAGTGGCTAAGATCAACTGTATCCGGCAGTGCATTTCGCCGTCCTGCTATCAGGACATTTACGCCTTCAATGAGGTAAGAATGAGCCAGAGTAAGATAGAGAGAGAGTGGGTGACCATTCATTCATATCCAACCTATTGTTATCCTGTAGCTGGAGGAAGGCGAGATCGATGCCAGGCTTAACTCCTTCAAGGGCTGCGTCATCCAGCGGATGTAGCAGCGACCGCAGCTGTTCAAGGAGTGCTTCATATTCAAGTGGTTGGAATTAACCGGCATTACGTATTAAGTTATGAATGAACTTGAAAGAACTAAGTCATTTGATTGACCTGTGGCCGCAGGCAGGATTACTTTTGTCTATAAGAGAAGGAAATAAATTTCAAAATAAATTAGTATTCATGCCGAATGTAAATACATTTTTAAGTTTGTATCGCTGACCAAACTTAATTTCAATTAATTAAACTAAAAACTATGTATATTTAGAAATAAATACATTTTCCACTGAAATATTAAACTTGTAGTTGTGGTTTGGCCTTCAAGAGATGCGTTTTTAAAAGCCTGGTATTTCTTAAAAGTAAATAATGCAACCAATTATTATTAAATGTAATTTAAAAACTTAAAATATTTGGTGTTTTTAAATCAATTTAACGTATGCCGAGTAAGAATGGTAAGCCCTTTTTTATTTAAATAAATATTTCGAGATACAACATTTTTAAAAATAGATGAAGTAGGTCTAATATTATTGGATTCTTAGAATTTTAATATTTAAGAAGAATAATTTATTATTTAATATACATAATTTTAATTTCTATATCGTATTTTAACATTTTTTATAAAAGGATATAGAAAATAGAAATCAAAAGTGACCAAGTAATTCCAGAAAATATATGAAAAAGATGTCCAAAAAATATTTGTATGCTTAACATAAATATAATACAAAAACAACAAAAAAGTTTCTTAAATTTGATGCCTTAAATATTTCATTGCATACTTGTAGGCAGACTCACGATTGGTTTCAAATCCAAAGCAATTTCTGTGGCAATGTGTGATTACTTCAACTTTCTGAGAAACCTTTCCGTTTAGGCCAACTTCATTTAAGCTCAAACCAATATATTCGATTACTTGTACCAGAAGTAAGTGAGGCAGGACAATTGTTTCTGTTGAAGGCATACAGTTACAGGGGCAATTTCGCCCAGGAAAATACCATTTTAGTTTACGACTCTTGCGCCTATGACAACAATTGGAAGTGCCGCCCCTCCACTCCGTCCTGGATCCAGTCGCCTCCTGGTAGATCAATCAAGCCAAATCAAGCGTGTTGTATAAATAAACTACACACCCACACCCACACATCTGCATATATCGCTTGAAACGCACACTCGCACGCGATGAGCACACATATTTGTGTGTACTAGTGCGGCGTTTAAGTTTAGTTCGGTAATTAAAAGCCAAATGCTCATAAAACGAAAATTTATTAGCATTGTTTTAGCGAGTGTCTGTGTGTGCGGGTGTGCGGGCTGCTAGCGAGTGTGTGTTTGCTGAGCACACACAAACTATGTCACTTGGTGCGCTGCGATGTGCGTGTGTAATACAATTGCACATGGCAGGGGCGTGACGGGGGGGCGTGGAGCCTTTCGACTGTCGACTGCCGCCGCCTGCACCATGTGGGTGTTGAAATCCCTATGGATTTTTAATGTGCTTAATTTGAGTGACAGCTCCAAAATGGGTACGATCGATTTCTGTGTGCCAACACGCCCTCCTTATCCCCCCAGTCCTGCGCCCAGCGGAATGTCAATGTCCACACACAGTTAACAAAACTTCAATATCAGTTTCACTGCATTAAACGAAAAAAAGTTGTACATATTTTTTAAAAAAATCTCAAAATAACGAAAAGACTGAACATAAAATTAATTCTTGGGAATTAATCTCTCCGGGGGAGCGAAATGAATGAGAAACAATGTAGCCTCTGACCTCGAAAACGAATAGAATCCCTGGGGTTTTGTTTTTAATAAATTGAAAACATATTTTTTCTCATCCATCTCTCAATCTTTCGTTTGCTATCAATTAGATTTAATTTCTTAAGATAATAAAATGGGGTTTAGCATTTATAAAAATATAAATAACTTGAGCAGTTTAAAGAACTTAAAAGTTTAATTGTTCTTTTCGTCAAAGGAGAATTAATTTATCAGATTTTTTTTTTAAACTGAAGTCCTTGAATTTTATAGTATCTTAAGTATTTTGATATATTTTTTAGATACCTTAAAACTTTATAAACTTTAAGTATTATCTGGTCAAAAGAGAATAACAAGAAACTGTCAAAAATAAAGTCAATGCCCAAAAATATGCCTCATTTTGTACAGAAACTGAGCACCGGCTATTTAATAGTCGTGATTAAATTAAAATATTTCGGATTTGAGTAATTTTGTTAAAAAGAAAATTAAATTAAAACTTAAATTTATAAAAAAAATCGTGGAATTTTTAAAATTTAATTTTCAGTGCATTAAAAAATCATTTCGTTCTTTTATTTTATTTTTCTCTGTGCACTCACACTCGCGCACACATCGCTGTCGTTATCAATTACAGGAAACTCATTTATTTCCATCTGCATATATGCAAAAAAATAATGCTGCTGCCTCCCTTCTCGAGCTCCGTCCGAATCCCGGATAGCCTTTCTTCACGCCGGGCTCTGGGCTCATCTCATTTCGGGGAGGCTAATTCGGTTGAGTGTCGCATCCTTTAGAATTCTCCATTCTGGCAAGCACAAAGTAAATTCATAATTAATACACTGGCAAAGAGTGATAAAGAAAGAGGAACGGAATTAACGCGAACGACTCGTACAGTGGGCCCTCTGTGTACACAACGCGCCCCGCGCCCCGCGCTCCGCCATTGCCCGACCTTTATCCAAACGCACGCACACGAGAGCTAACCGGCGGACGGCGAGTGGCAAGCGTTTGGCAAATTAGCCAAATGCGGTATTTGGCCCACAAGCAGCTCAGTCGCTCACGGAACGTCCTGGCGTTTGGCCGCAAAAACTGAAAACCGAGAAGCGTTAGAATCGGAACCAGAGACTCGGTCATTTTCGCGGTTAAGTGTTGACCGAAATCTGAAATTCAAAACCTTATTAAAAAATATGTGAAAGGTGGGCACTCAGTGCCAAGTTCTCGGTTAGTTCGCAGCCCAGCCTTCGGTGATGATCTCCCGCAGAACAGCTGGCCGGGGAGCCCTAATCAACTGATAAATTTATCAATTAACTTGCTGCTATCAGCGCCAAAGGCTAAACTAATGAGCTTGTTGTCAGCGTGTGTGTAACAAGTCTGTGATCTGAACTAATCAAATAAATACGCCAGTTAATTGGGAAATGCATATTAATGAGGCAGTAACTCCGTATTACCCACGCCAGTGCCCACGCCCACGCCCACGCTTAGTCCAGACCCAGGTGAAGGCACCTCGCATCCCGGGTTCATTGGCAGCTGTTACCTCTTCGCAGTTTACCTTTTCTGTTATTTTTTTATGGGACATTATCCGCGGCTCGTTGTCTGGAGCATGGCATTGTCAATTTTTGATGAATCATAGAGGGAACCATACGAGAATCTAATGCAGCCATAACCGTACTCCTACTCGCAGACGTTTATGTCTGCACTTAATCCGCGGTACCCCCACTTCGATTAGTCAGTTTGGCGGCCCCTCCGTATAATTTTATATCAGAATTTTCCAAATATTTTCCAAACAAATCGCAATGTGTGCGGGTGTGCGGGTGTGTGTGTGCCGCGATAAAACAATAGCAACAAAATAAATACAAAAGAATCATAAAATGAAACAACAAAGACTACGAAAAGTAACGAAAGAGCGAGCAGACTGAAATAAAAAATGTAAGGAAGCACAAGAATGTTCGCCCTGCCGCCGTTTATGTGTACTTTAATCGGCAGCACAGAAGCAAGAAAAAGACGAGAAAAAGTATCGCGTATACGCTACGTTGACTATTCCGCTCAGCGGCGGCAGTCAGCGGGACAGCAGACAGCGGACAGCGGGCGGGTGGCAGTTCAGGGGGCAGCATCGTCAGCATCTCAGGTTGGACGGGAACGACAGCCGACAGCCAACTGTCAGTTTGTAATCAACGCGTGCCAACAACAGCAGCGAAGGCATCTGTGCGTGTGCATAAGAAACTTTTCGGGCCACCCATCCGTCGACCTTTCCACCCAACCCAGCGACCTATCCACTCCTCCACTCCGCGATACAGTTCGATTCCGTGACCTATAACCACCCATCGTTGGGTAACAAATGGCGGCATTAACGCCGTTTCCATCGAGGAACCATTGTGCAAAGCCGGAGACTAATCACTTAACTATTTATAAAGCAGCGCGACATGCAAGTGTACACGGAAAATAATATGGACTCCCACCAAGATCGATTCGAATTTTTTACGATTGGCGGAAAGGGGAGCATAAACTTTAACTTTTAGTGAAAAAATAAGGCTTAAAATGAGAGTAAATTTGGCTTAAGGTTTCAAATCTTCAGTAACATAATATTGGGAGTATTATATTGAGCTAGGGTATGATGAGGTTTTAAAATCCACGGAACTGGATTTCTAATCAAAATTGATTTCAAATACATACAGATATGACCAACGACGTATGTATCAACTCGTAACATATAATTCTTAAGATTTTGATTTGAATTTAAAGGTCCCTGTAGAAATGGTTGCAAACTTATAGAGACAGTAAGCTACATTTTAAAATAGATTACATTTCACACTTTTATTAAAAAAGTAGGTTTTTGAATGACCTCAAGAAGGTGTATGTAAAACTAATACTATGCTAAATTTAATAAGAATAAAACAAATGCACACTGAACTTGCTACCATACAAAATTTATATCATAATCTTAGGCACAATTTTAAGGGATCTCAAATCTCTTGGTAATTCCCAGATAGCATTCTTTTTGGCATCCATAAATAATAATTTTAGAACCTCTCTCTTTTCGAGAGAATTATTTTTTCGATAAGAATATCAAATTCACACTCCATAACCAAAAATTATTAAATAAACTAATAAACATTTATTTGCTGTGTATCTATGAAATACTCGTTCTGTGAGATATACACGTATTCAAGAGATGCAGTTTTGAGTATTCGCGGTGCTGAAGTGTGTACTCAAGCTGTTTGTTTGCTATTCGGGTGCGGACGAGCAGACTTCACATGGCAGAGAGCCGGAGATTCGACGCTGTAGTGTCATCCGATCGAAGGTCGTTAAGCTAGCCAAGCAGCCAGCCAAGAGAGATTCCCCGGTCTCGTCCATAGGAATTCCTAAGGGGGCAGCATGTATGGAGCATGTGTGTCTGATTTATTTATTTCAAAACTTGCCCCAGCCTGCGAACGCGAGCGATATAAACAGAGCGAATTACGAATTACGAACGCGAAATATTAGTTTCCCGGGCGAGACTATTGGAATCGGAAACGTAATTGGCCGAAATTGAAATGTAAATGGCAATATTAATTGGGAATCATTTAAATTTTTTTGCGGACTATGCATGCGCCGCCGCTGCATAATTTACGGGCGCTAATTACTTTCGCTCCGCTGTGTTTCGGTTCGCGTGCTGTCCAAGGCCAATTACGCTTACTTATTGCAATTTATGTGGCCACAGTCCGGCCGTAATTGGAAATTGTGTAAGGTCGCAGGCAATTCCATTATTTGTATGCACTTCTGGTCGGTCTGCTGGACTGCTGTTCCGGCGTGCTCCTACGCCCGGCGTCTGGCGTTCTTCTAATGACGCCACCGCGACTGGGACCCAGCCCAGTTTGTGTTGCCGGTTGATTAAGTGACCTCCTTCTTCTACTCCCTCTTCCCACGCAGAATCAATTTGTTGATGTCGGATATACGCTGCTAGCCAGCTCCACCCCCAGAGTCTGAGTAAGCCGTCGGAATGCCGCTAGTTCAGCCGCCGGAAAGCAGCCCTGCTGACCAGCATCCCCTTGTGCTCTACTCAAAGTTCCTGTCCACGGCACTGACTCTGGCCACAAGTAACATCACGACAACGGCAGATGGCGGACTGCTCCTCATCCAGACAACGGCGGCCACCTTGCTGGAAACTACTGCAGGAGCTGGAGCTGGAGCGGCATCAGCTGTTGCCACGACAAGCACACTTAAGGTGCCTTCAATGAACTCTTACCTGGTGAGCATGGCTTGGCCCAAGTCACTGGCGGTGGCCGTCTTCCTGGTCCTCATCCTAGTCACCGTCGTTGGCAATACGCTGGTCATCCTGGCCGTGCTGACCACGCGTCGACTGCGCACCGTCACCAACTGCTTCGTGCTGAACCTGGCCATAACCGACTGGCTGGTGGGCATTTTCGTGATGCCTCCCTCGGTGCTCCTCTACGTAACAGGTGAGTGCCCATCGACGGATCAAGATTTATGGCTCTGCTGAGACTCGGACGGGGGCGGGCCAAGTGTTTACTACTCGGGACGGACCTCAAAAGGTGGAAGTGCGTATAGTAAACATTTATTCAAATCTGATGCTGGCACAGCACATTTCTTCGATTCCGATTCAAAATTATACAATAAAAAAATTATACAATTTCACTTTGCAAAAAGTATACAAATTGCGAGTTTCTTTCGGTTGCAAACATCTTGCCCGTGATTTATTATTATTCCATTGAAATGCTTTGAGGCTTTATTTCATAATATTTTTTTTTTTGGGAAAATCAGAGTTTTTTGTGGGTTTTCACTAGGTTTTTTTTTGATTATTAGAACCCTGAGGGGTTAGAAATAAGAGATATACGTTTTGCTAAAGGTTTTAAATAGAAAATTTTACCTTTAAAAATTTGGAAGATAATTTAAGAAGTTGGGAGTTCTTTTGAAAGGATTTTCAAGAGGATCTTTGTAAGCTTTAGACTATCTTCTTATATAAATTTTATTCACTATGAAATATGATTTATCTTTAACAATGTTTGGCAGAGCTAATAAAATATTTAAAATTAATTGTAAGAAAGTATTTCCAAATAAGTAACTTAAATAGAACTTTATAGTGATACACCAAACCCGCGCTTTAAGTTTTACGTTTGCATAATCAAGGGTCGATAAGTGTAAGCCAACTCCATTGTTATCTCAAACTAACCAGGGAATAATATCGTGTAATATGGCTTAGGGCATAAAATGTCCCTGTAATGCTAACCATAATCTCGGCCAGGTGCACAAGCAGAGCCCTGGCTGGTTTTCTCGCTCCCTCTGTCCCTGTCTCAACCCCTACAAATATTTACTCCGCAGGCACTTGGCGCTTTGGCTGGATACTGTGCGACATTTGGATCTCGATGGACATCCTGCTGTGCACCGGCTCCATCCTCAGCCTGTGCGCCATCAGTCTGGACAGGTGAGTTGGTGAACTAATTTCTTAATTTGTCGTTGATGTCATAGCTATGGCCATAGCCCTTAGTAGGAATGCTAAAGCCAACGCCAAAGCCAAAGCCAAGGGAAGGTGCAAAAACAGTGCAGAATAATTTATTTGTTGACGTTTTTATTGCCCCATGACCGTTGTCGTGGCCATTGCCAGTGCATATACCCTTTGAGTGTCCGACGGCACAATGGCAAAGATTGGGTTGGGCTGACACTGTCCGGGATTGGCTGGCTTCTCCATCTACTGTCCCTGCGTCCGTTTGCTTTTGTTGGAAGTTTCAATTACATTTTAATGGCATTTCCAAGTTTTGTGTTGTGGCTCCGGCACCGTGTCGAGCTGATCCAGCTGAGCCTGGACCCGGTGCAGGGACTGAACCTGAACCTGGACACCGGCTGCGCTGTGTTTGCCTTTTGGCCACGCCACAAGCTGGCTGCGGCTTTAGGAACAATATGTTTGCGTGGCTTTTGTTTCGCTGTGTTTTTTTTTCCGTAGTCCTCAGATGCGTTTATTGCCCGTCTCTCCGGCTCTCGGCTCTGGGCTCTTCTTTATTCCGCAGGTATCTCGCCGTCACACAGCCCCTGACGTACTCGAAGAAGCGGCGCTCCAAACGCCTGGCCCTGCTCATGATACTCGTCGTGTGGATAACGGCCCTGTCAATCACATGTCCGCCGTACTTGGGCTGGTAAGTAAGGCTCCCTCCGCTCAGGCTCTGAGCAAGCTTCCATATTCACCCCCAGCTTCAGCTGCACAATGAGAAAAATATTATCTTGACTGGTGATCAAGTAGGCTATTATTTCGCTTCAAAGGGTTAGTGTAGAGCCTCTGTCTCACAAATTGTTTAATTCTTATTTTCTTAGAGATATTTGAGAACATCCTTAAAAGTATTTTATTGATTATAAATCTTATAACCATGAAGAAAAGTTTTAGTTTAATTTTTTATAAAAGCATTCCTGATATTTTTTTTATTTTAATATTATTTTATAGTTCAAACTTTTGCATTTGTAATTATTAAGAAAAGGTTTTATTATTTTCTTCAAATGTTTAATGATTTAACTCATGAAAGCTAGCAACTTCACCTTAAATATTAATTATTAAGTTCCCTTTTTACCAAGGAAAAATCTTTTTAAAAAACATTAAAAAGTCAAAATGAAAACTTATATAGGTCACAGCTATTACATTTCATAACCACACAGAATATAAAATAGTTGACATTAAAATTGAAATTGATATTTTGCTGTGTGCACTGAGTATGGCCTTTACTTACCACTTTTCTGCCCTGAAGGAGGCGTGACAAATTTAGCTCTTTGTAGGCTCCTTCGTAAAATGTGTTTTTATTGTTTTTTTTTTTTTGGCGCTAATGGCTGTGTGTGGCCCAGTATAGATAATGTGTTACCGAAAGGTCCCGGAATACATGCGCTTATTTATATTTGCGCCTCCAGCTGCGCCTAAAAAACATTACGTAATTGCTCCAGTTATTGTTGGTGCTGTTGTCGTTGATGTTGTTGTTGTTCTTGCAGCCATTACATTGAAGTTTTAATGAGTTGTTAATGACTTTGTTTGCCGCGGCGCATTTGCTTTGTGCTAACTTACAGGCATACGCACACACACAAAAGCCACACACTTAACTCTTGGGCGCTGCATACTTCGAGGCGCCCAAATTAACCAACTCTCACACACGCACACCCACTCACACACTCTCTGACGCATTCCTGGCCAGGCCCAGGACACCCCCCAAAAATGGCTCAAAGTGCACATTAAAACCTGCTGAGGTCGGTTTTGCTGCAGCCACAGCTGCAGGACATTGAGCAAATTTGAAAATTCGTTACTTACTGGGGTAGCGAAAAATTGCAATTATAACGGGCAGCAGATGCTGCCCAGCTCTCCGTATTTCAATTCGTTAAGAGGAGTAGTAAAATACAAAAAAAAAAAAGTTTTGACACTGCACAGAGAGAGAGAGAAGCTGGGAAGGGAGTTGTTGGTCAGTTGGAAATACTTTAAATTTAAAATTCCATGAAAAACTGCAAATAAAGTTGATTTTCAAATGTTTTATTTTCTTTTCACTGAGATTTGAAATAGATTCAAAATATGTCAAATGAAGTGAAATATTGCGGAGCACCAATTATTAAAATGTTGTGTTTTTTTTAAACCATTTTGATATTTCTGTGTTTTTCAATGGAGTTGAATATTTTCATTTAATTTTCCTGAATTAAGTAAAAAGGTTATTTCAAATGCTTAAATACTACATTGGTGAGAATGTAATCAACAAATTAGAGTTATATCTGATAATAACATGATGAACAAATTCAAAATTTATAAGTTGCAAAGTGACTGTTTCAAATGTAGTTTTTTCTGGCTTACCTGAATGCCAGCCCGTATATACCTATATATTTTATAGTTTTGTTGGTATAATTTGATATCATTAAATAAAATTATCGTAGCAAAGCTTTTATGGTACGTTTACGGTTACGTGGAAGATAATTCATTGTTGTGACAACGGCAATCGTGGGTTTCCGTACCGGAAATTTCCATTGTTAGCGACATTTTGTCAATTTGTCATTGTTCACCCAAAGCCCCCAAAGGAACCGGCCCTCTTCTATATTTAGTTGATCTAGTTCCTCCATTTTACTCCCTGGTTTCCTTAACCCGTTTTCCTCGCTTATTGATTTAAAGTCAACTCCGATTTACGTTGGCTGAATGACCATCTCGGGTGAGATGTGCATAAGTAAATGGCTTCCAGAAGGGACTCCGAAAGAAAATAATAAAGACCGCCTCCGACAGGCACTGGCTTTGGCTTTGGCTCTGGATTTGAATTCGGATTGCCCCGGCTCAACTCAGCCAGTTGTCAATGCCAAAGCACCAGAGACTTTGGATTCGAGTCGGAGTCCCGACCGCAATCACGCAGCCACACAGCAGACCCAGAAAACCGAAAAACCAGAAAACCCCGCAATCCTACAGCCCACCATAACCACATGCACAATTCGAACTGGAATTCAATTTGCCATTCGCAGGTACGAGGCGGGACGGCACCAGGCGGAGTTCGTGGATTGCCGCTACAACCAGAACAAGGGATACGTCGTCTTCTCAGCAATGGGATCCTTCTTTATTCCCCTCACGGTGATGCTGTACGTCTACGTGAAGATTGGCTATGTGCTCACGTCGCGCCGACAGCGCATTGTGCGCGATGCGGTAAGCTCCATCTCCATTGCCATCGTCATAACCATGTCCTTTGCTCCTCCGTCCGTTGAAATGTCCCCTGAAATTTATCATGTCACACCATCTAACCAACTAAGCAACCACTCGACTCGACTAACCTGACAAGCACTGGGAGGAGGGAGCACTATCTTTCAAAGGGAATCAAGCTTGATATATGAGATTGTATCTCAATTCAAGACCAAGAACACCTAAATTAAGTAGCACATGTTATAAATAAACCTTTTTTAAGGCTCTCTAAATATATTTTAACTTTTCTTTTACCTAGAAAAGATTTCTCTCAGTGCCTAGAGTTTCATCTTTCGTTCCCTTCCCTTTCTTTTTTCCATTGCCAGAACTCGGAGCGCACGGCGGACTACGATGTTGATGGCGACAACTTCATCTCCGAGTCGGAGCACTATCACTGCACGCCAACCAAGTGGCTGCCAAACAGGAAGTCCCGCTGGAGATTCAACTCGCTGCACGACCCGCCCACCGTCATAGCTGCCACCTCAAATGCCAGCGTCACTGCCAACACAACGAGCGCGGGCACAGGCGCTGGCAAGCAGACATCGTCGTCAGTCAAGTGCTCCAAGTGCTCCGCCAAGTGTCAGGCGGATAAAAGTGTGCCGGACAAGACGCTAACGTTCAAGCACCAGCCCACATTTTACGAGCTGGTCGAGGTGTCGCGTCTCTCGTCGCTCATCCACTGCTCGGCAATTAGCTGCAAGTACGGCGGACCCTGCATGCACTCCACGCCCTCTGGCCTCCACTACGTGGGCACGGGCAGCCAGGCTTCCTTCTCGGACACCTGTCTGGGCGGTGCCTCTGCCGAGGTGTCGGAGAAACTGGAGGCGGACTCCCACTCGCACTCGCACTCCCATTCACAGGGGCCGCAGAAGTATGGCCATCACCATGGCTCCCAGAACCATCACCACAACCATCACCATCGCATGCCGATGCGAGTGTCCACCACGAAACGTGACACCAAGACCGCCAAGACCCTGACCATTGTGATGGGCGGCCTAATTGCTTGCTGGATGCCCTTCTTCGTCTACTATCTGCTGATACCCTTCCTGCCGCGGCCCGCGGTCCTTGAGGACTTGATGTTCGGCTTTACGTGGATTGGGTGGGTCAACTGTGCCATCAATCCCTTCATCTATGCCTTCTACAATCCGGACTTTCGCACTGCCTTTTGGCGGCTCACCTGCAGGCCCATCTGCAAGCAAAAGCGTCCGCCAAATCATCTGGCCATGTTCCGTGGCTAGCCTGGAGCTTGGCCTGGTATCTAGTTTCCCATGGTAACTGGTCTTATTAGAACCCAAGCTCAGATCAGGTGGATACTTATTGACTTTCTTAGTTTCAATCTTGACACTTTGCTGGCTTATTTCATGCAGCTCTCTTAGAGAAAGATCCTGTTCTGGCCACTTCCTGACTATCTTAATCCCTAACGTTGTGGCAAAGGTCAGGCTTAAGTTTCAGAAGGTGTGTGTTATAAGAGACTAGCTAGTCGGTAGAGTCACGAACCTTTGTATCTGTCTGAAAATTGAAATTAATATTTGAGCACACCAAGTCCAACCTCCTGAATTTGTTAACCAAATACTGTATTTAACAGATTTAATTATTCTGTCATCTCAAAGTCGGTTTACTACATATATAAAAACTAAACTAAGAACTAAGAAACTACTATTCTCGTCAATATTGATTCGATAGAGAATGCTGTTTACAGGACACTCCCGTAAGTGGCAAGTTCGTGCAAGACGCTTGCACTTCTTTGAGAGTAACTTTAAGGCTACCAAGGACACGTTATAGCAGTGTCATTAAGACTCAGGACTCAGTGAACTTGACCGGAAGTCAAGATTCCCTGCCTTTCCTATATAGTATTTTTGTGTGTCGGAGCGTTGATTGTGCGAGGAACAGAACGAAACAAAAGACAAATTATAGTATTTGCGTGTCTTTGTTGCTGCCAGGACGGCAACTGTTGACCGTCAGCAGGATGAGAGGAGCGTGATGATGAGGCTCCTGTCCTGCCTCCTCATCCCCTTATCCACATCCCCTTTGTTGTGTGTGTGTGTGTGTCCAGCTTGCGTGTGCCGGAGTGAGTCCGTGGGTCCAGTCCAGTAACTGCCAACTGCCAACTGCCGACGACATATCTGGCGTGTCCTTTGTTGGTCAAGCACGGCCTGACCCCGCAGGCGTACACAGCGTCCGTCCGGCCAACCCATTTAATGTTTAAGCAATCGCAAGCTAAAGCGAAAGTGTAACTGAAACTAAGCCTAAAGCGAGACCGGATTTTGGAGCTGCACTTGAGCTCGAGGAGATTTTAAGCACACCCAGAAAAAGCTGTATCATAATATATATATATATCATATTTGTACCCAACTATGTACTTTATAAATGTTCACTTGGATGAATGTAAGGATCTCTGTAAGGACCTATCGGCCAGCCCTCGACCAGACCAGAGGCCGAAAGTGTTCTATTGTAGTAATAAACTTTAAGTTCAACTCGAAGGCAGTTTTATTATTCAGGCGGAGGGCGCGGGGTCCCCTTGGATTTCGTGTGCGAAAATATAAAATATGCTTACAACTCACAGCGGTTTTTCGGGTGGGCATTGAGCTATAAATTGTCACGCAAAAGTTTTATGCACAATTTTCCGAACACGTCTTTTCTTTCAGAATGAAGGTACGAGTAGTACGTGTGTTCCGTCGGCAAGATTTGCCCAAACTCAAATTACTATCTGTATCGGAAAATGGTAATGTTTTCGGCTCACAAGACATGATTTATGTTGGGAAAACCCAACAACGTTCGATTTTGTTACAGTTTTTTTTTTCTAAGTAAATGGAAAAATATATTAAAGTAAGTATATGTCTATATCCCTGTATTTATAACCGTTTCTCAGAGTCACTCGACTCAAAGATCTGGAGATAAAAAGCTTAGTGCAGCTCCAAGGGACCTTTCAATTTACAAGGGAGTAGTGGGAGTAGCGCATTTTCCAGCGCAGCCTTGACTTCATTTTTTTGTGATTTATTATTAGAAGTGGTAACCCGGTGGCCGCCACCAAGTTGTTTACGGCCAAGAGAGGACGGAAGCACAAGAAACGCTGAATCAGCCAGCTAGCCAGCACAGACTGTGACTACCGGTTCCAGCTGGGACTGGGATGGGGACCATGGCGTTACATTAATTTAGCTGGAAATAAGGCGTGAAAAAAAATGCGGTCATCATAATTACATATACGCACACCCCCGCAGTATGGTCCTGCCGCCCACACACACACACATGCGACTAATAAAAAAAAGGACTTCAGGAGGTGGTGTCCGCCTCCCTCTGCTCTCTAATGAATTGCAACACATTTCGCTGTCACATTTCACTTTCGAGTCGAGCTCAGCGGAAACTGCCTCCCCTAATGCCCCCTGTCAGCGGCCTGTGAACTCCGTACTTTCTAAATATATATGTATATACGGTGTACTGTAATTTGGCTTTTCGGGCGCGGTATCCTTGGAGTTAAGGTAACTTTTGAACATTTTTGCACATTTATTTAAAGGTAAGCTGAAATACTGATGAAGTTTTTAAAGGAATTTAAAAGATAATTAAATTTAACAGAAGATTTTTTGCATCTCCATCAGATTTTAAAGCTTAATTTAAAGAAATTTCCTTATTAAATGACCGTAAAATACATAAAAAGAGCTCTGATTACCGGGTATTTCACAGTCGGGGCCCTTGACCATACATTTTTCCTGTTGTTTCGGTCGAGGCACTTACCTTTCCGCCGCTTTGTTGGCTGATATCGCATAATGTGTTAAATTAAATGGCCGCGGCTTCAGGTGAGATGGGGAGAAGCATAAGCAAAAACCGATGAGGAGGAGGCTTTCAGGAAGAGTTGACTGCCAGGCTGTACTCCTATTTATAGCCGTGTGCTGACAGGGTGCTTAGGCTAATGTTGTTTGTTGGCCCAAGATTTTTCGGTTATGTCATCGCAGCAGTTGTGGGTTATGAAGGAAGCACTTGTTTTTCATTTTTGGAAGGAGGGCCCAAAAATACAAAAATAAAAACGAAAACAGAAACAAAAACATCGATATTTTCGAGCATTTAACAAGTGCTTGGGACAGGCAAAGTTTTGCAACCTCCTCTTGCCATGACAAATGCCCTGCAAATGTTTTTCGAATGAACTTTGGTTTTATTTCGGCTTCTTTTGTTTTGCGTCGCCAACTTGGTGGCTTGTCTTGGGCGTGGCGTGTGGGCGTAGCGTGTGAGTCGCCTCAAGTGCCGCCCACTCTGCATCGCAATTGGAATTTGGGGTGAAGTCGGTAACCCGGGAACCTGGCTACCCGGCCAAGTTGGCCTCCTGCTCAGCGGAAGCGGAGCCGATCAATTAATGTTATCCAAGTTGGGCGAGGGCTCAATTAGAGTCTTAAAACTCCATTTAGAGGATGCTCAGATGGGGCTTCCCCCGCGGGAGAGCTGGATGTGGCGGCAGCTTCAATGAAATATTCATGGAGGGAGAGCCAGTGCGGGGTTAGCTCTCCGTATTTATGGTTATTTTCCGCACCAAACACAACTTTGCTTTCTAACCGTGCAGTCAGCTTCGTTTTTTCGGGTTTTTTTCCGGGAATTTTCCTTCGAATTCTCCAACTGACTGGCTCCTGGTTAAATATAAATAAACACAAGTACACACACACACAGTACAGTATATCTGCAGTTTGGTTGTGAATTCAATTTTGAGACTGATCAATAATTCACGCTCCCCGCACTAACCATTGTTTCAGCTCCTGCTCCGTCTCATTGGAGGACCCGGGAGCACCTTAAAGTGGAAAAGCTCTTAAATAACAACAGACCCTCCTCGGGCTGGGGAAATTTGTCTTTTCGATTTGTCTATTTATTTGTTCGGTTCCAAAAAATGCTGTTCGTACATACATAACTATTAATATATATGCAGATTATGCGGATTATGTATATGATATTACAAGCCAAAAGCTCATGCCGATGAGTCTGAGACAGAGACAGAGACTGAGGCTGAGAGATTCTCTCGCTTTGCGAGATGATAGATGGGCAACGACGAGCTCCATCCGCTGTGTGTTTGCTTTCGACGGGTCGGAAACTCTCTCACCCGGAGCATCTGTTTGACTTGTTAGGCCTGACATGTGAGCTGAAATTCAGAAGGATTGAACGAACTGACGGGCTATGAGATGAGATGGCAGGGCAGGGAGGATGAGGATGAGTAGAGTACAGTACGGAACGTGTACGTATGCTGATGAGCGTTCGTCTGACTTAATCTCTATGTCGTAGCATTGCTTGATTGCGTTTATGACTTCACACCGTCGCCAAATGTGGAGGGGATGGATTTCGAAATGGAGCTGGAAGGGATGGAGTTAAAAGTAGATTGCTTGCCCTACTGCTGCTCTAGGTCCTGGGGTTAGCTAAGCTGCCGATGGCATGAATAAATTATGCCTAAAATTATTTGGTATTTTCAACCCATTCACACACACACACTCTACACTCTACACTCTGACACGCTGTTAAGGCTAAGGGAAAACTCTTTAAGAAGCCTCGGATGACTTCTACTATTAACTAAATCACAGTAACTGTTTTTTTTTTTTTTAACTGGCATTCCGATAAAGCTAAAAGCTAATGCCCGACCTAATCCGCCCAGTGGTTTCCACTGATTTAGCTAAGTCCTTTGCCAAAAGTTTTAACTCAATCAACTCGTATCTCTTGAATTTATGGCTTCTTGATATCACCTATGATATATACTGCAATCGATAGGACGAGTTAGTTAGTTGCCTCGTAAAGTTGGCAAAAAGGGAATTCACGATTCGCAGGCAAGCAGGTTGCTTTTTTTTTTGGGGGGGTCACATTTTTTGCGGAAAAGGTGACCCAGCACGCCACTGAATATTAGAGTATGAGAAATGTGCGCAATTTCGGTGAGCCATATAAACAAGTTTTCTCATCCATCTAAACTGTCTATGCCGTTGGCTTGGCCGGGCTCTGTCTGAGCCACATTTTGCCTTTTGCGAGGACTAAGGCAACGAATGTTGCAAGTTGAGAGGCGCCGCCTGCCGAGCGGAAAAGTCTCGCGGAAATTACTAAATCGATACGTGCTGCCGCATATCAGATTTTCCACATTGAGCTCAGGTTCCGCATGCAAAATTCTGGCTGCAGAAATACCTTGGAATCGTAGTGCAGTAGCATATACATTTAAACAGTCGGGCTTCCCTAAAAAGGACTTAAAAAGTTCTTAGATAGCGACATCCTTGACTTGTTTATAAACTTTCAGCTGACTAGATCTGAACTATTTTAATAATAAAAACAAACATTAGGGAATACTCTGCCTTAAGTACTATTCAAACAAAACTTTACTGTTTACTTTAAATTATAAGTTAAGGAGAAGCTCTACTGTCTTTCTACTTTTAGAAGGTCAAACGTAACCAGTGGAAATGCCAGTGGGCGATGGTCGTCTCCCTTAAACGGCAAAATGATCCAGAATTGGAAGCAAACCCTGACGATTAAATAAATTACTGGAGTAACTAGAGAACAATTACACACATGGCCAGTGGATTAGGTGAGGTGGTGGTAGGGTCAGGTGACTGACTTGTGGTGCAATTACGGACCACACCTAGAGTTAATGAATATGTTAATAATATGTTAGGCGCTGGCCATTTGTTCAGGGCTTGACGGGTTGAGGCCTCTCCCACCGTGCTCCCTGCTCCTTTATCGCCTGATGGACATCGTGTTCGTGGGGAACTGCGGCTTCTGGCCGGCGCTGAAGAAACGCTTGCAGGTGAGGCGCCAGAAGGCCGCACGGAAGTCCACACTGTAGAAGGCGTAGATGAACGGATTGATGGCGCTGTTGAACCATCCCAGCCATGTGAGCGCCTTGGCCAGCATGTGGCTGGCCTGGTGCTCGGCCAGAAAGGGGGTGATCAGATAGTTGACGAAGAAGGGCAGCCAGCAGGCGATGAAGCCGCCCACCACAATGCTCAGTGTCTGCGTCGTCTTATTCTCCTTCTTCAGCGACGTAATCCGGTTGGACAGCGACTTGCTGGTGGTGGTGTTGGCACCAGCTCCTGCCCCACCGCCACTCGCCGATGTTGCGGTCACTCCGCTTTGGAGATGATAGTGCGGATGATGGTGATGGCCACGCGAGTGCCGGAAGCTGTGGGGCCGGGGCGCCTGGCCTGCTGACTGGGCCTGCCACTGGGCATCTAGGAGACTGCTGCCCGGCCCGATTCCACTTGTCATTGTGGTAATGGTCGTCGAGGCCGTGGACGTGCGTTTCAGCGATGAAGGTCGCGTGAGCTCGTAACACCCGTTCTTGCCGCCGCCCCCTGCTCCGCCGGAGGGCAGTGCCAGCAGCGATTGACAGTGGGCGCCTGCGGAGGAGCCTGTAGTCCCTGCAGTGCCGCCTCCGCCTGAAGGTCCGCCGCCAGCAACAGGAGGAGCAGCACAGTTGTCGCTGTCGCTCAGCATCATTTCGTGCAGCTCCTTGGCTATCGTCTGGTTGGAGAAGGTGCGCGATGTGGCCTGCCGCTGCCGCTGGCCCACTGAGCTGTGCTGCTCCTGCTCCGACAGCTCGTTCTCCACGTCCGCTGCCGTGTAGCGCTTGAATTTCTAGACACGCAAAGTGCACAAGGCGGGTAAGTCAATGCGGATGATAAATAACTTAGGTGAAGTCAATGTGCGGTAAAAGTTAAGTGCCGGAGAGTCGATTGGCAAGGGTATAGTGGTGGTCACGTGATGTCGAAGGTGTAAGTACTCTATTTAGGTTTGGAATTTTATACTTATTAGGATAGGAAAAGAGGTTACATTTCCTTAGAAGGGGATATAATTAAGTCGTTGATACAGTAATTAGGGAATTTAAGGTATTTTTTTTTCTAAGAAAACTGTAGTTTATATATTTTCTAGTTAAAGACTATTTTGAATATGTTGAGGAAGAATTATAGGATTATCTATGATCAATAGTATGGAAATAACGACAGGAGCTTATCGATACATGGATACTTTCTAAAATCTCTAAATGATATTCAAATTTATTCAAGGATTTTTAAAAGCTTTTGATATTTGAAGTGAATTTTAAATGTTTTCCTTTTTGTGTAAACTTTCAAGTATTTTACAAACGAAAAACTTTATTTTATTTAAATTTTCTGATGTTTTTATATTTAATAAAAAAATGTGTTCTTCAACATCAGTTGCAGGAAATTTAAAGCTAGCTTTACACTAAAAACTTTGACACATCAGGCCACATGCACAAACATTTATATTCAGTTTAATGTGTGGTTGGCATTTCAGAATAGAATTTTACATAATTAAAGTCTATTGCTTAAATACCCTTACATCTCTAATATTTGGCATCTCTTTGTAAAAGTTTTATCAAGGAGAATAGTATATAAATGTGTGGAACAGGCCGGAAAATGATACCTCAACGAGGCAGGGTACTATACTAACAGGTAAACGATGCCCATATATGTCAGGTGACCTAAAAGTCGTAGTGAGGTATCAATGGTGGCAAGTTGGGCTTAATGGCTGCATAAAGCGGCAAAGTTATAGGGGGAAACTTTCATTCTGACGTGCATTAAAGCAACGGCTGCTGCCGGACAAACGGAAGTGGGGACATACCCGCAGCCGGGGCCAGGGTATATGGCATTTAAATCTGTGTAAGCTCCTAGCGTTTGGGAATTATGAAACAAATGTGCCGCAGTTTGTGCCGTACGTGGAGTGGCCTTTAAGCCGGCGAGGAGGAGGAGGATGAGGAGGAGTGGGAGTGCCAGTGGCAGTGTGCAATGTTCAGTGCAGTGGACTGAAGTGTAGGGATGTAGGGGCTGGAATAGAGATGGCTTTGAGGCAGGGGCAGCTGGACTGTTTGCAGCTGCACTCGCACCATCATATTCCGTATTCCGTATTTGTGCTTTTTGTTGGAGTAGGTTGGGTCTGGTGACGGTGCTTACCTTGTTGTGAACACTTATGTCGGTCATATTGTCGTGCCTGGATGCAATGACACAGGAAATTCTTGCATACACATAAATCATGACTGCCATTGGTATGAAGAAGGAGCCCATGGCCGAGAAGATGACGTAGCCCTCGTTTTGGTTGTAGCGACACTCCCGCAGGTCCCTGCGTCCCGGCTCGTACCTGGCAAAGGGACAGGAAATGAGCACAAGATACAATTAATTACAACAAAAGTCGGCTAATGCAGGAAGTCCTCAATTATTTGCTTCCGCTGCTGTGCAGCGCACAGAGCCAAGGCAATTGCCACCTAATTCTATTTGGTTTGTTCAGCTGGGGAGACGGCACTCAGGCAGGACTAAGGACTCAAATTTGCATGCTTTTCAAATAAATTTGTCTGAAATTTCACTTAAATGGACCTCAAATAGGTGTCAACGTTATATGACTTCAGTCTCTGAGATAATTTGACAGTTTAAAGGTCTCTAAGTGATACCAGTAGGTGTCCTACTTGTATTTGTTTTATCTGCAGGCACTTGGCAACATTTTAAGGTCTTTAAGACTTTCAATTAAATTAAGGAATTTCTTTATCCAGACTTTTGACAGTTAAATGGACATCAAGCAGTGATGATGGAGAACTAATTGAGCATTTCCCTTTTATTTCGTTTAAAATCAGAGTTGCTTGCTAAAATTCACGAATTTAAATGCACTGAAAGTTAATCGTGGTGTATTACAAAATTTTCTGTTCAGTAGATTTCTTTAAGAACTACTTTACATTGTGAATATTTTATGGAAGCCAAAGTTTTCTTTATAACGTATTAATGTTCTTATTTTAAATATATATAAGTATACGAATATTTCCAATTTAAATTATATGTCCTTGAAATTATTTTACCAAAAACTTTATTTTGCTGAATTTCCCACAGTTCTCAGAGTGTTTCTAAAGCTCCTTCAACTTGTATTTGAGTTTTCAGTTTTAATAAAGTGCAAATGAACCCGAAAATATTTGTTTGAGTGCACTTACCAGCCCAGGATGGGGGGACAGGTGATGGCCAGGGCAAGGAGCCAGACGATTAGGATCATGATTAGGGCCAAACGTTTCGAGCGCCGTTTACGGGAGTACGTGAGCGGCCTGGTCACGGCCAAGTACCTGTCGGATGGTTGGGGAGATGCAAAGATTTACGATTTGGGGGAATACTGGAATATATGTATGCACGGGACACCGTCACGCTGCTCTCACCTGTCCACGCTGATGGCGCACAGGCTGAGAATGGAGGCCGTGCAGAGGAGCACGTCGAGGGAGATCCAAATGTCGCAGAGCACCCAGCCGAGTTGCCACGAGCCTGCAATCAAAATACCAAATTAAAAACTTTCGCCAGCTTTTGTCGGCAACTTAAAATTCCGGTCCAAAGTCAATTTGATTAGCAACATTTTGCCAGGGCGGCTCTCGGCCAAATGCCTCACCTAAGGCCAATTAAACAGGCCAGTTGTGAAAATTTTGGGCCCGAACCTGACCCAACGCGCACATAAGCCCCGTTAGTGGTTTGGCCAGTCTCAGCTCAACTCTTGCCAGCTCCTGCATTGAATTTGTGGGCACTTTGAGCAGTTTCTCCTCGTCTGCGGCCTGTCAACCGATTAATTTTTTAATCAAGTGCCCCTCAAATGGTCTCGGAGCGCCAAATGAAAAGTTGTTTTTGTGAAAGGCCCAAGGACCCGAAGGCCAGAAAGCAGCCAGCTCATTATGGACGAAAATTGCCCTGCTCTAGTTAACGGTAAGGATGCAGTTGGGCACATGGTTTCCTGGTTCCTGTTTCAAGATTGCCAATCTGAGCAATCCAATATGGAGCCAAGCCGTCGGTAATTAATACAGAAATACCATTTATTACAATAACACGGACCTGTTAATTCCAAATCCTTGTTACGAGCCAACTTTATAATGAAAACTTTGGAAAAAACAACATCGTAAAGTTTGCGCTAAGGCTCCCTTAAATTGTTTACCTGGAAGCAGCTCGAGGGGAGGTGGAATAAGGATTGGGATTTACCAAGAACTTTTACAAATCTGAAGTGGTTTTAATTTACCGAAAACGGAAGAATAGACTGGAGCAAAGTTTCGGTTAATAGGAGCTAGTTGGGCCAAGATAATACGAGTGTTCAGGCTTGGCCCATTTCCCATTCAGTGGGAAGAACTAACCAACGACAAGCCAACTATTTTCCATCGAGTATTTTTCTTTTTTGCCCGATTTGCCAACGGGTCGGCTGATTATGACAAACTTTCGACATGCCGTTTGCCTTTAAAGAATGCCACAAAGTTGGGGCTCGGGAATGCTGTGCCTCGTTTTTAGGCCTTTCGTTACTTTTTTCTGAACGTTTTTTTTCCCCGTATTTTTTGCAGTCGAGGAAATCGCATGAAAGCGAAGGCGAAAAATGAAAGAAATTCTTTCGGTTCAAAGAATCCAAATCCATAAGGCGAGAGAGATACATACTCGCATATTCCAGCTAGCAGCATTTACATAAATATGCCGGCAAGGCCCCGCCTCTTCCTGTTCGCGTTCGTGCTCTTATTTCTATTCGTGCTACTTTGTTACATTACACTTAAAGTTGTATAAAAATTGTGATTAAAAAAAAAAAACAAATAATTAATATAATTTTCGTTTTAATATTAAAGAATTTATAACTTCTTTGAAAACCCCAATATTGTATTAAAAATATTTTAAAAATATCGAGTTAGGATAAAATGTGTGTATTTCTTAATTTTTAAAGATATTTTAAATATTTTTTTCCTATTTTTAGGATATATTTTTTTATTTCTAATTTGAGAAGATTTTATATTACTTAAAATCTTACAAAATATGAGAATGTATTGCTTTATATTCTTGAAAAAAACTAAGTAAAAATTCCAATAAAATAAAATAAAAAATCCCTATTAAGTAAAATAATGTCTTTACTCATGTTATTGATTTTTAAGCATCTCCTAAATATGCATTTTAATTTAAAAACAAATTTAAAGCTTGGTTTTCTATTTTATCTGAATTTTTATTTATACTCTGTCTTGTGCACTATTTTTCTCGCTGTGTGCTTTTTGGCCACAAAGCTTTTGTTAGCAATTTTTTGAGGGATTTACCGGAATGGCATCTTCATCTTCTAATCACGCGAAAAGCCCAGCAAACGCCGCCTACTTTCACGGAAGCACCTTAATGGCCCTGGCACGGCACAGAGCCCCAAGGAGCCCTCGGAGTACACCAAACTGGGGAAACTCACCTATGAGATGAACTGCGACGGCGGGTGGCATTACGAATATGCCCACGAGCAGGTCGGCAACCGCCAGGCTCATCACAAAGCAGTTGGTGATGGTGCGCAGGCGACGCGTGGTCAGGATGGCCAGAATTACCAGGGTGTTGCCGATGACGGTCACCACGATAAAGGTGGCGAAGACGGCAATCAGGCAGATGCCCTGCCAGGAGAGCACCAAGTCGTAGAAGTGCTCCCACTCCGCTGCCGCCGCGGACTCGTTGTAATAATTAAATGTGGTTACGGCAGCGGTGGGACCGGCCTCTGTCAGAGCATCCACTGCATCCGATGCGGCGCCGCCAGCGGTCTCATTTGGCCCACCCTGCGGCAGAACGACATTCAATCCCGTCGCGCCTCCTGCTCCAGCTCTCGTTCCAGCTGTCGCTGGAGCTCCCCCTCCCGTTCCATTCGCCGCACTCAGCAGGTCCTCGTAAACGATGGATATGTTCTCCGGCAGCCCCGATCCTGCCAGTCCCAGTCCCCGGCCGCCTGCGGCGAGGGAGGAGGCGGCCACATACATGAGCGATGGATAAATGACGCTTAAATTATTCAACTGCAAGTTGACAGCCATGGATCGGCCGGTTGCGTCCGCAGAGGAGCTATCTCCGGCTGCTGTCCTGTTCTGGGCCTGCCCAACTAAGCCCTACTCGGCGGTCGGGGCACGCACACCCTTCGCATATCCTTGGAGCTGGTCACTGGCGTTGGCACTCGCACTGGAGATGGAGATGGAAGCGGAGGTACGGCCCAACTGCTGTCATTGTATCGAATTGCTGTCTGATGGCTTTGCTGCTCGCTCGGTCGGCTGCAATCAAACGGAAGGGCAACGCCAGTTAGTGAATATTTCAGGCACTGAGCGGAAAGTCTATTGAAATCATAAATTTATTTCTAACACAGTTAGTGTGGGAATAATTCAAGTCTCTCTTGATGTCTGTAAATTATATTTGCGTAACAATTAAGGCAGAGATTGGGGAAATTTATAGCGTGTGTCTTGGTTAGTTTTGGGCCTGCAACATTGCTTTGGTTTTAAGATCATGAAATCTTTTTCGTAATTGTTCATGGAACAATTTTCTTAGTTTAAGGATGATTTTTTTCTAAGGCCGATTTTTATTAAATATAGAAAAATATTTGTACAAGTGTAGTTTTAACTGAAATAAAAGTTAAAGCACTTAAATGAACAAATTTATAAATCATCTGTTTTATTACCAAAATATTCTGCAAATCGTATAAAAGCTTATATATATTTATAATCCTGACTATGTAGAAAAAGTCAGTGAAAACATTACGAAATTCTTCATTATTTTCGACTTTTTATTAAAATTGTTTCTAATAAAAGTATTTTCAGTTCTAATTATAATATGAGCACAACAAGAAATATAATTAGTTTTCAACAAAGTAAAACTTTTGCTCAATAAAGCTGCAATGATGCGAATATTATTACAATTTATTAACAATAATTTCCACTTGGACAAAGAAAATAATTTTCTTTCTGGGAAAACTATTTGCACAAACGAATTTTGCGAATTTTGAAAAATAAATTACTAAACAATACACACAAAGCTTTCATTTGCAAAGTATTTAAAGCAAAATTGGACTTTAAAACTTTTAATTTGGTTTGGGATTTACCCCAGTGAGTGAATTTGGTTGCGGCTTAATTATAGCTTACACTTGCTGCAAGTGGATTTTGGGGATAGACCACGGCACAATTGACACTCGTCTGCCGAAATGAATGACAATTCTCAGCTAAACTTTTCCACACCATTCGCGATTTCCACTAGAGTCTATTCCACGTGCAATTTAGCGATAAGATTGATAATCGACGGCCGCTTTATTAGATTTCCGCACAAATTATGTATAGCCATGGGCCAATATTACGTATACGTAATGGCTGGGCGTACGGGTATGGTTGTTTTCCCGCCGGAATGTCGCCTCGCGAATGACTGTTGTTGACTGAGTGCCACCAAATGGCAGACCGAATGGCAAGTCGCGGGCTGTTCGACACTTCTTGCCACTTCTGTTGACAATAATTTGGCATTAAGCATTATTTATTTACCGGCCGATAGTGGTGGCCTGCTGCTGATTGCGACGCCTTCTTATGAGTGCTGCTATTTGGCTGTGTGTGTGTGTGCGATAACCAAATTAAAACTGATATCGCAATAGACAAGGTGGCGGTGGGTAAGGCAAGCAGAGAGCAGAATCAGGGCGTTGGATTCGAAATCGGAATCAGCTCCTTAGCTACAGAATGCCGCAGGCACTCTTACTCCAAAAAAAAAAAGGGAATTATTTAGCAGGAGCAATTTGCATATTCAAATGTGTGGGCGAAGAGGAATATTAGCTTAGTGCTTCAGCCCACAGATGCAAAAACATTAAATGCCTCAAGAAGGGCTGCAAGTATCTCAGGAAATGTGGGTGGCATAGCCAAACATTGCAGTAGATTTTATGCTAAAGTTAAGATATTTATTTTGTCTATTTTTCATGTAAAGATTTTTGTATATCACAAATTAAAAGTTTAATTGTATTTTTAATTACTTATTTCTATAGATATGGTATGTACATATCCAGCTTATTTATTTTGGCAAACCTTCTTTAAATCGCTGCAGGTTAATCACTTTTCCCCTTTTAATTATCTATTTGTTTCGATCAATTTTTTTTTTAGATAGCAGCGGTGTTTAAACCTGGGTTTAGTGCCTTTGCCTTGTTGTGATTTTTGCAATATTTTCTTTGTGTTTAAATAAAGCAAAGAGATACGTAAACAACAGAAAATTCATATAATTAGATAATATAGCCGAAAATTACACTGCATATAAATAAATATTTATTTTATCTGAACTAATTTCCCCTGAAATATAAACTCAATATTTATGGAAGCACTTTTCTTTTTTGATTGAAAAAATATTGAAAAAATGCATGTAAATCCCCTGAAATAAATTGCAACTTTGAACATTTTTAGGTGCCTGTTTTTTATGCTTAATCCCCACGATTCCGAGGGCTTAGAGCTATGCAATTTAAAGGGTATTCACAGGTTCGGCCTCCCTGCGACGCCACGCTTCCTGGGGCTTTGAATGCTGACGCGGAATAGTCATAAAAGAGCTTATCGCACTCACATGATAGCAATCTGGCCGAAGGGGCTGAAGGTGCGAATAGGAGGGGGTTGAACTTTTACTTTTTTATGCTTTATAGTTTATGTGTAAATATTTGCCCGGCCTGGTGACGTACCCAAAGGTGAGACTGATTAATTGGATACGATGCAGAGCCTACGGCCGTCGCTGTCTGTCAGGGCCAAGGTATCGATCGGCCCTGGCTGGAATGTGTCATCCCGCCAGATAACGGTCTTGAGGTCTTTGCTTATAAATATATGGTATGTGGAGAGTTCTTGAGTTCTCTATGGCGGGCCATCAAGTGTATTTTGAGGGGCTTTGGACCCGAAAATAGATTTATGAACTCATTCCGCAGAATGTCGTCCGGGATTCCGGCCAGAAGCCCCCTAGAGTTACGATCAGGGACCGGCAGCTCGCGCCTTTGGCGGCAACCCATCAGCGCTGACCGCGATAAGCCCTGGCGTTTTTATGAGCACTTTGATTGATAATCTAATTCGCAACTCAATTGCAAACTTTGCACGAGCCAAAGAGCCCCTAATCTGGGGTCTTGGCCCGTTCCCACACCCTTTTCCATACCAATTCCCACTACCATTTCCATGACAATGGAAGCAATCAGGCTAGGAGCTTCACCCTTTCATCCGAAGTGAACCGGAGTGAAGTGAGCTCGAAGGGTTGCCCTAACCCGAGACACTCGGCTGAGATAAACTATTTGTTCAAAAGCTGCAAATTGAGTTGCCAAATCCAATTACTTTGTTGGACTTTGTGTGGCCGAACGAAATTATGAATTTCTAATTGACACCGAGCAAGAGCTCATCCCTTCATCCACCGATCGGAGATTATTTTGTACATATGTTTCCGCTGCCTTTGGCAGGAGGAGTCATCAATCAGAGCTGAGCGGCACCATCTCCGGCATTAGATAAATCCGTATCATTGATGTTTGCTGGGTGTCCAATGAAGATTTATTTCACACTAAAAGTTCCAACCGATAAACAATCGAGGAGAGTGGTGCTCTTTGTATACATATTTACATACGCTTGGCTCTTGGTTGTGTACACCGAACAAAAAGTACTATTTAATAGCTTTTTTGTCATACTTTATTAGCATTAAAAAACAATGAAATTATGCTGGAAAAGCTTTTGGTTAGCTCTAGATTAATTTTGACTTGAAATTAAAAGGTCTCATAGCCGATTTACCTAAGTAAAAGCTAATATTTTCAGGAGGAATTCTGTGCCATTTTCGCATACAAGAAAATTAAAATTTTAAACAATTTTTAGAGTGGATTCATGTACTTTCTCTTAAGAATTTTTATATTTAATGTATGTTAATTTATTTCCCATTAACTTGAATATATATTAGTGTTTCTTATTATATTAAGGAGGATATGATTATAACAACGCAAAATACCGATTTAAATATAGAAAAAAAATTAATTTTATTTCTAAACAAATACAATTAACCTTGACTTTATAGTTTTTGGTGTATGCTGGCGCTTTATGGCATATTTGTTAGAGATTTTCCAGCATTTTTGTCTGCCTGACAGCTGGCGGCCTTCACCTTATTCCGCTTTAATTGACCAAGCCCCATTTATTTGCGTTATTAAGAGATTTTTTCCGACAAAAATGCCCAGAAGAGGGCACTTTAAGTGATATAATTGCAAGGCCGGCGGCAGAAGTAATTTCTAGCAAGAAAATGTGCTTTGGTTTTTTTTGGCAGTCCGAATATTTGGCTTTCTTTTTTTACACTTCCAGCCAACACCTACGAGACGAGAGATAGAGAGAGCAAAAAACAGCTGAATTCCATTGCAATTCAAAATGCATTTTAACACCCACACCAGCATCCGGCTTCCGCTGAACATTTGTTGCCATTTGCGGCTAACATGGCGTATGTGTAATGTGTAATGTGCAACGTGCAATTTGGAATTCGCAGTGTGCAGCACTAAAATAATATTTCATTTGCATTCGGCAAACAAAGGACGAGTGGGAGGTGGAGTGCTCCTGCCAAAGGACCGCCTGACGCTGACGTCAAACAGCCAGTCAGCTAATACAAGTCACTATATTTATTGAGATTGTCGGGCACTTATTTGTCCTCTTTATTTGGCAGTGCCATCGAGGTGTTTAGCGTGAAAGCATTTATCCATTACCCCTCTCTCTCTCTCTCTCTCTCCGATCTATGCACAGGCCACCCCCGCACAGGACTCTTCTGAACTGGGTGAAGGTGAAGGGTCTGCAGGAAGAGGGTCCTCCACCTGAAGTCCTGAAGTGGCTCCTCATCGCGCTGTTTACTTACTTAATGCAATCGCTTTCCTGCGCAGTCCTCCGCTTTCATATCAAAACACTTGGCATTGTTTTATTGACACAAAAAGCCCTTATTATATTTATTGCTACCACTATTATTGTTGCTTTTGCGGTTGTTGTTGTTCACGACACTCGAGTGGGACACACTGTTTAATCTGTCGCTCCGTGGAGGTGCACTTTGAAAGTACTGCTGCAGTTGCAGCTGCAGAAACTGATTCACTTTCCCCGTGCAAATATTTTTAGCGGCGTGACAAACGCCTTCGAAAAATTCAAATTTACGTTATCGGTTATAGGTAAGCCCGCCGGCTGATCAATCGCTCTCGGAATCGAAGCCGGAGTCGGATTCGAATTCGGATTCGGATGATTGAAGACCCACACACGCTGCTGTCGGTCTTCTGCGGATGACTGGCTCGTGTGCGACGGACGACCGCCTCGGTTGAGCGCTTGAGGAAAACTGACGCGACCGAACGCTACTCCACTCGGCCGGAGAGTCGTCGGGAGGCACGACCGTGGTATCTGTCCCTCCGGCTTGTCAGTGGGACACAGTTCCAGTGAACTGTGGATCCCAAGTTGGTGGACAGCGAGCGCAAACACGCGACTTTTGAACGCAGCGCGGGCACTGGGTAATCCTGCCCTGTCGTTCCTGCCTGCCTGCCTGCTTGCCTTTGTATTTAAACAATTGTGCAAACAGCCGCGTCCAGTCGAAATTTGAATATTCAAATGCTCGTGCTGGAGCGAAGCCCATTTAATTCCCAGAACAATGTTTAATTAAGCCGCGGAGGGACAAGTCGTCGGCGATCCCCGCCGAATCCAGATCCCGTGCTGGCGAATTTTACGAGAATTTCCAAATGAAAACATAAGCGATTTCGCGGGTACTCAGGAAATCTAAATTAAGACTTTTATGGTAGCCTTATAGACATAGGCATAGATATAGCAATATAGCGTTATAGCGTGCACAGTCGGCTCTATCTCTATATCTGTATACATATATATGTAGCTACGTCGTGCCATTGTTTGTACATTTTATAACGTGCAGATGCGTCTCCACACGGATTTCGCAAACGCTCTTACTACGCCCTCATAATAAGTAGTGTCAACAGCTGGCGCAGGTTAAGTTCGGTTATATTCGATTGCCATCCACACAGGTTCAGTGTTCAAGGTGAATGCGATCCACTTACAGTGGCGTCCGAGTTGACTTGCACTCTGCCTACTTGCAAGGTAAACCAAAGCATGCGCCCTGACTGTTGCCGAAGGGGAATCCCCGAGTGGAACGCGTGGAAACTGAACGATTTGAAGCGCCAATTATAAAGTTAAGATTCCTGAATTTACATATTTTGACTATATTTAATTTGAATTGTTAAAAAGAACAGTTTATATTCAAGTTAACTGTCATTATTTAAATAGATCATTTCGATATCTCCTTAATTAAAATAAAATAAAAACTTAAAACTGTTTCTTAAACTATCAAACATTATTCGATAAGGAGAAAATATATTAAAATAAATAATAATAATAATTCTTGTTCAGTACATAGTTTTTATCTTATAAAGCATTTTTAGGAAACAAAATAGCATTTCTAGCTCCTGGAATATTTTTAGATTTTATCTATTTTCTCCTCTATAAATAGTTAGATTTTAGTGAGCCACTGGATTATAGGAAATTTGCTTTGGTCATCAATCAGACGATAACAAAATAAGAATTTGTATTTTTAGAATTTGCAAACACACAAGAAAAGTAATCAACGATCATTACTCATTGGAAGGCTCAACCTTGATTACCATAAATTTATACTTTTGCCGTGGTGCTGATAAGTGGGGAATTTACAAAAATTGTATTTATTTTTAAGTAAAAAACTTATGAGAAATAAATGCCAATACAAGTTCAGGGCTTTTGTCTAAATTATACCTAAAACAATTGCTTCATCAAAGTCTTAAATCAAAGTTATAAGTTACTTACTAAATAAAAAGTACTTTCAACTTTTTATCTATATTTTTCAAAATGCATCTGAGTCTTTATAATTTTACTTTTAGTTTTAATCAATAAAAAATTTAAACTTTGTACATTTCCTTCAACTGTCAAAAAAGGTTAATAATTAATGCATTAAACTAACAAGGCCCTGCCTGGTGTGGCATACCTTGCGGCATAGCTTTTTATTCCAAATATGTCACGAAGCCACAGCATACATCGGGGCTGAGGCTGGCTGTTGTTCCTGCCACTTTAGTTAACCATTTGCCAAAATCCAGCTCGGGGCCACCTGTAATCTCCTTAACAGATTGAGCCCTGACCGGCGGGCTGTGGTGAGCACTGGTTGGACATCACTTAGATTGATTAAATGCGAGAAATCCGTGCGGTTCGGGTACGTGACTCGGCTGAATGGCGTAGCATAATTGGTGTCTATGCAAAAGCGTTTATCCCGAACAGGGCCAGTGGACAAATGTGGCAAGGGGTAGGGAGTAGAGAGGGTACTGGGTAAAGGGTAAATGGTTTAGTTTATTGGATCCCCCAAAAATCGGTTTCAGTCAAGTTTTGCAACATCATTTAATTATCAAATGCACGTACATAAGTGAGTTTTGCAGTGACAGGAAGGTCTCTCCCGCGTCACTCGCTTCCGCCCAACTGAAAACGCAGCCCGATACAACCATTTCCCGGCTAAAACTTCAAGGCTTCAAAGGGGTGGCAAAAAGTTTTCCACCAACACAAGTTTTTAGGGGCTCAAGAAACTTTCCATTTCTATGCAACAGACTTGGCAATAGCATTGGCAATGGCAATGCCAAATTGAGTTTAACAATTTGTCTTAGAGGCACTTGCAGTGGATTCAGTAATTGCCTGACAAATCGCTTCCCCACTTGTTGTGGTCCCTGACACTGGCAGCTATCCTAGGACATTAGGACACCATTACACTCTCGGTTGCATACATATCTATGTATGTACATATCGAGCGAAATTCGCAGGACACGACAATTTGTCGCCAAATGTCCTGGCCACCATGTGTTCGCCAGCGTCATAAACTTTTAATTTCGCCAGCATAATTAGTCTGGGGAAATGGCGGGACGGAAGCCCTATGCGCCAGCTTCTATCGCACTTTCAGACCCTCAACAAATCCCATTTAGACACGGGGAGAAATTACTATATAATTACTTGGGTAATAAATCATATTATATTTGGGAGAAGGTTATTTTTAGAGTTCCAAAGTAATTACAACATTTAACTGAATCTCTTACCGAAAATACTCTAAAAACGTACGGAGGTTGTCCTGTTAAAATATATATACAGTTTTGATTTTTTTAAATTAATGTTTAAAGTTCCAGTTGATCTTAAATACAGAGGCTGTGACTTTTAAATATTATATATATGTGCTAAAAATCGTATTTAACTTACATAGATTCATACGATTGAGAAGCTTCATCTAATGTGCAAATACATAAATACCTCTTATAAAATATTTAAAATTCTAATATTATTTTATAATTATATCAAAAGATTTCTGATTAATTTCTGGCAACCATTTCTTTGCGTGTCCTCAGTCTGTGTTAAAGTTGCTTTTAATTGATAGGTGAACGAACCCGCTGGGTCCCTAATGTATGGCTATGTCGTGGCCGCTTAGAGACGGCAAAGGCCAGAAGCTATTAATAATTTCAATCAATAAGCGTAATATTATTCGCGTCAACTGGATCAGCGCCAGGAGCATGAGGATGCAGGGAGCAGGCCTAGCAGACAGAGAGTGTACTCCGATTACGGTTACCAGGCACACACACACAAATATATATATAAATATATTTTAAATTTGATTCTCGAGCACCCTCGACTTTTGGCATCTTCCTTTCAATTTATTGTTCTCTTCGAGAGCACCGCCATCCTGCCAGGACCATTCCGGGCCGGACTTTCCGGCCATTGTCCGTTAAGCAGATTTCGGGCTTACATTGCGCGTTGTTGGAAAATTGTGGAAAAAGCATACAAAGAACTTCGGCGAGGCTGTGCGACCTTTGAAGGCAGCTTAGGCGCCCGAAGAGGAGCGCTGCATGCAAATACACATATATAAATAGTTTGTGGAAAATTCGAGTGCCAACCGCATTCACATTCCGCTACCCACCAGCCAGTGGGGGACATTAATTGGTTAATCAAGTTTACAACTGCCAAAAATCCAACTGGTGAAAATGGCAATTTTGGCTGTGACCATAAATGTGCGGAGGGCAGAGGTCTGGCCCAAGTCCAGCCTGTTGTTGTGTCCCACGCACAGTAACCGCAAAAGCCGCACAAATACTAAATGCGCTGACCACGGAAAAACCAGCAGAACAGAAAACTGAAAACCGAAAACAGAGCGAGCATTATTGGAAATTACGAGGCAGGGCCGGGCACAGGAAACGCACTGGAGAAGCGGGCTCGAGTGCCCGGAGGGATTTATGCGCATATGAACTGAGATAATCTATTTGTAAATAAATAAAACCAAATGTTGCCCTTCACGTTTTTGGAGTTTTAAGAGGCTCGAAATGCCTATAAATTATGTAATATTTTTTGTAACGGATAATAATAGTAATAAAACAATAATAAAATATTTGTCGCATATTTTTTGATGGGTAAAAATATAACTAAGAAAGGTTCGGGGGAGTCTGCTCGACTGTTAGATATCCGGTAGCCAAAGCATAATAATTTTACATTTCTGGATTTCAGATCCCTTTTCTGAATTTTGCCTGACGTTCAAATTGCCTTTAACAGAAACCGAGTTGAGCGAAATGCAATCCCATGGCAATAACAAGGTGAAAACTGAAGGATTAGCGGGAGCTCAGCTAAATGACCGGGAGAATAAACAAACAAGGTTAAGCCCTTCCGCTGGCATTGTTTGGAATGTATACACTCTCTATAAATATGATATGTTATCCGGTTTAAGGTGCACTACCATTTAAATATGGGGCCAATGCCAACCTGATTGGGAAATTGTTGAGCCTCGCACTTGAGTGGACCCTTGGTCGGTGGTTGAAAATCCGCTCGACTGCTGGCAGCCATAAATAATGCCACACGAAGTTTAAAATGCAATAATGAAATTTATTAAGAACTTATGCGGAGTTAAAACACCGAAGACCAGCAACGACCTTCGTCCCAGACAGACTCTCTGCGGTGAGTGGAGGAAGGGATTCTTTTGGCAAGCCAGGAGAGCAGAAGTCCAGATACTCTTGCGAGTCGGTAAGTCCTTAAGTTGGCTGAAACTTGAGCGAAAGTTGGCAACTTTTGCTTGGGCGAAACTTTTCCCCGCGGATGCCCGAGTAATGGATGTGGCGAGCCGGAACAGTTGACCATATGGAAGGGTATTATGGCAGCGTAATTTACACAGCATGTTGCCGCACACATGTGGCCAAGCGTATCGAGGTGAAGCAGGGAGGAGGACGCACACATAAAGGCTCGTCTCTTCCGTCTGACCGACCAGCTACGCCTCCGGATAC